TCAAGGTGCTTCTAAAAACAGAAGACGGTCACTCGTCAACCTTTTCTTGTCGTCTTTTAATGATCCAATCATATTCGTCGTCGTACTCGATCTTATTATCTCGCCCGCACTGCTCAAATATGTGCCTCCAGAATGTGTAATCGGGTGCCTCGTCGTATTTCAGGCTTTTGCAGTAAGACAAAAACGAGGCAAATTCTTTTGGAAGTCCAGCACAGAGCTCAGGAATAGGTGTTGCCACTTTTTTGTTGTAAATTTTGGTATACCGATCCTCGCCCTTTTGTACTTTCAGGCCTTGCCACGGCAAAGACCCCTTGGCCAAGTACAAAATGGAATAAGCAAAACTCTCCAAATCGTCTCGTCGACTCTGTTCGTGGCCCAGGTGATTATTTAATGACGCGTAACGGGCTGTTCCCGTGAGAGACCTGTTCTCGTTGTAAGGTATATGTTCTCCCTCGGGCGTAATGTATTTGTTACTCAACCCAAAGTCAATTAGGTAGCACACGTTACTTTTGTCGCCAGTCCCCATTATAAAGTTATCTGGCTTTATATCTCTGTGGATCCACCCTTTCTTATGCACAAATTCTATTCTTCTCAACTACGATGTGAGTGACAACATTCAAAATAAACAAAAAACAAACACATTGATCCATCAACATCAACACAGTTTTGAGCGTAAATTTTCTTCCGCAATAATTGAATAAATCCTCAAGTGATGGTCCTAAGTAGTCCATCACCAACACTCTGAATTCTCCTTCCAATCCGAAGTATTTGATTGCAGGTAACCCTTCTGGCTGTGTTTTTTCTCCACTGGTGAGGAGTTTATAAAGTTCATACTCAAATTCAAGCTGTGGGTGTTTACAAGTTTCCACCTCAAGTTTCACAGCAACAGTCTGATTGTTTGAGATGTCGACTCCTCTATAGACATCACCGAAAGACCCACTTCCAAGTTTCTGATCTAGTCTGTATTTGTTCGAAATGATGAACATGACCTTAGCCATTAGACTATTTGTATTCCCCTTTACCTTTTCCCATTAAATGTTCTCACATTCAGCAATTCATCTCAATCACTCAAACATCCCAATCTTCGTACTGTATTTTTTTTGTCTAGTTCTTTATAATAATTACAAAACTACAAATTAATTATACCTTTTTTCCAAAAACGAAAAATAAAAATTATTGAAATTTAATATATTTATAATATATATATATTATAATTTAACCAAACTCTAAACTTGAAAAAAAAACGAATAACAAAAAAACGAATAACAAAATGTCACTTATTCCGAGACCTTCTTAGTTCCCTTAACGACCTCACCCCACCCAATGAGTCTCCATCTTCTCTCGATTTTTCTAGACAACGCGACCTTTCCACCGACCGTAGTGCAGACTGGTTTCATGAGTGTAATCAAAGCGAAGTCGTCCTTAAGAGCAATGACCTTACATCCCGTGTGTGTTGATCCGATATTGATCATGAGGACATCACCCACAACGAGTGGTTTTACTGTAGCTTCTCCTTCGCTAGTCTTCACTCCAAGCAAACGGGTCAGCAAGTAAAATCTGATTTGGAGTTCGACAAAGACGGGGGGTAAGCTTCCGACCGTTCCAGCAACTTGTCCTGTTAACTTATCTGCTCTACACAGGGATGGGTCCAAAGTAGTCCCAACACCAATCAACCCACCAGGAACAGCAAATTGAAGTTCGTTCTTCTCAGCATGCAGCGACAAGATTTTCGCAAATAAGGGCTTGCACGTTTGATGGTTCTTCGCGTCTCTCACATTATACCCCGGCCGGATCTCAATATCATCATTCACTTTCAAGATCCCTTGCGACAAAGTCCCTCCAATGACTCCTCCGTGTAAATCTTGTGGGAACGTTCCCGCTTTGTTGATATCAAACGACCGAATAATAGTCATCCGTGGGTTCGCCTTAAAGTCTCGCTGGGGGACTGGAATCTATTTGTTATTAATTAACATACTATATATTATAGTATATCTCTACAATACATGTATATAGTATATATATACTATTAAAAAACTAGTTGAAGAAGCGAAGCAACAAACGGAGTGACAGATGTACTCACAGACGACGTCCATATTGAAATTAAGTTGTGCGCAGACGGGGACGATCGGGGCGTTCTCAGCGATACTTCCCTTTACGAATTCCTTGATTTGTTGATAATTTGTTTTTGCGTCTTCTTTAGTCTTGACGAGATCGATTTTGTTTTGGAGGATGATCAAGTGCTTCAACTTCATGAATTCGACGGCGGCCAAGTGCTCACTTGTTTGTGGTTGTGGGCAAGGCTCATTTCCAGCTACCAATAACAACGCGCCGTCCATAACAGCAGTTCCTGTTAACATTGTCATCATCAACGAGTCATGACCCGGACAATCGACAAAGGAAACATGACGGACTAATTCCATTTTAGCTCCGCATTCTTTGTTAGGACAGATTGGATTGTCGTCATAACTTGATCCATGACTTGTGTAACAAGCGGGGCGTTGGCAGTTAGGGTTACTGCATTTATATATCTTAGCGTTAGCATAGCCAAGTCGAATAGTAATATTCTTCTGAAGTTCTTCTCTGAACTTAACGGTATGGACCCCACTCAAAGCTTTGACCACGGTCGATTTCCCATGCGCTACATGTCCTATAGTCCCTATATTGATCGTCGCTTGGCGCGAAATGACGCATGGCGTCAACGCAGTCAATTCTTCGATGTTTAATGTGGACAAGTCTTGTTTCATCAAATTTGGGTTCGACTCCCCGTCCATTGGAGTGTCTACCATCGATTCAACTGATTCTCCCATTCTCTATTTTTTCAGTTTCTTCTCCTCATTCACTTTTGACCTACTTCCCTCTTGTTTTATCGGAACTGATCTCAATGCATTTATTTCTACTTTATCTCATTAATTCGTCTTGCAAGTATTTTACTCTCCGTTAAAAAAAATTACAAGGGTTTATGAAAAAAGATGGAAATACCTCATACTTGACACTCTTCAAATTGCGTTCAATTCAGTGCACTTAAAATAATGAAAAAGAGTCAATCAAATAAATGTGTTCTGCAATCGAGCCCGTCTTCGCTGCTTTTTCTCTCGCTCCTCCTATTCCTGAATAAACTATACTTTATTAATAAAACAACTATAAATAAACTATCCAAAGTAACGAAGCACAAGACGTTGAAATAAGAAGAAGACAAACGAGAGATTCGATCTGAATTGTCTTGATGACACCACCGATGGTGACTGTCTTTTTTGAAGTTGGCTGTTGGATGACAGACTTACGAGGTGCAAAAGACTTTCGTTTTTCCGATTTTTTGGACCGAGCCATAACACGTTTCTCGACGACAAGGGAGTCTTCCATCTCATCGACGTCTGAGGGGAGTGCAAGAGTATATCCAAATAGATAAACGATGTTTGCTGTCTTGTTAAGAAGAGTGCATTGCTCCCCTTTTTCTAGGAAAATTGATGTTTTACAGTTTTTCTGATTCTTCGAAAAGGTAGCTACGCAGCACTCGCTCATCCCCGTCTTCAAAAACACACGATGAAGACGTTCGTCAGTTAAAGAATCTTGAATTGCCGACCCCGTGATGTGAACTAATACGTCTTCAGAAACTGTCGCAGACTGATTGGGTTGAATGGTTATCCCCCAAAACATCGGTTTGATTTTTTTAGTTTCAAAAGACGTTATTGTTCAATAGTTTATTACTAATTATAATTATAGATTATTTTTTTATAGTTTAAACTAATAATAATAATAATTATGATTAACTTAATAAATATGTGATAATGTATCTTATTATCTTTGGTATAGCCTTGTTTTGTACAACAATTATTAATGGGTCTTTTTACCTTTTTTATAATGATGAGGAGTCAAAATTTATTTTTTTTAATTTCAATTTAATTCATACTATAATTTAATTTTAATTATAGTATAATTATTATTATATGTTATAGATATTAATATATGTAATACAATATAATATTATTCATATATTATTGTTTTATCTATAAATTATAATATATAAATATATAGATTAACAAAAAGTAATTTAATAGTTAATCAGGATAGAATGTTTTTAAAATAATGCTTGATTAAAATTGTTATTGTTTAAATTAAACTCATTACTTTAAAATAATTAAAATAATTTAATTATTAAACTTTTAAACATTGTTTGTTTAAAAGTTATAATAATTAAAAAAGTTATTAACTATTTCTTTAATTAAATACTAGTTGATATTCAATGGTATTTTTATAATATTTTATTTAATATTTTTATTAGACATCAAGTCTACAAAAAATTATAATTACAATTATAATAAACTTCTTTTATTTTAATCTTCAGTGTATTGTCACATAACATTTGAACCAAAAGGAAAAAACAAATAAAAAAAGGAATAAAAACAAATAAAAATAAGGTTTTCATAGTCGTAAAAAAAAAGGATTTGGTCAATCAGTTTCTTTTAATAACAATTATTAGTATTAAACTAATAATAATTGTCACTATTGTTTTTGGATAAAAATTAAATTATTAACCATATTTAATCTGTTTAGTAAACATTGTTATTTCCTTGTTTTATTATTTGGGACGTTTTGCAAATAAAATTAATTTATTAACGAATCCAACGAGCAATTTTACTCGATCCGGTGAGTGGCATTTTTTCTCATATCAAAATAGCCACTTTTATAAATGCATTTTCGAACTAACAATTAAATGAAATTTCCCCAACTTTCATTTCTGTTTACTTTATTGTAATAAAAAACCCCGTATTGTATTAAATATCGATTTAACTTGCTCTTCCAAAAAACATAAAAACCTTTAAAACTTTTATCAACAGAAGTACCAACAACTATGGTGCGGTTAGAATGTGTCTATTTGATGAACATCGCTCTGTACATAAACTCCCCGCACACTGCAAAGATTTTTCATCTCGTGAACAAGACGTGTTATTTAGCACTCCACTCTCTCCGCACCAACCCGACCTTTTTTCAGGGTTCACCAACGTACCCGCTGCTACAATCACCACAGATCGGCGCGGTTTGCCGCCTCATCGAGAACATTGAGACGCTCGAAATGGATTTGTACTCTTTCCGCGTAGTTGAACCAGAGGTCTTTAACAAGCCGTATTACAAAATTACCATTTCGGGGTTGCTCGAGGATGTCGACTATAAAAACCTTCAACGTATCGAGTCCCGAGTCATATGGTATCGTGGCCCTTCTTCGGCTGTATCCGTGAAAATGACTTCTCTTCGGACGCTTCACCTTACCGACACAACCCAACTTCGCCGAGTTTTATCGCTTCTTCCCTTCCTTCGGTATGCCAGAACAATTACTATGACATGTGGAGAGAATGACGCGGAACGCGAAGTTATCGCTTTAGTCGAAAATTTGTGTAAAAACGTTTTAGTTAAAATACGAAACGTTCGAAAGGATGTGTTGGGAAAAGTTCCTGTCTGTGGGATAGGTGTTGTAGGTAGTGGAAAAGGGGTGATCAATCTTCCTGATTTTGATAAAACATATCACTACAGTCTCAAGGCCTTGAAACCAACGGCTTTAAAGCGATTGTATCAACGGTATTTACCATTGCAAATAGCGTTTGAAGCCAGTGAAAAAGAACAAGAGATTGAAAAGGAAATAGACTCGGATTTGAGTCAAATGACAACTCTCAAATCACTCCAACTTAAATCGGTGAATGGGACGCTTCACGTTCCAAGTTCGTTGGAGTGCATCACCGTGCGGTCGTCGAATGTGATTTTGGATGGGCTCCAGGAGTGCTACTTAAGTCGTCTCGTTCTGGAAAAGTCGATCACGCCCTTTCCGTTTAATTTAAAATTAACTATTAAGGAGCTAAGGATTAATGACATCCACTTGACAACAATCTCAAACTTTTCAGATCTTCAACTTGTCAATCTCGCACTTATCAACTGCAAATCTCAGAACGTCATTTCACTCCCATCTACACTGAGAACACTCGAACTCGAAAATTGCACATTCCCAGTCAATATCAACGACGAGGTCCTATCTCTGTCCCTCGATACTTACACGGCTTCATCACATTTTACGTTTCCAAGAGCTTTAACCCGACTTGAAATTGGAAACTCGGACGCTGTGCCAGAAACCCAAAGATGCAACGTGATGGATCTCAAATTGTTCGAGTGCGAGAACTTTAAAATGCAGTCGGTGCCTCTCTCCGTTAAGTACTTCGGCCTCTTCGACTCGATCAACTCGCCGAAGAAAATCGACATGTCGGACCACTTTTTTGCAAATGTGACACTCTCATTGTGCCCTAAAATCCAAAACTTGATTCCACCCTATTGTGTGACAGAGTTACACATTGAGTCTTGTCATGCACTGACTTTCATCGATTTTAAAGTGGCCGGACAACTCGAACTGCTCTTTTTAAATGACTTGAGAGAGTTGAAGAGAGTCGAGGGAATCCCCAAAACGCTGCGGTTCATCAAAATTAATCGGTGTCACTCGTTGACGGAAATAGTCGGAATAGACACCCTCAAAGAGTTGCCAGTGTTCATGAAAGAGGAGTGCGGACGAGTCGTACAGTCGAATTTGGACAAGGACGGACAGTCGTTTTCTTCGTCGACGTCTGAAATGTAATTTGTGTTTTTTGTTATTCAAATGTTATTCAAGTCTTGTGATGGACTGATACGTGTAACTGAGAACTATTTAAGCAGCGGAGATGTTTGTGGTGACTGTTGCAGCAGTCTTGTCGAGCATAGTGTTGGTTTTGATTCACAAGAAACTACCGACAAGTGTGAGGGAGGCGAAGACATCGATCACGATTACCGTTCCAGTTTTGGCGTTGTTGTATTCGTCGATTGTGAATGACACATTAACTACTGCATTTCCTACATACCGATATTACATCTTTTGTATCACTTTCTTGTTTTGTTTACTTCTGTTGGTTGTGTTCTACCCCTATTTTCTGTTACACGTCTTTGGGTTTGGGAAGTTCAGTGTTCTTGCGAATGTGCTGCACTTGCTGTTTATACTTGCAGTGGGCAGTCTGGTGCCTTCAAACGAGTTTTTCTTTAGCTTCTTTGGGATGATCGACAAACTTGCGATTCTTGGGATATTCATATCGGCAGTGTTTTCTGGGTATTCTGCGGTGTCGATCCCGGTAAAACAACTTGATCCATTTCATAAGAAATATTCAAGGGCCGAGTACGAGGAGACTCAACAACAACTCAAATTTATGGAGAGACGGGGTGAGACCCAAAGTGAGTTATATCGAATGGTGTACACCACTTATTTACAGATGAGTGATAGCTTTGAGAGTGAGAAACGGAAGAAGGGGGTAGTAGGGGTATACCATAAGAGTTATGGACTTGTGATGACATTATTTTGTATATGGAAGTTACTGAATAGCTTCATTCATTTAGTTGGATTAACATCGAATCGAGGAACAAGTTGGGTAACAAAATCACTGAACATTCTATCACGTGTTGTTCACTTACCGATTGATTGGAACATCATTGCGTATTATATATCCTTTGTGATGGTTGGTATATTAGTGATTACGGGGGTCAAAGGAATACTCTCGAAAACTCTCAAGATGATCACTTCATTCGACGAGACGAACAACTCGAAGATTAAAGGGGGTGTAATTGTCTGCGCGTGTTATTTCATCACAATCTATTCATTCTCTTTTGTCATCATGCTCAGGTCAAATTTTGTCGCATCCACTTCAATTGTATACTACGCTTTTGAGGATGTGGACTACGACATGTACACCTCTGTCTCAGACTTTGTGTTCTGTATCACTGCATTGTTGTCACTTGCGTTCTATTACCTCAAAAATAAATACGGCTTCTTCAAGTCAAATACCGAGAGCAAGCTTCCTCTCTAATTTATTATTAAATTATAGTTATATAACTATTACATATAGTACAGTTTTTGATGATGGGATTGAGGATGAATTAAAAATAAATAGTAAAATGTATTATAATTAATAATAAAACACAACAGTTACAAGTGCTTACGTTGAGAGTCGATCTTCTCTGCCTCGTCGTAGATTGTGAGGAGCTTATTAACGACTTCGCAATAAGACTTGCATTTGTACTTTTTTCGAAACGACTGGAGTTCATTGAAAGAGTCGAGAGAAACACGTACCTTTGGAAACTTTTTCTCGTCTTCAATAAGCTTTGGCTTCTTCTCTGTTTTGTCGATTTTAATGATTTCGTCGAGTTTTGAAATGGCCTTTTTGTGTTCAACAACTTTGACACGATTTGGTTCTTCCAGTTTAATGTCGTACGGGGGAGGACTTGTTGCACAAACTATGTGGGGTACTTCATAAACAATGCCGTCGTGAATTTGAACCTCAACGGGTCGAAAACAATTCATGGTGTTCAAAGTTCTTGAATAGTCAATTATAAAATTTTTCGAGTCAAACATAAGTCACTTTCGTTCATTTTTGTGTGTTGGTAAAGGTAAAGAATACTAAGAAGTGTACATAAATATTATTATATTTATAGCATTTGTCTTTTTTTGAAAGAGTAATGTTGCAAATTTATTAATTTAATTTGTTAAAGTGTTTAAAAAAAAACTGGGAAAGTCTTAAAAAAAAGTGGGTTTTATTTGATTAAATTGGCTTTGTTTATTCTGATTTTATAATAAAAAAATGACCATGACTGTTGTAGTAAATAACATTTTTACATTAATAATATAATATATTAAAATATATTATAATTAAATAAATTTATTAAAATTGTTTTTTTGCAAATAAATAATAATAAAAAAATATAATTCATTATGGAATTTATAATTTGAAATAATTAATAACTTTTTTATAATTTAATTTTTTAACCTATTTTTATTAAAATCATATAAATTATAATTATATTATAATTATATTATAATTGGTAATTTATAAATAAAATATTGAAACAATAATTAATATTTTTTGGTTGACATATTTTTTATTTGAGATATAATCCCATGTTTGTGGGTTTAAATCCAGTAACTATAAATAATAAAAAAAATTCTATTCATTGTTGTTTTTGAGCACCAATTCCATTAATTATTTTTGGTTTTGGTTCTACCATTTAAAAATAAAACAAAACTATATTTTTGATTGAATTAAACTATAAAATATTTACAACAGTAATATTGTTGTAAATACTTCAAACCAGAACTATTTAAACTCAAATGATAGAACAAATAATTCATGTCCTTAGACTGGCATTACATTGCACCTCTCCAAGAAGCACTTTACAAAATTTGCGTTGACTGGTACACCACTTCCACGTCTCTTGATGATTTGGTGTATTCCACACATTCTATGTTTTTAGCCTTTGCGATGTTATACATTGGTTCAGTTGGTTCAACGAAAAAAGAGCTTGAAAAAGTCTTTGGATATTCGAAGCTGCCTGCTGACAAGTTTCTGTCGATTCTTACCACTTTGATATACACAGAAGACGGCGAAGTAAGCCCTCTTTTAGTCGCTAATGGGATATGGGCAAACAAGGACTTTGTGTTGAAAGAGAGTTACATTGAGAGTGTCAAGAAAATGAATTGCACAATCAACTCGGTCGACTTTAGAAAAGACGTGGAAAGTGTCAGAAAAGTTATAAACCTCTTTGTTGAGGAAAATACTAAAAATGTGATTCAAGACTTCATCCAAGAGGGGGTGATCACAAGCGACACCCTATCTGTTTTGGTCAACGCAATATATTTTGAAGGAAAATGGGCGACACCCTTCGACGTGTTACCTGACAAAATGAAGTTCAAAATTGGTGGTCAAAATCTTAGGGATTCCAAGCCTGAGACACAGTACGCAATTGCTTTAAAAAGTGAGGTCCGTTCGAGTGCACAATTTAGAGAGAAATACACAAGTGTATCCATCCCCTATACCTCCGCTGATTATAGCATGGTCTTTATAGTTCCAAATGATATGACTTCATTTGAAAAGGAAGGTGGAATTAATGAGTTGAAAGATATAGTCATCTCCACCGTCCAGAGTTTCCCACAGAAGCGCAATGTAACGATCCCCAAATTTGAAATAGAGTCATCATTTGCTATGAATGACCAACTCGGGAAATTGGGCTTGAAAGATTCATTCACACAAAACGCAGACTTCTCTAACATGAGCAACAACAAGTTGAGTGTCTCCGCCGCAATTCATCGAGCAAAAGTCAAAGTTGATGAGAAAGGAACTATTGCCGCAGCCGCAACTGGAATCATGATGATGCGAGCTATGATCGTAGAAGAGGCAAAAGATGTTGTTGTGGACAGTCCTTTTTACTTTGTTATAGTTGGGAAACACAATCTCCCAATTTTCTTTGGGAAGATAACACACCCAATAACAAAATAATTCTAATTAATTAAATTATTATTAAATTATTATTAAATTATTATTAAATTATTATTAAATTATTATTAAATTATTATTAAATTATTATTAAATTATTATTAAATTATTATTAAATTATTATTAAATTATTATTATACTATTAATTAATATAAAGTATTAAATGTCTTCAAATTGAATAAAAGAATGAAAAAAATGAATTACTGAGCCTTTATTGCTTTAATCAAAAAGGCCATGTTCTCAGCTAAATTTTTCATCGTCTTTTTTGCTTCAACATCTTCTTCTACTTCATTGATTTTGGTCACATCTCTGTTGTAGCCATCGTTCCAATAAGAAGAACCAACAGTGTACATATTGTTGATACCAAACCAATGATTAATTGTGTCGTATACGTGTATTGCGCCTCCTCGACGGGCCATCACTACAGCAGCACCCGCCTTTCTTGCCAACTTGCGCCCGATTTTGATACCACAACGGTCCATTGCTCCTTTGACTTCCATTGAAACATCTGCATAATATGTTGGACTTCCAATGACAATACCATCTGCTGCTAACATCAGTTCACATAAAGCGTTGATCACAGGATCTTCAACATCTAATGCTTTGATGTCTTTTCCACCAAGTTGGTAGTACTCCACTTTTAACCCTTCTGCCTCTAAATGTTCTTTTAACCATCCCAACATATGAGAAGTGTTTCCCTTAACTCGTGGACTTCCGTTGATCAATAAAACTGTCATTATTTTTTTCAAGTTCAGTGGTGTCTCTTGTTTTGGCGGAAAAGGTGTTTTATGAGGTTTTCATTAGAGAAGTATTCGATTGTCTTATATTATAAACCCGATTTGTGGCAATTTGTCTCTTTGATTTATATTAAACAATCGGGAAATGAATAATAAATTTTAACCTTTATTGTCATAAACAGTCATTAAATCTAGCCTTATGGGGAAAGCTGATCTTCTGAATTAATTTTAGATTATTTATTATAACCTATCTAAAAACTTTTATTATATTATTTACTAAATAATGATTTATTATTATTATTAAAATTCACTATTAATTTTAGTATTGGTCTAATAAAATAAACTAAAATTTAAAAATTTAAGAAAGATAAATTATCCCATAAAGCTAACTTAAGATATTGTAATTATTTTACTCAACCTGTTTTTGACCATTAAATCAAAATATAACTAGTTATTATTAATATGTAATTGAAAAATTGCTATTTTAAATCATTTTTTAAACTATTAGTATAGAATTTGTATTTTAATCAAACGAACATAAAAACTATTAGTTAAACTAATAAAAAACTAATTTAAATTTGCTAGTTGTTCTTGTAAAGATGATACAAGGCATTCAACAGAAATCCGACTTTTTGGGGAAGATTTCCAAGCCTCTTGTATAGTATTGTTCAAAACCGAGTCGTTCGAGCAGTTAGGAAACACAGGACGTTTTCCATTAATTACCTGTTCAGCAATCATCCATGGAAATTTAAAAATAGATTTTGGGTATGCCTCTTTCCACATAAAGCATTCATACATAGTAATACCAAATGAGTAGACATCCGCTTCTTTCTTGTATTTTTCGCGTTTCAAGACTTCTGGGGCCATATAGACGGGGGTGCCAACACTCTTTGTGAACGTCATATTAGTCATCAACATATTGATGTTCCTACTCGACCCAAAATCCGTCAATTTTCCATTGACAAGCACGTTATCATCCATTGAAACAATCAAAATGTTGTCCGGTTTGATGTCTCTGTGTAATATATTGTTTTCGTGAAGGTATTGCATTCCTCTTGCTGCGTCTAACATTAACTTAATTCGTATTTTAAGACGTATTGGGTTAGTCGGCATATTAACCATAATTGATTGTAAGCTCCCAAATTGTGCGTATTCAGTGACTAAAGATATCCGATTCGCTTTAAATACAGCCCCATAGAAGTGAATGATATAGTCACATCGAAATTTATTCAGCATCATCACCTCTTTACTAAATTCTTTTGTTGCTTCTTCACTTACTTGTGCTTCTTTCATCTTTTTAATGGCGACTTTGTTGCCACGATACTCCCCCAAATATACTATACCAAAGGACCCCTCCCCTAACTTCTGTTCTTCGATTAACTCATTGTAGTCCAATTTGTATGAACTCATTGTTTGGGTCTCAATTTGAATCTTTTCTGTATATTGCACACCTTTTGAAATATCAAGACCAATGACTAGTATACCATCTTTGATGTTGCAACAACACAAGGGTGTGATGTAAATTTCAAACTCACACGCCTCTCCTTTACTAAGTGTGATCAATGGAGGAATCGTACGAATTGTGTAATTGTCACACCCCTCAACTACAGAAAATTGCACTTTTAAGCGCCGTTGAGAACGATTGCCTATACAGACAATGTCCCGCGTTTCTTCATCAACGGGTATCATCGATTGGCCGTCGAGATCAAAGGTAATCACTCGCTTGTTTGTGCAAATGATGTCCGTCAAATTGATCATATTCACATTGGACCGCTTCATATCGAAAATGCAAATGTCTCGGATTTTGGTGCGGTACTGAATTGCTTGTATCCACAAATATACTGAAAAGATTACACAACCAATTACTATAAACAACACCACAAAAAATGCAGCAGGGACACCAATAACAACTCCATAATTCGTTTGAAAAACACATGATATACCATCATCAGAAGGTCGATTCCATCCGCTGCACTTCGTGCAAGAGTTGTTAGCCGCTGCTTCACAAAGTTCAATAGATGTATATATTACACAACGACCATCTTTTAAAACATAAGAATCAAGGCACCAAGTGCATAGTGTATTTGACTTACATAAAGTACATGATTCAGGACATAGGGAACACCGATGAACGTTTGAATAAAAACCGGGTGAACACACTTCACAGCCATCTTCAGTGATCTCTTCGCAGTCAGTCATGTTGTTATATGGCTGACATAACTTGGATTCCTCAATGATCTTAAAGTGATCACTTTTACATGTGACACATTCTTTTGAACTCAGACAAGTTTCACATGTACTGTCACATGGTAAACAGTCTTTTGAAACTTTGTAAAATCCCGTTTTGCATATTGCACATCCCCCACCACTCGGAAGTGCTATTTTGCATTTGTCTTTTAAGTTTCCTAAGTCTTTGCAGACATAACTTGAATCAATGAAAGAACCATCTGGACATTTCAAAGAGTAAGTGGTGTTGTAACAGTGTATTGAAGTGTTACTACATTGTAAACAACTTGAGTTATTGAAGTAATACCCTTCTTTACACCTTGCACACCCTTTGTTTGAATACAATTCACACTTTTCATCTTCTGTTACATTTAGTTCTTCTTGTTTTAAAGCCACGAAGTTACTTGCATATTTATAATTGCTCGAAGCAAATTGTTTGATTGGAAGATAAGTGTTTTCATTTACTTCTTGACATGAATAATTTAGTAAAAAATACGAGTTGTCGCATTCAAAACATAAATCAGTACTTGGGGCATAATACTTACACCAATTTTTGAACTCCAAATTGAGAGAACAAAACATCATCTTATTCTCTGAGTTCTTGGTGTCGTTTTGGTGATATCTTTCATTGCATTGGAGGCACCCTTGGCGGTTTGTTCTGGCACAGTTTAAAGTCGACTTTTCGACACAACGGGTGCTATCATATAACAAATAATTTTCATCACATTCAAAACATATTCCACCACGACATTTCTTACAATGTGAGACTTTACATGATTGACAAAACCCTGATGTAATTTCCATATTAGTTAAAGATGAGCAAGTCACACACTGCCCGTTGATGTAAAACAAACACTTTGTGTCAACAACACACTTAGTGGTTTCATAATTAAGTGACATCGTATTGTCACACTTTAACGCAACCAATTTGTCATTCAAGTGCACGCATACTTGTGCACCTGAATAGCATTTGCTACAATTTTGCTGATCAGTTGTGTAATATCCACTTGGACAGATGAAATAAGCGTTATTCCTGATATACACATTATCATTCTTTTCCACTAAACATGTACTGTTAATAATCTGCATGTTATCATTACACATGATGCATTCGGTGTTTCCTTTGTTAATTTTTAAGTATTTGCAAGTGCCAGACTTTATTTCACAATTCGAGTTAATGGAAATAACATCAGAACAATCACATGAGGTTTTTGTTGGATTGTTGCACTCGTCAAGTGAAATGCACTTGAAATCACTTAAAAAGTGCAAATTGTCACAGAGAAGACATTGAGTTGTTGTGAGTTGTGACATGCAATTTTTATCATTTAAAGTGCAATTGTTTCCATCATAATATTCTTCTTCTTTGCAACTGACACAATCGCCATTTTGCGGAGAAAATGGAGGAAAACAGACATCACAATGAGCAATACCTACTCGAACAGTCGAACATTTTTTACAATTTGGTTTTAAATTTAAACACTTCTGGCATGTAGTCTGACTGTCTTTAAAATAGCCATCTTCACATAAAGAACATTTTCCATTCGACAAAATAAAAGGGTCATTACACTCTAAACACTGTTGTTCTGTGGGAACGCATGATTTACAATTTTTGATGGTATTACAATTGACGCAAATACCGGAGGCGTTTGGATAGAACCCGATGTTGCATTGGATGCATTTTCTTGAAAAGTCTGGCGAACAGGTGAAGCAGTTTGTATCAAAAGAAATGCAAGAAACACACACATTTGATTTTGGTTCAGTGAAGACAAAGTTGTATTGACATCCCTCACACATTCCATTTGATGTGTTGCATTTGTTGTTGCAAGTTGTGCTGCAGTCAATGCATGTGTGTGACGTTTCATCCGGATATTTTGCTGTTGTGCATTTTGTGCACATTCTTGAATAGTTGGTTGCACACGTCACACAGTTTGAATCAAACGAGCTGCATGTGTCACATGTCATTTTGTCTGTGTTTGAAAACACATAATTCATCGAACATCCAGTGCATTGCCCACTTACTCCATCACACTTTCCGCCACATGTTGGACTGCATGTCTGGCACTTGTAATCCCCTGTCGTCTTTGGGTAATAATTCGAATTGCATTCACTGCATTTCCTTGATGAATCACTCATACATGTTTTACAATGAAAATCAAACGAGGAACAACTTTCACATCTCTGTGATGGCGGGTTATACATTACAAAGTTGTTAGAACAACTCTTGCAATATCCCGTTTCTGTATTACATTTGTTTTCACATGAAGAATCACATTTTTGACATTTAAAGTTGTCGTTTGGATAATATCCCATTTCACATGTTGTACATTTTCTTGAAAAATCATGTGAACAAGTTTTACAATTAATATCAAATGTTTTGCAATTATCACAATATAAAGATTTAGTTGAAGTAAGAACGTAATTTATTTCACATCCTGTGCAATACCCAGTATTTCCTTCACATTTTCCTCCACAAGTAGTATTACACGTTTGGCATCTAAAATCGCCATTTGTTTTGGGGTAATAATTTTGGTTGCAAAATATACACTTTTGGGAAGAATCGGGCGAACATGTTCTACAATTATTATCATAATCAGTACATTTTATACAATTGGACCCATTCTTAACTTCATTTTCAATACAACTGGTACATTCCCCATTGGCTCCATTACAATTGGTACAAGATTCACTACATTTTATACAATTATATGGTGCATTTGGGTTTGCATATGATTTGTCTATACACAATTCACATTTTCTGATACCTTGGGAAGCACATTTGGTGCATTTTAGATCAAACTCTGAACATGGTTCACAATGAGTAGATGGCGTTGAAGTAAAAACATACCCACTTATACAATTGGTGCATATACCAGTGTTTGTGTCACAATAATTGCCACAAGTTGAGTCACATTTTACACACACCCCGTTGATAATGTAATATCCTCGATCACATTGAATACATTTCCTATCGAAAGTAGGGGAACACACAGCACAATTTGGATCAAAAGCGTTACACGGAATACAACGAAGTGAACTTGTAGTATCGAACACATAATTTAAAATACATGAAGTACAAAATCCAGTTGTTCCATCACAATTACCACCGCAAGTCAAATCACATGACTGACATGTTGTTGGATTGGGATATTTACCAGAAGAACATTGAAGACATTTTCTATCGAAGGTAGTAGGACATTTTGCACAATATTGATCAAACGTAGTACATGAAACACACTTTGTGGACTTTGGAGAATCAAATACATACTGTGATTTACAAGACATGCAAATTCCATTTGTTTTATTACATATCGAGTTGCATGTGTCACTGCATAATGTACATTTACCATTACTTCCGGGATACTTACCATCTTGACACGAAACACAGCCATTTTTGTTGGAGTCACACGTCTCACAAAAAGAATCAAACTCGTTACATGTTTGGCAATTCAAAGAAGTGGAATCAATTTGAATGAGCCCATTTATACACTTGGAACAATAACCATTTGATGGGTTACATATTTGACATGTATTGTGACAATGTACACAAATGCCAGAAGCGTTTGGATAGAACCCGATGTTGCATTGGATACATTTTCTTGAGTAGTTAGTATCACAAAGTGAGCAGTTAGTATCAAAAGAAATGCAAGAAACACACACATTTGATTTTGGTTCAGTGAAGACAAAGTTGTATTGACATCCCTCACACATTCCATTTGATGTGTTGCATTTGTTGTTGCAAGTTGTGCTGCAGTCAATGCATGTGTGTGACGTTTCATCCGGATATTTTGCTGTTGTGCATTTTGTGCACATTCTTGAATAGTTGGTTGCACACGTCACACAGTTTGAATCAAACGAGCTGCATGTGTCACATGTCATTTTGTCTGTGTTTGAAAACACATAATTCATCGAACATCCAGTGCATTGCCCACTTACTCCATCACACTTTCCGCCACATGTTGGACTGCATGTCTGGCACTTGTAATCCCCTGTCGTCTTTGGGTAATAATTCGAATTGCATTCACTGCATTTCCTTGATGAATCACTCATACATGTTTTACAATGAAAATCAAACGAGGAACAACTTTCACATCTCTGTGATGGCGGGTTGTTATAAACATATCCAGAAGCACATGATGCACAAACACCATTTGAAGCATTACAAGAATTACATGTCTCATCACAAGGAATGCACATTTTTGTGTTTCCTGGATACATACCATTTTCACAATTGATGCACTTTCTTTCCCCATTATCTGCACATTTTTGACATTTGATATCAAATGACTTACATGGGATACACGAAGTTGAATTGGTGGAATTCAAAACATAACCACTTTCACATCCAGTGCAATACCCCAACATATTGTTACATTTTCCTCCACAAGTTGTATCACAACGAGTACATTTGCCAAATTGGTCCGGGAAGTTACCGTCATTACATTTCAAACAAATTCTTGTTGAATTACTTGCGCAAGTTATACAATTAGAATCAAAGTCTAAACACGGTTGGCATGTTTTTGATGCCACTTCATATAAAACATAACCCATTAAACATGAAATACAAGTTCCATTTGTTGTTGAACATTTATCAGAACACGTGTCCGAACATTTGACACACAGTCCAGTTGATGTATTTGGATAGAATCCTGTTTTACACTCAATACATATTCTTTCCCAAGTTGGAGAACATGTTATGCAATTTGAATCAAAAGAAGAACACTCCTCACATGTCGATGAAAAAGTGACACGAAAAACATAATTTGTGTTACATGATAAACAAAATCCTTGGTTATTACAATTTCCACCACAAGACGCACTACAATAAAGACAGTTATAAGGATATACACTCGAAGGATATTTCCCCTTATTGCACGACAAACATTTTCTTGTTGTTGTCGAACACGTTGTACACGAAGAATCAAACAGTTTGCAATCTTCACAATTATTATTTGATGTTGAAAATTGTGTATAGCCTTCGATGCAAACTGTACACATTCCCGTTTTGGTGTCACATGTTTTACATGTTGAGGAGCACGGCGTACACAATTTTGATGATGGATAATAACCAGTTTGACATTCGATACACTCTCTGTCATAAGTCAAACACTTTGAACAATGTGAATTAAATGTGGTACAATTAATACATTTACTGGGATTTGAAAGACTTTTGACATATCCTTCAATACAACTTGTACAATATCCACTTGTTCCATCACAAGAATTTCCACATGTTGAGTCACACTTTTGACAATTTCCATCTGCGTTTAAAAAGTAATTTGAATTACATTTAATACATTTGCTCTCTGTTTGAGAACATGAAAGACAATGAGTAAATGTTTCACAAGAAATACACTCTCCCGAAGAAAGATAATATCCAAAAATACATTTAGTACAAATTGCAGTTGAATTTGTATTTGCAATCACACAAGTTTCGGAAGCGCAGCGTGAGGAGCAACAATGTGTTTCGTCTTTTAAATAATTTGAATTACATCCACCACACACCCAGTCAACATTTTCTGAATCACATCTAACACATGTAATTTTTGAGTCTGTGTTGCGAATTAACCCATACCCAATCGGACATTTACCACAATTCTGACTTGTGCCAAGACACTCCAAACATATTTCAATGGACAAACCTGAGCAAATTAAAGCTTCGGTTTTTTGCGACCATTTTGCAGGTTGGTTATTATCGATAATTGAAAGTATTTGTCCATTTCTAAATATAAAAGTTGAATGGGAAATGTTTTCAAATTTAGTTTGTATTTCAGGGAAATATAACATGGAAAAAACCATATCATAATTCAACTTTCTTAACATCGTTGATGTATAAATTGTAACGTTTTTAGAGTGATTACATTTAACTGTAACTTCAGAATTGCTCATTAAGAAAAATGTATTATTTTGGAAATTTACAGTATTAAAACACGAATCTTTAGTCGTCGAGTCGATGCATGTATACACACCAGTTTCTATCAGACACCAATCGCCCAATACTAAACACCAAAACAATGCCCATACCAACTTTCTCATTACAGTTAATGTTAAATGCTATTTTTTGATTTTTTTTTTCAATGTGATTCAAAGTGCGACTCTATACATTAATAATCCATTTTTGTATTTTTTATTTAAAAAACATAAGAATAAAAAATAATGTTTTTTTCTGTTTGTTTAAATTTGAACAATCAATGTTAATAACAAAAAAAAATAAAAAAGATAAAATCGGAGAGATGTTAACTTTTGATTCAAAAAATGGAAAAGAAATCTTATTAAAAAAAATATTCCCATATTTTAGCTTCAAAATAATTTTCATATTTATAACTTGATTTTATAACTAAGAAAATATAATACAGACAATTTCAAAAGTTTTAACTTTTGGTGTTATTTTTCTAATTATTTTTATTATAATTTATTAATTTTTAAGAATTGTGATTTTTACAAAAAACATTGTTTTGTATGTAGACAAATATTGTCTAAACTAAACTTCATTTTATTTATTTTTTTCTTTTTTTCAAAAACTGTTTTACAGAAAAAAAAATTTCATGGTATAAATAAGGAAAAAAACATTTAATAATAAACAATTAATAGATAATTATTTGATAATAAAAAATGTTACGTTTTTAAAAAAATTCAATAAAGTTCATAAAATAGTTTTTATGCGATTGTTGTTTTCTGTTTTCTGTTATTATAATTAGGACCTACATTGACCACCACCACCTCTTAAAATAGATTTATTTTTTCTATTTAGAATCATATTCAAATTAAAATTATAGTAAATAGGAAAATGGGAAGATATTAGGTCTGGTTCCCGAATTCAAAAAATGCCGAAAATTCACCTCGAGTCAGTGAAAACCAAGTGAGACGGAGCATTGAAAAGAAGGCTCTGAAGACACACTCAAACAGTCTGTTTGTGCACCGTTTCACCCACTTTCCAAGTCCTCCCTTGGCGCGGATCCCCCCTGACCCCCCCCCGCAAGCGGGGGGGAACCACATCCGCGTCCACACAGTACGGACAAGGAAAGTGGGTGACATGGGGACGCACAAACAGTGGCTGAAAAATGGACTTCCTTTAAAAAGCACTCGCGGCAAATGTTTTTTTTTGGTAAAGGTGGTGGTGGTGGTCAATGTAGGTCCCTATTTTTTAAGTTAAAAAAATTATAAACAATAATAGTAATACCTCACAAAAGTGGCACATCTGAAAAACAAATTCTCTCAAGAACGGGCATTTTTAGCCAACCAAACCTTAAAAACATTCTCTATGGAACTCCTATTTTTGGTTTTGATATAAAATTGCCTGTTCTTGAAAGAGCCGCTCTTTAGATGTGCCATTTTTGGGAAGTTTCATTTTAGTAATAATACAAACTTAAATTAACAATGATTTGGATATGTTTGGGTAAAGCCATTATTTATAGGGTCCTCTATGGATTCTCCATAACCAAAAAAGAAAATTGGTTGTGTATGAGAATTGTCATAATGAGTTGAAAAACATTCTTCTCTATTTATGTCGGATTTATGTTCTATTTTTATTTCTTGTGGGTGGTCTGTGTCATTTAATTCATAACAATTAAATGTTGATTTTTCTTGTTCTTCTGTTTGGTGCACTTTTGAATCCTGCACTTGTTGTTGTGACATGGTGTTTTGAACCGAATTATTAAAGTCACACATTTCCACTGATTGTTCATTAATATGATAAATTTGTGACTCTTCACCGGTTGTCCATGACTTGACCCCTGTGGTTGGTTTAGGGGTCAAGTCACGGACAATCAATGAAGTATCATCTGGAGTTTTTTCTATGAAATCCTGTTGGGTTAGTGATATTTTTTGGTCGAAAAAGCTTGGGTTCAGAAAAAATGTGTATTTTCCACACTTTTTGGTGTCATTTGTATTCATCAATATTTCGTAACTATCAGGAGTCGGCAATGGTTCGTTGTACATATAACTATATACTAAATTATGAAACTTGGCGCCTTCCTCCAACAGCCATTTTTCTGAGAACAACACTTCGTCGTTCATCTTGATTGTGTTGATGTATTGTTTCTTCCAATTGTTGAGCGAGTCATAAGTCGATCTTTTTCCCTTTGCTCTCAAAGTGGCGTATCCTATGCTCTCTAAAATGTTGGCTATTTTATCCAGCATAAAAGCAAAGATTAGATCATCTTTTTTTCTGTCCTTTCTTGAATCTACAGTCTTTTTCCCCTTGTTTGTAAGAGCAGAAACAAAGTCGTTTATTGCTTTCGTCACGTCCCGTGACTGACTCACAACTTCTCGGTCCCAAACTACTTGCCCCGTTACATCTTGGATTAGCAAGAGTTTGACTTCATGAATGTGTTCAGTCTTCTTTGACGGCTTCTGTAAGTCGAGTACATAGCCACACTTCAACAAAACATATAAACTTCCAAAAACAAGGTTTTCTTTCTTAAGTTTATTTGAATTCCTGGTCATACTTGTTGCTTTAATTTGACGAGCATTCTTCGGATGTTCAAAAGGCCTACCAGCTGATAGCATTGTAATTATTTATTTGTCAAAGTGGGTTATTAAATAGCGCAATTTATATTTAGAATAGACGGAATGTATTTTATTTCTTTATTTTATTCATCTTATTCTTAATACATAAATATGAATTACGAACGGATGTAATTCAAATAAAATACCTTATTTTTTAAATTCTTAATCTTTCTCAGAAAAATAAAAAACAACAACAGTCCATAATTCAAATCAGCTACACCTTAAATGTTTCAATGATAAAGAAGTAATAGAAAAATGAGAACATTCCTTTACTTATTTTTTATTCTCCCTTGAAATTAGATGTCCCAAAAACGCATAATGGTCTGGAATTATATAAAAAAATACTAAAGGTACTGAAACAATTAATTATAATACGTAATAAAAAGAAAAAGTATAGTGTATCATCACCTTCTGGGAATTAGACCTTAACTTTTATTTTTCTAAAAAGAAAACTAAATTTAGCATTATTTTGAAACTAATAATTACAAACGCTACAAAGTTCTAATAGGGTAATAAACCATATGGAATGACCAGAAACCCTTCAATATTTAAATATCGAAAAACTGAAAAATTCAGATATCAAACAAGACAGGACCTACATTGACCAAAATAATGTAGGTCGTCACAATGTGGATGATATCGTCACTTCAGTTACTATGTGTCACTCGTTTCACCCACTTTCCTTGTCCTTTCCAGATGTAGTCCCCACTTGCAGAGGGAACCACACCAACGGAGGACATGGAAAGTGGATGAAACGAGTGACACATAGACTGTTATTTCGAGGTTTCTTAATTTTTATTTGGAATTTTTTTGAATTCTAAATATCGTGTGGTTTATAAAACCCACATTGGTTCACTTTGCTATCGATGTGAAGCCCCAAAAATCCAACCAAAAAAATTAAGTTTATCAATGTGGATTTTTATATTTTTTTATGTAAAAAATCTTGTTATTACCAATTCTTTCAAAAATAAAAAAATGTTATTTATTTTGTTATTTAAACACCATTCTAAAGTTAATTTGCTAAATTCATAACAATTATTATTATTGTTTTTATATTAAAAAATATGAAAATCAACGATGGAAAAAATGTATTGTTGATGAAAACACCAATACTGTTAATGTTTTAATAAAATTATTTCTAAATATTGAAGAAAAAAGGAAAATCGATAAATAATTGTTTGCGTGATTGTTTTGTTTACTGTTTACATTCAAAAGAGTCGCCACAATGCAAGTTTTTTGTATGTCATATCAAGTTCAAAAAATTGTGTTTTATTTAAGACAGTAACAGTATCGTAAGGTTAATTAAGCATTGATTGTAATGAAATGACTGGCATATTTTGAATAATAAAAATAAACAATATATTTTATGATTATCTTTTTACTATATTTTTTAATTAGTTCATCACTTGAAATTATAAAAATAACAAGATTTTATAGATAATCACTAAAAAAGATTAAATAAGCCATTTTTCTGTCCTCAATTTCTTTTATATAAAGAATGAAATTGGTATTTCTTTCAATGTTTGTTCACACAATACTAGGGCTCTCTCGCAAGTCAAAGCTTTTCGAGTTACTTTGATAATGGAAGACTGTCGGTCTTCAATTGTCAAAGTAACTTGTTAGTTTAATAAAAATCTCCTTCCCATATTTAACCCAAAATCTAAAAGTTGACGAGGTTTGCGGAGTTAAAAACACATAACCAATTTCTAACAACACCAAAATTCAATTGAATTCAGATTGTATGATTGTTTGATATTATTATTAATAAATTATATATATAGAATTATCAAAAGAGAAATTTGTAAATTATTTAATTATATATTTATAGTAAAAAATACTATTATTCATCAACTGAGAAAAATTGGTTGAAACCAAATGAATAGTTGGTGGATTAATAAGTAAAGTTTAAAACTAGTGGAGCCTCAGTTTCCTTCATTTTCTGTTCGCCTTTCAGTTCTTTAACAATAGCCAAAGCAAATTCAATTGCAGAGCCAGGTGCTTGACTTGTGATGACGTGGTTGTCAACAACAACTCTCTGTGAAACGGCGCTTTGATTATGTAACTTAGGTTGGAATGATGGGTAGCAAGTAGCACGTCTTCCTTCACTAATTGTTAATTTAACTCAAAAGTAAAAGAAACAACAAACAGAATACCATTGGCCTCGAAGACTAAAGCTGGTGAAGCACATATGGCGGCTATGTATCGATTCTCAATTAGTTGTTGCTTAAGCATCGAAATCAAGAGAGTGTCTTTTGCCAAGTAATTAGCACCAGGGAGACCTCCTGGTAGACAGATGACATCGTACTTCTTGTTTTGGCACTCCTTTAATAAGCAGTCTGCCACAAGAGTCACTCCTCTTGAACATTTCGTCTCTTTCTTCTCTCCAATGGTGGCAATGGTCACAGCTATCCCAGCTCGGGCAACCACATCAGCGATGGACACAGCCTCAAGTTCTTCAACCGACTCTGCGATGACCAACAAAACACTCATTGTGTTTTTAGTTTCTTTTTTTATTGAAATACTTTTAACCATTTTTTGGGTTTTGCTACGCTTTTTGTTATGAATTATCGGGGATGAATATTTTGTAGTTCCATTCCTCTAATTTATTGTAAACTTATTATTAAAAACGTCAAAATGCTACTCTTTACATCAATCCCAATTATAATAATAACCATTGTATTATTATTTGAAAAATGGACAAAGAATCAATCCCAAATGTTTACAATTCACTAAATCTTTTCGATGGATTTTTTTAAAACCAAATAACCTTACGATTTTTTTATAAAACATTTTAAAAAAAAATGTTTTGTTGTTAAAAAAACCAATACAGCCTTAGTGTTTTAATTAAACCAAAATTTTATTTAAAGGCATTGAGTTATTTGTTTAACATCAACCAAATTTTTATTGTAATAATTATTATGATAATAAGATTTGTTTTCTTTTCTCCTAAAAAACACTAAAATTATGAAATAGTAAAACAGTTTGAAAATGTCCAAAAAACGAATTGTTTTCATATGATAATATGAAATAAAAATCTATTGGATCAATTGTTCGAATATTGAAAACCCAATAGAACTTGAATAGATTAAAATAATGTTTCTCCTTCTTTGTATTGCATTAGTGAGAGGATCATCCACATGCAAACCAAAGTCACAAAAATGTAGTGACGGCTTCAATATATACAGTTTGGCTTTATTTATTATATTTTAATATTATTTAAATATTATATATTTACAACGAGCAACGTCAGGAAGCACGGCAATATCTTCATGTGAAATTGTGATGATTGACTATGACTTCCAATTTACATCTTCATGTCTCTCATTTTTTGACATCACACCACTTCTTGAAATTAATGCCAACTCGACCCTTAAATTGGAGCAAGGGGTATTTACAGCTGCGGGTGGTGTACATGTCAAAGGTGGTATCGAACTGCGGTTAAGTGGTGTCACAAATCCAGACCAGTTAAAGACGTTAGAGCTCGACCAAAATTCTAAAATATCATTTTTAGACAAGCTTATCTTTAATAATAATTATGAACTACAAGAAGGGCGAACATACAACTTTTCCAATCAAACAACCTTTACAGAGAATGCAACATTAGTTGTTAATTCAAAATCAACTTTATTCACTGATAAAATACTCTTTCAGGAATCCAGTTGTTTCAAAAACATAGGAAACTGCTCTGTAACATTTAGTGGCGATATCATTTTCAATGACCAAAGTACTTTGTCAACCAATTTGGTATTATGTCTCCACCAGTCAGGTAAAGGTAAATTAATATTCAGAGACTACTCAAAAGCATCAATTTCTGGATTTCAATTTGACAGTTTAATGGATGTTATTATATCAGACAACGCTTCTTTTAATGTTTTATCTATGGGGATGCTTATTACAATGAATAATATCGTTCTCTCGGACTATTCAACAATGAATTTTATAGGAAAAATGAGTTCATTATCCTTTATGGCTGTGGGGAATGCTGTTGTCAATTTGTATTCCCCTTTCTTATTTAGTACAAATTCCCTTTCATTGGATGGATCGGCTGATGTCTCGACACAGTCTAGCACCATCTCACAGGCATACATAACGACTGAAACGGCAAGTACAACTAAAAATAGTCGACTGATGCTTTTAAATTGCCAATTTGTTACGAAAAAATTTACGACAAGAAACACTTCAGTGGTCAAAATGAGTTCAACGCATTTTATTGCCGATGAAATAAACCAATATGATTCGAGTGAAACCAATTTCACTAATGACAATATTGTAGAATCAACTTATTGGTATGCCAGAGACTCTTCATTTGTCACTATCGACTCCTCAAAAAATATCAATTTCTATCGTTTTCCAGAGTTGAGGGGAAATTCCACATTCATTGCAACAAATTCGTGTATTGAAGACAATCTTGATAATTCAATGGGTTCATTGACAATCACTGAAAATTCACGGTTCATTCTGAAAAATTCTAATATCACGACTAACCACTTAATACGATCATACAACACACCAACTCTTCATTTGATAAATTCTACAATCTATGCACACGACTTGGTGGGACTTTACTTGTCGTCAACACTCATCTCCGAGTCCTCACAAATTGTTATTGACCCTTTTGACACTACAAGTTATGGCGATTCCATATTGTTTATTGCTAGTGAAGTTGTGATAAATTTGGGAGACCAAACAATATGCAAAGCACCTCCTTTTGATGTAAAAAATGGAAGCGTTAATATCGAAAAGGGTGCTGTTGTGGCACAGAGTGTATCAACATGTGTCAACGTCATATTCTTCGAATTTGAGAATCCCACTGTTAAGTATGACAAAAACACGTTCATCTCGTTGTACGACAATTTAATATTGCGCCGTTGCCCTTCAGTCATTGACACGAACATATACTGCGAATTAAAATACCAACCCACTGGAGCTGAGCTTTCCGACTCAATTTGGAGTTTCCAGTTTTGTCCATGTCAAAATTCGGAGAGTTCGGTGTATGTGTATGCAGACCCTTCACAAGTTGATATTGGTAAAGAGAATATCGATATTGTGTTTTATGACAAAGAAATAGATGCCATATTACAGAGTGTTGAAAGTGATACAATAACTCAAACCATTTCAGGGACAATTCGGTACTTGTATTTACCTAATGGGATTGTTGTTCAGGGTATTACAACTGACATGATAATAATAAATGACAAATACACACTAAAAGTACAACGAGACGTTCCAACACTCATTCAACATTTTCAAATTGGAGAGACGTCATTTGAAATCGACAATTCATTCAATTTGGTGTTCTACTTAAATAGTGGGTTTGATGTCTTTAATTTGACAATGGCAGAGTTCTTGTCGACAACAATGTTCATATCTGTAAACGGCATTTTTGTAAATGAAGAACTGGACCTCTGTGAAACAGTAATGATACAACCGGGTAGCGTCAGTTGTCTTCGTAAAAAGGTTCGTGCATGTCCCAATGGGTATTACCTTTCAGGGACATTATGTAAAGAATGCATTCAAAATTGTAAGATATGTACAGAGAATATCTGTAGTCTTTGTCAAGACAATTATCAATTGGTTAACGACTCATGTCTACCTGTCACTGATGAATTGTGTTTATATTACACCAATGAACATTGTACCACATGTTCTGAGGGTGGCGTAATCAATGGAACATGTGAAAAATCTTACAGCGACCCCAATTGTGTATCTTTTTATGAGGACACGTGCTTACTTTGCGACTACGTTAATAACTATTATATCAATCGAAATGGGTTGTGTATTAAAACTCTACACTCTTCAATTGTTTCATTTGATAGTGTCATTTCATGTGAAGATGGATATCATTTGGTTGGAAATGAATGTCGAAAGTGTGTAACTGGTTGTGCCAAATGTGACTCTTATAGATGTTTTCAATGTGCAGACACTTACACTATGATGAATACGAATAATTGTCTGTTATCACATTGTTTAAAACAAGAGGGTGACATGTGCACTGAATGTGAATCAGAATATGCAATAACAGTTCAAGGTAGATGCGTCTTTCAAATCGAACATTGTGTTGTTATGGGGATGTTAAATTGTCTTCAATGTGAACCGGGATGGTATTTGATTGGGCAAAATTGCTATAATACAACTACATCTTGTATTGAACCAACCACATTTGGGTGTATCTCATGTGAGGATGGATATTATGCTACAGAGAAATATGTTTGCCAGCCGTGTAACAGAATTTGCTCGACTTGTGCATTGGGGCCTTCATTGTGTCTGACATGTGGAAACTCGAATTACAAAGATGACGCCACTGGAAGTTGTATTTCAGACGTTGAAATACAAGAGAAATGCAGTAGCCATCTACCAAATGGGAAGTGTACAAGTTGCAATGATGGATATTATCTGAACAATTTGGCGTGTTTATCCTGTGATGTTTCGTGTAGTACTTGTGTAATAGAAAAGAAGTGTATCACCTGTAACTCAACAAACTACATGAAAGATGGGACATGTGTTCCACAGACTTCAATTATTGGATGTAACTCTACAATTACACCAGAAAGTGGGTGCACATCGTGTCAAGATGGCTATTACCTTGCAACCTCTGATTGTGGTGTTTGTCCCATCAATTGCACGATATGTGACAATGCAGTGTGTTGTTTAGCATGCAAAGAGCGTTACATTTTAATGAGCAACAACGTCTGTATATTACAAGAGGACGTTCTTCATTGTGTCACAAGTAAAAATAGTAAATGCACTAAATGTGAGTTTGGATATGCACCAAGTAAGGATGGCAGTTATTGCAATAATCAATATCCAAATTGGCTTATTGCAGTCATTTCAATTTGTGTTATACTCTTCTGTGTATTCATTGGTGTGATTATTATGCTAATAATTTTCCAAGTTATAATGCACAGGTACAAAAAGAACCGTGAAGAGAAGTATAAAATATTCTCGTTCGACAAAGAAAAGTTTAATTTCTTTACGTTGAACAAACACATCTCTTCAAATAAGAAGTTGATCACATTTGCACACGAATTGGAGGAGTTCGACAAAGACAGTAGTAACGAAACCCAGCCTCTTCTCCGCACCAAAACAGTGTATGTGTCGACCATCCCTGTTATGAAACAAAGTATAGAAACTCTTTGTATTGGGAATGAAACATCCCACTCATTAAAAATGCAGTTAATCCCCAAAAGTGACTCAGACAAACTTAAGATCTCAATAGAACCCAATGTGATAACCTTATACAAGAACCAAGCATGTTCTATAAGTATTAAATTAACACCGTTATGTACACACCATATCATAGAAGACATCTCCATCATCACTAAGTCGATTAAATCAGGAGAAGAATTACAATACTTCATGCATATCGATGTCGAGACGGAAATTAGCACACGACTCGACTATGATGATTTGATACAAGATAAAAAACTTGGTGAAGGTTCTTTTGGTATTGTGTACCTTGGAAATTACAAAGGCAACCAAGTTGCTATCAAAAAGTTGCGGTTTGTAGAGGGAGAGGCAATGATCGACTTTGGGAAGGAAGTTGACATGCTTTCCAAATTGAAGAGCGACTACACTGTTTACTTTTATGGTGCATGTTTCATAGAGAAACACGTCTGTATGGTCACTGAATTCGCACAATTTGGAAGTCTGAGAGATTACATGAAAGTGAATCTTCATAACCCCATTCTAATGAAACTTCGTATCAAATTCATGTCTGACTCGGCTAAGGGAATTGAGTATTTACACAACAATGGCATTTTACATAGAGACATCAAGCCGGACAATATTCTTGTTGTCTCAATCGAAGAAAATGTATCGGTGAATGCCAAACTGACTGACTTTGGTGCTTCAAGAAGTATCAATTTGTTGATGACTGATATGACATTCACTAAAGGAGTGGGGACACCCGTTTATATGGCACCTGAAATTTTGGAAAGACAACACTATAAAATGCCAGCAGATATATACTCCATGGGAATCGCAATCTATGAAATTATCACATGGAAATTCCCTTATCAAAACATGAGGTCGTGGGATGTAGCAGACTTTGTAGCTTCTGGCAAACGTATGGATTTGTTAGAGATCCCACAAAAATACAGAGAGGTCATCGAACAGTGTTGGCGACAAGACCCCACTGAAAGATACACATCAACACAATTAAAGAAACAACTCAATTATATTTATGAAACAGAGTAATATAAATAACTCTTATTATTATATAGTTATTAGTTATCAATATTTAATTAATTGTTAAATACAACTTTTTTAAGTAAAATTAATTATTTTAATATGATAATAGTTATTCAAAAGAAAAAAAATGTTGTTTAAGGTAGTCAATGTGCTCTTATGAACATATCGAATAGAATTAAAGCCATTACTCTTGAGAACAGTTTGCACCTTCACAATTTAAATCACAAAGGTTTTGATTAGTCTCATGGACTAGTTTTAAGTCTTATATGTGTGTTGGAAGTCTAAATTAACAAAAATTATGGGCTTTATATAAACTATAATTTGTGGTATAATTAATTATAAAAACAACTATTCAAAAATATCAAAGGAAATAAATGGAAAAAAGTAACTAAAACAAATAGTAAAAACAGTAAAATATACTATTCAAATGCGACGGAATTATCCATTCCAAAGGCTCTTTCCTCGATCTCCGGGTTCTTAATCAAGAAGAGGAGTGATTCGTACTGATTGTCCTCGTTCTCGAAATACATGGGCGCTGACTTTCTTGACTCGATGTCGGCAACATTTCGTCGTTGTACAACCTCTGCCGTAGTTGAGTACATTTTATTAATCTTCTCCCAAACATCATTTTTCTTTTGTTGTGATTTAAATGAACGGTTGACAGTCTCGACAACGTTCGAATTGGGTCTTTTCAGACAGATGACGGTCTTCTTAGCCATTAATTAATTACTTGAAAGGTTAGTTCATGTTTTATAGTTGTACTCGCCATTTCTGTAATGTGCTTAATTTGGTCTTTTTGTGCTTGTCTTTATCGAAGTTTGTAGGCGTTCTGTTCGGCCTAATTCCCTCTATGAGTTGCGGATTTTTCCCAATTGCCCACCCTTTTGGTAAAGCTCAACCTAAAAAATATCCCCAATCTTGTGGGATTTAAAAACCCCCTCCGCAATGTCGTATTCTTTTTACAAGTTAATAGTTTTTTGTTTCATAAGACTGGTTTATGTTATTAAGTATTAATTTCATATAGTTTTAATGATTCATTTTTTATGGTTATAAAATTTCAGTATAAACGTGTCACCAAAAAATAGAAAAAAGCAATTCAATATTAAAAAAAAGTCGTGTGAAAAAGACTAACAAAACGGGATAATAGATAACTAGAAGCTTGAAAAATGTTCAACACTTATTCGAAACTTCGTTTCTCTATTTTTTTTTCTTGGTGACTTTATCTTTTTCAAATAAATAGTCAAATCTTGACCGGAATTGTGGGGTTTTTGTAAACAAAAACAAATTTGTTTTTTAATGACTTTGCAAATTAATAATTTAAGTAATTAAAATGTATTATAAAATTGTGGAATAAGAGATTTAACTTTCAAATTGCCGAAATAAATTAATAAACAAAGCAAATTCTTTTTTCTCAACAGAAAACCATTTAATAGTAAATAAATAGTATAATTTCATATTAATACTATTGATGTTTTTGTAAAGAATTGAAAACTGAACTCGAAAAACAAAGATACAATAATGAAATTTAGGAAACAAAGGAAAAAAGACAGAATTTGCAGAGTGGTTATAATTTAATATATTTTTTATTTGAATTTGGTTAACCTAAATCAAAATTATCACTTTTTATTTGATGGTGTGAAAATAATTTGATGATTTTTATCAAAAACGGTTGGTGGGTTTGCGATATTTTTACCTATACTCTCGGGAACTATTTTTAAAATCCCTTACATCTTATTTTTGGAAGGAAATAAAAAATTTTGACTTTTATTTAAAAACAGTAAAATGAATAATTCCACCATTGAGTTTGATGTTTCACTTTTTTGGAACAAAACAAATTATTTAAAACAATCAACCTGATTAATGTTTGCAGTGTGGTCAACAAGCAAACTTATGTAAGGTTGTGGTAATTAATTATAAATTCATCATTTCATATATTATACAGTTAACGGAAAAAGGGGGATGCTGATTTAAATATTAATTAATTTAATATTATTAATAATAAATAATTAATATAAATTTATTTTGGTTTTTTCATTTTATTAATTTTTTGATTAATAATTTATATTAAAATTAATAGTAATTTTATTATTTTTCGATTGAAATTAACCATTAGTTACGAGCATCCTCCTTTCTCTAGCATCCCCATATTTCCTCCTACTGTAGTTTCAAAATATATGATTAGAAACATCAAAATTGGATTTCCATATTAGTATAAAAGTCTCGAAATATAATTTTTAAAACAAGGATGAGATTAAGAGCAATACCACATTGTAGTTTTCTTAGTTAAATTTAATCACAAAGTGTTTGAATTAACAGACTTGTTGAAGTCTTTACCACAATATAACAGTCTGTTTTTAAACGTTTTCTAGTCTTTTTTGGACAATAAAAAATTGGAATATATGTGCGAAGCCGTCCCAAAAATATATCCCAAATGTTTCAAGTTTTTCCCATATCTTATCTAATTCCCGATGTTTAAATATAATTAAAGCTATCTTTTGTCTACCAGATAAAGTTATAAGACTGACTGTACTACTTTTTCAATTTACTTATTAAAATACAAAGTACTTTAAAAGTTGTGTTACATCAAATTTTTGCTATTATTCTGATTTCAAACAATATTTTAACTCATTTAGATAGTTTTACAACAAATAAATTGGAACTATACAGTAGGGAAAATGAACCTTAGCCTGGGAAATGTACTTTAGCCCAAAGAAATTCCTATATTTTTCTTTAAAAACACGGGTTTTTACTAAAAAAACAAATATTTTTGAAAATTGACTTATATATCGGTATAGTTTATTATTTTAATATAACAATAGAAATAAATTAGTTTTTCTTTGGGCTAAGGTTAATTTCCTGGGCTAAGGTTTAATGGCCCAACTGTATATAATGTGTTCTAATTTGGTCAGAATTGTACAATTATCTCATTTTTAAAGATGGTCTTTTTGTCAAAGAATTGTAATTTAGTTTAATTTAATTTATTTAACACCAAACTATGATACTTGTTATTTTATATTATTTATAATCTTCAGTTGGTGTTTTTACTCTATTTGGAACCTTTGGTATTAAAAATATGAAATTTCGGAGACTTATCCAAAATCCATTTCATTGGTTCATTTTATTCATGTTATACCCAATGCCCGTTTTTTACACAAAAAAAGCTATAGTTGTTCACAATATAGCATTATAATAATAATCCAATAAAATTTTCTGTTCAATGTTAAACAATAAATTAACAAAAACAAAATCGAACAACTCAAGTTATTCAAAAAAATGGATTGTAATAATTGATTGTTTATTTTAATGATATTATATCAAATTACAAAACAACTATTAAACACTAGTTTTGGAGTTAAAAATAGAGGTCTTTGCTCACCATCCCCGATATTTCAATCCATTTACAAATCACACTGAATTTTCTTTCGGTAAAAATGAGTAAAACAATAAAATGTGACTTGTTTTACTCAAAATGCGTCAATGAAACTTCGAAAATAAATGGGATTTGTACTATCCGTGCTGGTTGCCTTTGTTCTCCAGTCTTCTGCGGAGAAGTGGTGCTTTACAGAAAACAGCGCTGTCCTATCATATAGAAATGAATTGTCGAAAGGAGAATGCGACTACTCTCTAAATCGATGGATTGGTATTTTAATAGACACTACAACAATCCCAGACATCATTTCTGTATATCCAGATTGTTGTTCTTATGAAATGAACTCGTCGATGAACCAATTGTTCATAGACTCTTCTACTTATCCTGTCGCTCAAAAACATGTTTTACAGACTTCTTTTTATGGTACAAATTACACACGAAACTATTTCAACATCACTTTGTTTGAAACCAATAAGCAATCGGCGTGGACTATATACACTGCAAATATCATTTCTGGTTCATTGATTTATTTATCAGGAATTGCACTTGATTCACACTATTCATTCTTCATCGAGTCGAGAATGTTCAACATCACAACAAATTCAAATTCACAAATTACAATTGATCTGACGTTCTCTTGGGGGTTCTCTCCTGTTGTATTTGTCGACGAAAACACAGAAGTTTTGGTGTTAACAGAGTCTGACAGAAGCAATTGTCAATATCGGTACACCACAAAAAATTCGATAAAAAGCTCAACTGTTGATAATGAGAACTTGGAGATGAGGAATCTTTGCACAACGTCAGGATACCAGAGAATGTTTGTCTGCAACAAAAAAGTGCCAATTTCAGAAGACTGCACATGCTCATATTATGATCACGAGTACATTAACCACGCTCAAGACTGTACTGTTATGAGTAAGTATCTCACTTTTGTACCACTTCACATACAAGAAGAAACACCATACCAATTTGAATGGAATACTTTGGAGATATCAGGTGAGACCACAATGACAATTAAAAAGGGAAGTAACATGACATTTTTAAGTCCTGTATATCTGCCTAATGACAATTTGATTATAGATGGTATGGTCATATTTAAAGGAGGAATCGTCGTAAACGATTTCAATCGATTTTATTCCTTTTCATCGTTTCAAATTGAAAATGTAACCACACTCCAACGTTCTCAGAGCACAACACCAATTTTATTCAATGGAAAGTGCTCGATGGGAGAGAGTAAATGCGAAGAGTTTTACAATAAAAGTGCTATTAAAGAAGTCAAATGTGGTGGTCCTATATATCGTTATATCTCAAATACAAGCGACTTGAGATGCGAGTGTTACTTACTGAATTCGACACACTTCAAACAAGCGGATTGTGCATTTCTTGCATCGCGAAGGCAATACAATTTCGACCTCGTGTTAGATAAAGATTTGGAGAAAGACGGGGAAGCGTTTTATTTCAATTCGATTAGAACAACTACTGATTCTGTTATACTCAAAAGCGACTCAATTGTCGTACAAACTGTTTGCGACTTCACAAAATCTACATACGTGGAAATTAAGACACAACTTGAGTGTGGAAAGGTCTTGCTATCCAATACAACACGGGTTGTTGGAACGTCCGGATTCCTCAAAACCTACAACGTTCAAATCATAGGAGTTGTAAATAACTTGAATGGAAACGCACTCATTTCAATGGGAAATGCAAATTTTATAAGTGACGGCGGACTGAAGAAAACGTTTGAAAGTGCCCAGAACACTTGCTTTGAACTTGCTACATCAAAAACTGATATTTCAAGTTCGTTAAACAATGCAATTGACAGTGGGTTTGTGTCATACGTTCTGTCAAATAAACTGGTAAGAGTCTGTCCTGTAACCACACATTCAACAAATGACCTTGTTGTGGTATGTGAAGTCGGTTCTGTATTTGGTAATTTTGAATATGAACAATGCCCTTGTGTGGGAATAGACTGTTTGTTTCGATTCAATTCAAATACAATTGAAATACAAAATGAGAATGAAATCATCAATGGGACTGTAATCTTTCCAAATTTAACACCTTTGAATAATGTTGTTCAAATCACAAAGATGAACATCATAGAAACATTGAAATTTACATTGGACGTCGAGTTGTTGTTGAGTGGACCAAAACAAATTGACATTAAAATTAACACTGAACATGATGTGATCATTAAAACTCCAAATGATATCACAATTAAAGGAGTTGGAAAAAATTTGGGGATAGTCAGTACATCACACTTTATTGATTTAGTCGGCACTTTCTCACAAATCAACTTGGGTGGTCCTAATAACACGATGTTCTCACTTTCTGTTTTCCCAAAAAGTCTTTTCACTTCATCGAAAATTAATCGAATTTCACAAATCGATTCAGACGATTTGCACAAGTTTGTGTTGTCTGATAAAAACAGATGCGTTGCAGGTCATTTTGTAAACAATCTTTTTGTTTGTGACTCATGTGGCAATGGTGAAATAAACGGGACGTGTAAACCACTTCAGACAACAAGTAAATGTTCCCACTATGGTCCAACTGGAATTTGTGTCGAGTGTGTTGAGGGGTATTTCGTCGTTTTTGAAACAACAAATTCAAAACAAGTTTCAAAATGTTTTCAATGTCCATCGAATTGCAGGAGGTGCGATAACAACATTTGTTTCTCGTGTTTTACAAACTATTCTTTGTATGAAAACAAGTGCGTTTTATTGGAGACTACTTGTTTGTTTTTTAGAAATGAAATGTGTTTAAAATGCTCAATTAGAGATACCAATGTTAGAACCATTTCTAACACAAATACATCTACCTACTCAAACGGTTTATGTCAAGCTTGTGACACTGAGAATTGTATAAGTTGTCCACAAAACAAAGTTAAATGTGAAATTTGTTCAAAAGGATACGTGTTACAGGACAATGAGTGTGTCTTTATTACACCTTCGCTTGAAACAACGACCAAAGGAGTTACATCTTGCATAGACACATTCTTTGTGTCGAGTGGAAAGTGTATTTCTTGTAACGAACTGACACAAAACTGCAAATTGTGTTCTCGCAAAAATTGTTACACATGTTCTTCTGGCTTTTCACTTGTTAATGGAAAATGTGTTAATATTAATTCAACAGCTTGTGGTGTGATAAAAGCATCAAAGTGTATGAAATGTAAAGATGGCTTTTCCAACCAACCATATTGTACTCAATGTGACCAATTTTGTGAAACCTGTTCTGGCACATCTTCAAGTTGTACTTCATGTAAACCAAATTCTTCGATTTGGCTTGAAAATGGTATATGTATGTTGTATCAAACCAACAGCAATTTAGTTCAAACAGTCACCACCTTGAATACATCATCACTTACACTAAACCTTAACATTTTTTGTGAGAACAATCAAAAAGGAATATGTGTACGGTGTAGAGATGGATATTACCTCACTACATCTGGCACTTGTGAGAAGTGCAACAAAAATTGTTTTACTTGCATGACATCTTCAACAAAATGTTTGTCTTGTGCTTATTCAAACATGAGCGTTGTCAACGATAAATGCATCTTGAACGAACAATTTTTAACTTCTTGTACTGTTCCGATGGTGTCTAATAAAGGATGTGCAGTGTGTGCAAATGGCTACTACAGAAACAGCACTGTTTGTGTTCAGTGTCCATTTCCAATGGTCTACTGCTCGAGTTCTTTTGAAGCTTTGTCGTGTTCTAATAATTACATTTTGTACAACAAAAAGTGCATTGCCATTGACATGATATTAAATTGTTTCAACAAGAATGAAAATGGGTGCACGCGATGTCACCCGTATTACTTTTTGGTATCTCCTTTTTGCATTTCTTGTCCCAAAAATTGCATGAAATGCTCTTCTACCACTTGTTGTAACATCTGTGAAAATAACACCATTTTGGTTGATGGGTTGTGCTTCAACATTACCTCACAGCAACATTGTACATCCGCATATAATAACAAATGTATTTCATGTGAACGTGGATATCACCTGTCACATGACATCTGTGAAACAAAGTCGTTGTGGTGGATATCTTTAGTAGTCATTATTTCCATATTCTTTGTCATATTAGTTATAGTTCTCTATTTCTTACTCACATTCATATCAAAGAAAGTTCTTAAAGTGAAACAAGAGAATACAATCGACTTCAAATCACTCAACTTGGACACTTTTGACCAACCCATTCCGGGTATCTTCATCGACGCACTCTCCCTTAAACCAACTGAAGAAGTCAATGTAAAAGAAACTCGGAAATACACAATTTGTGTTGCTAATTCTAACAAACATAAAGTGAAGATTCAAGTCACACAAGTTGCTAGCAAAAAGTGGGACTTGAAGATTACTCCAGACATGGTCTTCTTGCGAAAGAACCAGGCGGTTAACCTTTGTCTTGAGATAACCCCATTTTGCTCAACGTGTATAGCTCATCATATTCTCTTCTCGGTCATTTCAATATCAACAAATGAAAGCAAGGAGTTCACAATCACTACAAACATCCCCGTTAAAAAGTCAAATTACTTGGACCCCGATGATATCAAACTCCACAAGAAAATTGGGAGCGGAGCCTTTGGAGACGTTTTTATTGGACTTTTCCAAAAAGTTCAAGTGGCGGTGAAAAAAATGCGAGTTGGCCGTGACGTACGAATTGAACGTTGTGACGATTTTAATAAAGAAATCGAGATGCTTGATAAAATTCGGAGTGATTATATCATTCACTTCTACGGTGCGGTTCTCGGTGATGAAAAGGAAATAGTACTTGAATATGCCAAGTGTGGGAGTTTAGAAAAACTGATACATAAATTGGACAAACCAGTAGTCTTGAAACTTCGTGTTAAATTTATGTTAGATGCCGCAAAGGGTATTCTTTATTTACACAATAATGGCATTTTACATAGAGACATCAAGCCTGGAAATTTCTTGGTTGTTACTATGGACAACAATGTTCCAGTTAATATTAAACTGACTGACTTTGGATCATCAAAAAGTATCAACATGTTGATGACAAACATGACATTCACGTGTGGAATTGGGACACCAATCTATATGGCACCTGAAATTTTATTTAAAAGGAAATATAAAACCCCAGCAGATATATACTCATTTGCCATCACAATGTATTCGGTAATGAATTGGGAAGAACCGTATCGCAAAGAAAACTTTAAGTATCCATGGGACGTCGCAAGGTTTGTCACAACAGGAGGGAGGTTGGCACAGACAGCCAAAACACCAAACTATATATTTCAGTTGATAACAAACTGTTGGGCTGAAAATCCACAAGACAGAGTCGATATGAACACAGTCGTTACACACCTAGAGACCTATTTTAGTACATTGTAAATAATTCTGTTTCTTATTTCTATATTAGTAAAAAAAACTATTACTACATAAAAAAGTTATGGAACATGGTTTAGTTTATTTTTATTTCAACAGAAGTATTATACTATTAATATAAACTATAATTAGTTTTACTTTTAAATTAATACATTGACACAATAAACACTTCTACTCTTTTTTAACGTTTTAATTTATGATTATTTAAAACATAAAATTATATGTTTTAAATAAGTTTAAATTGATTATTTAAGTGAAGTGTTGAATGCACTATATAAATTGTCTCGAATCCATTTATTCATCAGAACAACTTATATAATTATCTATTTGTCTAATTAACTTTATTCAAATATCTTCTCGAGTTGACCAATTGTTTTAATTAACCAGTCAACTTCTATGTTTGCTTGTTACTAATGATTGTGTTTGCTTTGCTCTACATGAAGTTTCGAGTAGTTTATTAATATTTGTATTGTTTGTGATGTCTGTCTCGTACTTGCTCTGAAACTTTAGAAAGAGATGATCAGCTGTTGTGTTATAAAAGTTTTCACGACCAACATTCATATTGTTATATAAAATGACTACGTTTTTAATTATTCGTTAAACATCTCAGGTATTATTTTGTTTTATTTTTTTTTCAGTAGGCACAATAAAGCCAATATTCTGTGTTATATATATTAGACTTTACAATTAGATTAAAACTAAATCAATGGATTGTCATTATTATCATTGGCATGAGTGAATGGCCTCTACTTTTTATTGTCTTGAAGAGTACTAAATTAACTATACAGTAGTTTATAATTACTAATATAATATTATACATGAAAAAGCACAAATAAAAAATATGGTCAGACAGACAGCAACACTGAAAGTGTCATCCCAAGTGTAAAATATTTTAATCATAGTTCTATAGTTTAAATTAAAACTAGATTCTCAATGTTTGAATAATAGTTTATTTTTAGTTTGTTAAGAATAACATAGTTAATAAATAAATTATTAATTCAACCAATAAATCCAATCAAATAGTGTTTCAATCAGCCAATACATCATCTCCATCGTCATAATACAACGAAGAAGTCTTTGCGAATGTTTTTCCCTTAAGGAGATTAATTGCTTTTGGGTTTGTATTGTTTTGTTGTTGTTGCATCTTTTCTTTCTTTTGTTCTGTAGGTTGTGGTATTTGTTCTGAGGGTTGAGCAGTGAAAGGGATAACAAATTTCTTTTGTGGTGATACCTCTTCGACATTCAAAGTTGATTTTGATAATGAGAAAGCAAAATTGGTAGTATTACTATCGTTTGGCGAATCCAAAAATGAGAAATCCGTTCTCTTCTTTTTGATGACGATGTTATCATCTTTGTCGACGTTCAATTTTTCTTCGATCTTATTAACAACGGGTTTCTTCTTTAAGACTTGTTCAGTGTGTTCTTTCTTCGGTTTCGCTTTAATGTGGGTCTTTGAGGTTAACTCTCCTGAGAGCAATTTGTCAATGATACTTTTAGTCTTGGGTGGTGCGCGTTGACTTTCATCAATGACTTTTTCTGGTGCTCTAATGATTGTTTTAACCACATTAGTTGTATCATTCGAGTGTTGTTCGGGTCGTTTTATTGTTGTTTTTGCGATTTTGAATCTTTTAGTTTTCGACTCAAGTTTCTCTTTTATTTGTTTCTCAAGAATTTCTTCGGCAGTTGGTTGAATTGGTTTGTCTTTACTCTTCTCTTCATTTATGTCTCTTTTTGGTTCTATTTTTGATGAAGATGTCCCCTTCATCAATTCCATGAACCTTTCTGTTGTCAATTGGGGTGTGTTATAACCCGTTTTTGACTGATTTTTAACGTCTATGTCCTTTGATATATTAAAATCCTTGTCTTGATTTTTTTTATGAAAAAATTTATTGTGTTTATTTTCTTTAGTTGGACGAATAGATTTCTCTTTGACTTTATTCTCCAGAATTGTTTGTGGTTCTTCTGTTTGTGTAATACCCTTAACATTTGGATACAAAGCTTCCCAATGACATTTTGCAGTGTTGGTTTCTGGTTCTTTAAGTTTTTTGTCTTCCGTTATCTCAATTTCTTGTTGACCCCCAGCGCTGTCCTCGTCCACTTCGACAACCTTTTTCCTTTGAAACTTTCTGTGAAGTGATGTATTTTCTGGGTTGGTTGAGTCCATTAAACTCGCACAAATGAGGGTTTTTAAGTTTCTTTGAAAGTATTGGATATTTTTCTTTTAACCATTTTTTACTTCATATAAACACAAGTGATTATTGTTTTGCCAAATTATTATAATTTTTTCATGTTTTGTGTTTTTACTTATATATAAAAATTTAATTAATTTACTAATAATTATCATTACCTGCTTTAAAAACAATTACTATTAATTATTATATTATTGTATATTTATAAATATATATCAAATGGTTCTGTTCTAGTTTATTTACTGAATTAATTGGGATATTTATTAGAAATTAAAAGATTTTAATAAAAAGGGTGAACAACCAGACAACTAGAAATGATAATACCATGATATAGTTAAACAAATCAATCAAGTTAATAAATGGTTGTCTTAAGTGTTTCAAATGAGCCAGTCAAAGGGTTGAATAACTTCTTTTCTTGAACCTTTTTCTCGTTAAATTTCTCCTCTCTGGAGTAGACAGCAAACCCTTCAAATGTCATAACCGGCTCAACAGTAATTTCGATGCATTTTGGTTGTGCCTCTTTCGTCTCCTCTTCACCACTTTTGTCTTCTTGAATTTCTTTACTCACTCTTTCCTTTTCACTCTCATTTTGAAGTGGTTTTGTAAACTGTGATTTCTTGTTTTTCTCCTTTTTCGTTGAAGTGCTGTTATTACTCCCACTGTCACTTTCCTTATTTTTGTGAACGTCTGAAGTTGTTCCTTTAGTTTGATCGTTAATTTCTTTTTTAAATGACTCATTGATTGAGTTTGGATTCGGCCTCTTCTTCCCTTTAACATTTCCATTATCCTCCTGCCCATCCACCACATTGCCACACATCTTTCTAACTATGTCAAGTTTGAAAGTAGGGTTTATTTATCAAACAATAAAAAAGTGTCACTTATAATAAAGTTCTAAACAAAAAAAAAGAGTTGTATTACTTTCAATATTTTTTATCACACATTCTGCGTGATAATGATTATGCGAGTAATGGTTATTATCGCAATTTATAAGCAATAATACTGTTTTAAAAAAATAGGGTTTATTAAAAAGTACTTCGACTCAAATCGGATGAGAAAATGATGAAAATGATTCAACCAAGCGATTTAGTTATCAGCAGCACCTTCCTTATTACCACCACGAATAAGACCAGTTCTTCTAGCAGCGACCTTACCACATTTCTGGCCTGGTGGGGATGATCTCTTGATGGTTGTTGGGTGACCGACGTGTTGATGGTTTCCTCCTCCGTGTGGATGTTCGACTGGATTCATAGCTACACCTCTAACTCTTGGCCAGCAAGTTCTCTTTGCCTTGTACATATGATAAGCGACACCAGCCTTCAAAATTGGCTTTTCTGTTCTTCCACCGCCAGCAATCAATCCGATCATAGCTCTGCAAGCGCTCTTTAAAGTCTTTTTAGCACCAGATGGGAGTCTAACTCTTGTGGTTTGAGTCTCAGCACTGTGTGAGATGACAGTGGCGTAGTTTCCGGAGGCTCTAGCCAAGTGTCCTCTGTCTCCTGGTTTTAATTCGACGTTGCAGACGACGGTACCTTCTGGGCATTGACCAATTGGCAAGACGTTTCCGACGTGGAGAGAAGCCTTAGCACCACAGTAGATGTACTGACCACTGTAAATACCTTCAGCGCAAATGAAAAGTTCTTTATCGACACCATATTGGCGTGGGTTTCTGAAAACGACTCTGGCGAGTGGTGCACCTCTTCCCGGGTCATGCTTGACCTCTTGAACTAATCCACGAACGGTGCTGTGGCGCTCGAAGAAGTCGATTGCACGGTGTTGTGCTACTCCAAGCTTGTGGTGGCTGCGCGACTTGAAGATCGATCCTCTTCCCTTTCTCTGTGACAATGTTCTACGTCCCATCTTCCCTGGAGTGAAAATTTTAACCCTAATTTTTTTAGTTCTGTTCGTCCTATTTTCCCATCTTTTTGGGTGCATTGGGCTGTGTTATTATTTGAAGGAATTTCTCCGGGTATAGTTAGTTTAATAATTTTTATATTATAACTTCTAATTTTTTGTCAGAAATGGAGTGGCAAATCAAAAGAAATTAAAAGTGGACTAAAAAGATAAGATGAAAAGTGAGAGCGTGTATGACATCATTGGCGCAGCTCAGGTTGTCTTTATGGTAATCGAACTTGCACTTTGTCTTTTCTTTCTAGTTGGGTGTGTCAGAAAAACTATATTAGAGCACACACACTTATTTGTATATTCTTTAGTCTTTGGTATTCATGTCGTTTTATTCTTCAAATTGAACGACCGCGTTGTTAATTTACTTCTTGGGTTGAGTAGCACACTATTGATATTGGGACTCAATTTACAAATGAATGGAATAGTCAGTGGACTTGGATCGAATAACAAAGGCTTTAAGATACCATTAGTCTTATTAGTATCTGTTCACTTCTTGGGTGTTATTGCGATACATTCGATACTTGTTGATGTTGACGTTTACCAAATTTCTATGTATTCATTAAACACAGTCTGTTTCCTCGGAGAAGTCTTTATGGAATGGGTGGGAATGTTTCTTATACGAAAGGTGATCACAACGAAAATGGGCATTGTCGTCATCATTTTTCAAAACGTGATCAACTTCTTTGTTATCCTCATTTCAGTCCAATTTGCAGTATTAATCTTCATACCAGACTATTTACCAAGAGAATTCATTATATTGATCAACGCTACACTCCGGTCTATTATCATCTTCTTCTCAACTATCCTCTCGCTCACAATTGGTCTTGTTGGCTGTCAGGGGTATGAGGAATTCGACGAGAACTATGAGATCCCGTCCAACTCGATAACAACAGACATCAACTTTTTACTCCACCAAACACCGATTGCAACAAACAAACACTCTGTCATTGGCACTGCTATATTCCTGGGGAGGGAGGTCATATACAAACAAATTGCACTTGGCGATTTGTTCGATATCGAGCAGATATCAGAAGATATCATGAATTTGCGAATGCTCGATAACCCGAATCTCCCAGTTGTTGGTGGGATCTGTCGGACGAATTTGAACGTGTATGTGATTTATGCGTATGGAGTGTGTCCAACACTCGAGACGTGTTGGAATAGGAAGCTCAGAGATTATCAGATATACAAAATAGTGTATGGGATGGTTAATGCACTGTCGTATCTGTTTGATAAGAACATCATTCATTATCATCTCCACAGTCAAAATGTGTTAGTCAACGAGTCGTGTGATAAAGTGATTGTGACGGACATATTACCACTGATGAAACATTGGTTTATTAACAAAGAAGAAAATATGTACTATGAGCTCAGCCAAATTCAGAAAGAAAGTTTCAAGACGGAGTGTAGTTTGTTTTTAAGAATCCAAAGAGTCGTTCTTATGATTGAATTTAATACTCATAGTAAGATGAAACAAATATGCATTTTGTCGTGAAAGCACTTGTAAGGCTTTTAACAAAGAAAGAAAGTGTTACTGTTGATATCAGTGAGGTGCCAGAAACAAGTGTGTTTTATAATACTTTAAAATTATGGATGGCTCCAGATTATATAATGACGTGGGAAAAAATGAAGAACGACTTGGTGTTACTTAGGGCGTCTCTTTTATCGTCTCCTTCTTATCCAGTTGCTCAATATTAATTTCATTGAAAAGTGCTTCACAATTGCGTACTTTTTGTGTGTATTTTGTTCAATAAAGTATGTTTTAGTATAGAAGCATTACTTTGAATTTAAAGTGTATAATGTTATTCTATTATATAATACTATAATAACAATATAATACAATAGAATACCAAATGACATATTATAAGAACTGAACATTCACTTTTATTATTGTATTATAAATTTATTACAAAGTGAATTAAAAAAATAACACTTGTAAAACTATATATTGTAGTTTAAATATCATATAAAAAGTTAAAAGTCAGATCCATCGATATGACGAATTGAAAAGAAAATGATATAATCAATAAGAACTTCAAATAATAAAAAGGAATGCAAGGATTTGGGAGATCATTTTTTGCACTGAAGAATGTTTTGGGAGTTAACAAGAAAATTGCTGACCCCGAGTATGACATGATGAAGAAGAGATTATTAGACATGTCAGCGGAGTTTAAGAAGGCAATCGTGACGATAGAATCTCTTCCTAAAACAGTTGTTTTGGTCTCGACTCAGCATTTGACGATATTAAACTCTCTTCATCTCTGTGTACAGATGTCTAATAATACCCCAGACACTTTAAATCAAATCACTACTCTCATCGACCCATTCAATAAAATGCAGGCAGAGGCAACAAAATATATGAACGACGTCCATAACTTGGTTTTAACACCATTAAAGACGTATGGCGAACAGTTCAACCAACTCGTTAAACGATGTCAAGTCGCGGAGAAGAGAAAGGAGGACTTTGACTATGCCAACGAGAAACTGATGGACATCACAAAACGTCCTATTAACAAACAAAAAGGATTGGCAGACGCACAGACGTTGTACACAACTGCCAAAGAGAACTATGACTGGCTGAAGTTGGAGTTGATTGAAGACACTGACAAACTGTGTAAGAACTGCGAAGTCGTCGCGTTACCAGTTGTAAAACAATTACTCGACCACTACTCACAATACTTGAGCGAACTAAATACGACGTGGAACGCCATCCCTGAACTGACTAAGAAAATCGAACACTCGGACATCTCTGTTGAGTACGTGATAAAGGCATTTGCAGATTCAATGGAAAAAGATACTAATGTACTCAACAAGAGAAATTCCCTTTACCCACACATCGAACCTTCACAACAAACACAACAAGTCGAGGGTATCCAATATACACAGAAGATAGAAAATGAACAAGTTGTCCCCCCACAACAAATCTACCAAATCCCAACACAATCGGAAACAACCACTCAACAACAAACACACGCATTACCACCTCTCCCTGTCCAAAAAAAAGAAAACGAGAAGTTCTGTAAAGTCAATTATGACTATGAAGCACAAGAAGCAAATGAACTGTCAATTAAAACTGATGACACAGTAAAAGTCTTGAGCTCAAGTGGTGATTGGTGGGTCGGCGAGTTAAATGGGAAAACAGGACAGTTTCCAAGTAATTACGTCACTCTGCTCTAATTCACTCCAATTCTATGATACATTCTTTAATAATACTATAATAATAATTTAATAATATAATAATTAACGGAGCAATCAATAATTATTATAATCAAGTAGCCTAAACAATGCAACTCTTCCACCAGACCTCCCAGAAGCAACATAAGCGGAGTGAGGCGAAATAGTCGATTCTTGAACTTTACCCAACCCAGCGAACCCGGGGAAGTTGGAATATGTGAACTTGTTTTGGATGTTACCCAATTTGAGTTGGTTCTCTCCTTTCCAAGTTGACATTAAGAGAAGAGAATTTGTTGAAACGATGTGGGTACAGTCATAGACCAAATTATTGAAGGAGTGGAACGGCGTTGGGGTATTAGACTTCTCTATATCCTTCCACTCATAAATGTTGACGATACCCCCAGTCGATCCACAGGATATATAATTTCCATCTGGTGAGAAAGCTACACTCATAGTATTAATAGACCCTTCATCAGTTAACATAGCTCTGCACCGCATCTTTCGAAGGTCCCACACTGAAATTGAAGCTTTGCTTCCCGTCATCACTAACACGTTCTCCGTTGGATGGAACGCCATCGAAAGAAATTGAGTCGACGAACGCAAGTTTTCAACAACTTGGAGGGACTTCTTGTCGAGCAAAGGCGTTGTCATTTGTTTGTCGTTCAACATGGCAACGTATTGATTCCCGACAGCAAGACGTGTGATGAGTTGCCCGGGTGTAAAAGTCTTCTCAAATGTGGTCGACGCGTCTCTCCTCATATTATAAGTGAAAAATGAGTGCTTCCCACTCAATGCAACGACATTTTCATCGTCTAAATACCTCCCAGTCTCAACACGGAATGGAACTCTGGCGTCTAAAATAGGGTTAACCTTATACCCTTCCATACGATAGAAGTGGAGAAGATTATCATAGCCACCCGTCATCAAAACGTTGTCGGTCTGATGGAACTGACATGTTGTAACAGGACCTTTGTGACTTCTTAATAAAGGAACCGTTTCATCAAATCGTCGCATTGGGATTTCATGTGGAGTGGACGTCTTGGGAGCGTTCGGGTCGATTTTCAAAAGTTCTTTGTCTTCTTCTGAAAGTTCGTCTTTGACTTCTTTGTGCTTCCAAACCTCTTCATATTGCTGTGTTCTTATAACTTTGGGTTGGGCATCATCCTCATCAACCCAAGCAGACTCTTTTTCGGGCTCTTTATTCTCCAAAATTTCAAATTGATCCTCTTCACTCGTTGACATTCAATTGACTTTCGTGATAAACCCTATATTTTCGTTTTAAAATCTTTTCAAATATGTTATATTTTTATATCAGTAAAAATGTTTTTTTTTAAGTGTATTCTACCTTTATTTATTTCCGTTATAATTATGTTGAATATAAAAAATATTATTTATTATATTCATTTTAATGACATATCATTAATCATAATATTAGGATTAATTAAATTATATTATGTATATTATTATTTGGTATAGTATTATTTTAACTAAAATTATAGTTTAATTTTATTATTTAATTTTTATACTTTTGAGTATTTTTCTTTCTCTTTTTGTTACTAAAATATAATTTATGTATGGTTATAATATAGTTTATTTGAAACTTTAAATGAAATTTAATCACCCAAAAATACAGAACGAACGCTACATTTACCAAGATGTTTCCAGCGCCTTTCTTTTCCTATTAAAGGTTTGAGATTTGGTTATGATAATCGAACAAAAAAAACATCAAAAACAAAATTTGAAAATATTTTAAAAAAAAACTATATTAAATTAATAAAAAAAACTATAATGAAACCAAACGACAAAAATCCCAATAATGGCGGACTAAATGGGTAAAACTTTTCCGTCATATTTATGCAACATGAAAAAAAACAAAACGATGAGAAAGAAAGCGAAAAAAAATAGGGACGCGAACTGAGAAGTCAAAGCATCTATGGCTGATCCCGAGATTCCAACGAAATTGGACGAAAAGTCGAAAGAGGCTCTTTGTGAATATTTGAGTACACCGCAAGAGAAGAAGACTGTGTTGGAAACTATTTACTTTGACATTGCCGCGGGCCTTCGCGAGGACGAGACAATGGAATATCGAATGGCTGTCGTCAACTTTCCAGAGCGAAAATTCAAACTGATTCGACACGGCAAGACTCGAGAAGAGTTTCCTTTCACTATACTTAACACAGTTAATTATTGCCACTCCCCAACACAGTTCAAAATGAAAATCACACTGTGTGACCACCCTTCTATTGTCTTGTTAACACAGAACGAAAGCGACTACAACGCCCTTTTTGAGATACTTAGAAAGATCACTACTGATAATAATGTTGTACTCTACAAAGAAGACTTCCTTCAAGACGTTTGTTGATTTATTTAACTCTTATGCGATAGAAATTTCATATCACGGGTGTGGAGCATCTAAACAATTCTAATAAGATGACTCAAAAAGAATGTAATAAAACAATTACATTCTTTTTTTGTGTAATTCATGAAACTGGTTTTAACAATAAATACCAGTTTGGTAAATTATTTAGAAGTTTTCTTGAGAAGGACATTTTCACGAGTAGTATTGCCACTTGATTAAGATGGTTTCGTGCAAAAAACACGGGAAGACGTTTTGGGCACGGCGGTCTTTGAACATCTACAACGGAGCCATTGTGTTGTATGCGGTGAATGGAGAGATCCCCCTCACAGTGCTTCCGCTCAGTCAAAATGTTGAGATCACAAAACATCAGAAGTTAATGTTGATCTTCATGTGCGTTATTCGACGAGTATATTTACGATTTGATACAGAAGAGGAGTGCGACGAAGTCGAGAGTTTGTGTAAAAAGTGCCAACAGTATTACCACAAGCCTCATGTGATGGTTGTGAGAGATTTCTTTTCTGGGAAACTTGAGGACTTGACACCGACGTGCAGAGAGTTGTGTAACAAAAACAATTTGTATCCAGAAGAGTGTGAAGCTAATTTTAGTGTGTTGTGCGAGATACTTCGGTCACAGACAAAGAAGAGGTACGCCACAATGACTGAGAAGAGGCAGTTGCAATACAAATTGGAGAAAGCAGAGCCGAAAGAACCCACCGAGAAACCTAAAAAAGAGGTCGCACCACCCGAGGACGACTTAATGTTGTACTGCACTAAAGATGACCCGAATAAGTATTTCACGAATTTTGTGTCGATTGGAAAAGGTGGGTTTGGTGAAGTGTTTTGTGTGCAACGTGTGGAAGACGGGAAGCCAGTCGCATTGAAAATGCTGAGACACTCTGTTGATGAGAGGAGTTCGAAAATTGGAGCGGAAGTAGCGCGACTTCACAACTGGAAGCACCCGAACATTGTTGGGTTTGAGGGGTGTTGGTTGTATCGCAATCAAGTCTTCATTGGGATGGAATATTGCTCTCTGGGAACACTTAAGTCACTTCTGAAGAATCGGATGAGGCCTTTCCACGAAACGGATACTGCGTATTTATTGCAAGAGACTTTGAAAGCGCTGAAATACATCCACGAACAGGGCTTTGTCCACAGAGACGTGAAGACAGCGAACATCATGTTGAAACAAAACTTTGAGATTAAGGTGATCGACTTTGGGTTGGTTGTTAGAATCAGTTCAAAACCATCGAACCGAGCCGGTTCGAAGGCTTACATGGCGCCCGAGGTTATCAAACAAATACCATATAACGAAAAGGTTGATATTTGGAGTATTGGGTGTGTAGCACAAGAGTTGTTTGAAGGAAACCCGCCTTACAGAGAGTTGGGGATGTTGAAGGGGTTGTTCAAAGTAGCCACCGTTGGTGCGCCAGGGCTGAGGTTCCCATCGAAAACACTTCCGGAACTGGTCGACTTTGTTAACAAGTGCTTCATCTATGACCCCGAGAAACGGTGGTCTGCGAAACAACTCTTGGAACACCCACTCATGAAACAAGTTGATTTTTCTATCATCAAGCAGAGAGGAAGCAAAGTAGGAGGGGTGTAAGAAAGTATTTTGTCAAGACAGAGTAGTCCAGTTGATGGTTAAGTGAACTATAAATTTCTTTTTTAAATTGGACGAACTTAATAATTTGAAACTCAAAAAAGTAATGGACAAACAACTCCCAACACAAACACTGCTTGCGTGGATGAACACACAAATTTGGGTGGTGTTAAAGTCACGCCGAGAGTATGTTGGAGTCATGAAGGGGATTGACGAGTATACAAGTGTGTTTTTTTGTTCATTGAAGTCTTCTATAGAGAAAGAAATAACAGCAAGATGTTGTGTTGGAGAATTGTGTTGAATACGAAGCAAAGGAAGGAGGGTATGAGGAGACCAAACATAAATTGTTGCTGTTGTGTGGGAATTCAATTGAAATGATCGTGAAGGGGGAGAAGACGGACTTGAAGAAATGACTCTTTGTGTGTTTTTGACAATCGACTGCTTTTCTTTTTTTGTTTCTCAAGTGACATATTGTATATACAGTAAAACTTCCCTAGAGCGGGAGGGTGTGGTATTTTTTTGTTCTTCCAAGAGCGTGCATTTTGCCAATCAAACCTTAATTACCGCTCGATAGAGAACTCTATTTTTAATTTCAGTCTTTGAAATGCCCGCTCTTGGGAGAACCCGCTCTTCAGAAGTACCGCTCTTGGGAGGTTTTACTGTATATCTATAACAATTGATATCACATATTTGACAATACTAAATCAATGAATTGCGGTGAAGGGTAATAAAAAGGATAACAAATACCTCCATTTTTATAAGTTAATAATTGTTTTATGTTTCTAAATCAAATGATACGCAAAAGTACCAATTTTACTGTGTAAAACCGGGAAAATCTGTGAAGATTCATCGAAAGAATACCAAGTGGCAAACTTGAACAACATGCGATTGAACATTCATTGTATGACAATAGTTCATCAAAAATACCAAAAAGACGGGAAAAGAGAGAGAAAATAATACAAAGGGTTTCTTTGTATTTTTTGGTCTGATTTTGCTCTTTATAATGACAAACAATTTTCAACAAAACTTGAGTAATTGCAAATGCGTAAGAGTGGTAAAACTGCTCGAGAAAAAGATCGCTGATACCAACAAGTAATATCCTTTGATCTGCAAATATCAAAATACTATGAAAGTGTTAGATATTATTATAACTCCTATTTATATACCAAGTATGTTCTACTAGTAATCAATTCTAATTGTTTTATTAAAGAAATGAACTATTGTCGACCAAACAAAGCCATCAGACCATGATATTATTCAAATAATTTAGAGACTCTTTGAACAAAGAAAAGAGTTAAAAAAAGATAACAGTCATTACCACTGGTCATGCGAAAGAGAAAACAAGTAACATACTCTATTTTACCCCAAAAAATGGGAAATGAAACAAAAAAGATGAGTGACTAGATATTCAGTGAATGGTTTGTCTTTTCTACATCCATCTCAAGACTTACACGCAGAAAACGAACTCGTCGGACGGGACGGACTACGTCGCACCAAAGAATTGGAGAAGGTCGTACAGCAGTCTGTTTGTCTCGGTGAACTCGCAACAGTTCGCACACCCCACACGCAGAAATACGGCGTCGCAAAGGACGTCACCTCACGAAATTCGAGAGCGCCCATTATTTCTCCCTTGTGTCGAAACATGCTTCCAACTTATTCCAAAGTTTAATAAGTCGCAAAAGGAACTCGAACGCGACGACGCCGCGACGAAGAGAGGCGGTCTCAATTTAGAGGAAATTCTTGCGATCATCATGTATGCGGATTCTACACAAGTCGTCATCAATTTGCGGATGGTTAGTAAACACGTCTACTCTGCTTTCAGACACATGAAGACTAACCCATTTTATAGCGAGAAAAAGCTCAATAAATCGGCGAATGTCAAGAAGCGGATCGTCAATGCACGCAAGGACGTACTCCTCTTCAGAAATTTGAAGTGTTTGAAAGGACAACTTGAAACGTTCCAGACCATCAAAGACGCCAAATTACAGGACTACAAGAGTTTTGTTGTCATCAACGATTTTTCAAGTGTCGACAACAACATCTTCAACAGCATTAAGTCGAGAATTATAGACTTGACGCTTGTCATATACCCAGAAATAGAAATCAATTTTGAGGGACTCACTGCACTGAAAACACTGAAGATTGATTTTAATAACAATGAGGTGACAACAGCGTCACAACAACTCCTCAAAAACATCGAACTCTTGAAGAAGAATATTTACTTTAAAGAATTGTTTGTCCGATGCAACGGGAAATATGCGGCGTCGTTGGGGAAGATGCTGAAGTCGATGAAATTGGTGAAACAACAAATTGTCGTCCGGTTTGATCGGATTAGTGAGAACGAATGCGTCAAATTTTTGTCGCACCGAACTGGCGCGATAGTGTTAGTGATGAGAAACGATTTGGACAACTCGATATTGTCCAACTCGGTGCAAATTATTCCAGACAACGAGGGGGTCTATCACATCTCGAGTTCACTTGTTCTTAGAAAAAGGTTTCTTGCTGATTTTGTGAAGAAGAATTGTCCGAGTAGTGTGAGTGTCTGTGGGAAATGCGAATGTTCCGTCGACAAAATCGACATGACGACGTGCACAACGTTAACAGCTTTGACTCTCAATGAGTGTAAATTTAGTGACGAATGTGCGCTGTTATTGCCAACGAGTGTAGTGTCCTTTGGAATGGTAAATATCGACTATGTTGGACTGTCCAATTTGGTACACGTCGATGTTAAACAATTAGAATTTGTGAGTTGTAACACATTATCATCGCTGACCATCCCCCCTTCTGTGACTTCGTTGTCGATTGATAAGTGTATTTCACTTTCGTCAATCGACAATTTGAATAAGGCGAATGTCCACTTCATTAAAATAGCCGGGTGCTCCAACGTCAGAAATTTGAATATCCCAACGACGTTGGAGTCGTTGTCTATCAACGATTGTAAGAAAATCACACATTTACTGAACTTGGAAAATGCACCGATGCGCGATTTGAATATCAAATACTGCGGGCGGTTATCGGTGATCAATTTGCCACAAACGTTGACATTGTTGCACATTTCAAACTGTGAAAAGTTGGTTGAGTTGATGAATTTCTCCGAGATCAAATTACTCGACTTTGAATCTTCTGGCCCATTTAATGTGGACAACCTCGTCTTTCCAAAGTCTATGACACATTTGGAGTTCGGCGACTATGAAGCTAAAAACACGACAACACTCACCAATTTGACTGATTTGAACGATTTGAAGGTACTCACAATTACCAACGCAAAATTTTTAGAAATGTTGGCTTTTCCACCAAATTTGACTGGTCTGATTTTGCACGAATGTCACACACTCACATTCTATCCAAACTTGATGGAACTCAATCTCCAGTTCATGGACATCACACACTGTGACGCATTGACGTGTTTGAGCTTCCCTACTACCCTCACAAAGATGAATATTTCAAACTGCCAACACGTGACTGAATTCCCAAATTTGGAGGAAATGACAAACTTGAAGGAGCTGGACATCGACCAATGCTCGTCTTTGGAAGTCGTTTACTTCCCCCTTTCAATCACGAAACTGAAGGTCACGAAGTGTAAGAATTTGCTTGATCTTCCAAACATCCACGAGTTGAATATCCCATTCAAACACTTGTTGCCATTCTATTACAACTTGAAAACCCCATTAATACCAACTACACTATCTGATATTCTGATTGAGGCGTGGGAGTGCGTTTCTTTACCAAATTTGGAGTGTCTCCATTTGCTCGATTTGCAGATCACGAATTGTTCGTTTATCACTTCACTGAGCTGTCCAACGACGGTCACATTTTTGGAGATGAACGGATGCAAGGCAATTTCTAAGATTTGCAACTTGCCGAAACTCAAAATTCAAATATTGAAAATCTGTTACTGCTCTTCACTGAAATCGTTGAAGCTGCCAACTACAGTCTCAAAGTTGGTGATGTACGACGACACAAACATCTCAATTTCTAATAGCAAAAAGCTTCCATTGAAATCCCTCTATATGGAAAGTTTGGAGAATTTAAAAAGTATAGCACTCCCGACGACTTTAACGAAACTCGAGATTAAAGAATGCACTGCAATCACTTCATTGCCTGGAATAGCATCAGCACAAATAGAAGAGATGCACCTCTTCTTGTTCAAACGATTGAAAACACTTGAGCTGCCCACGACGGTAACAAAACTCATATTGGACTCGTTCAAGATGTTGACATCCCTTGACAACTTGGAGAAGATCTCAATGAGCTCTTTGAAGATCTCGGGAATGAAGAAAATACAGAAACTCAAATTTCCAAGTCACTTGACAAAGCTCGAGATGTGCAGTTGTTCGAGTTTGAAAACACTTCAAATTAGTAACTTACCATTGGCAGAGCTATCACTCTTTATGTTGGACGGTATGAAAAGCGTTGAGCTGCCCACTGGAATATCAAAGCTGCGAATCGACAGTTGTCCGATATTCACTTTATCGTCTTTGGCAAATTTGAAGGGGCTCAAACTCCTAGAGATGATACGAAGTCCAATGGTGGAGACTGTTGTGTTGCCCGAGACAATCAACGAGTTGAGCATTACGGAGTGTGGTGGGTTAAAAGCGCTTCCTGGGTTGGAGAAGCTGAAACTCAATTCGGACACGTTACTACAAATCTCTTTGACTTTGGAGTCCCCTATTTTAACACAAAAAATGATGGAGGGAACAATCAAAAAGGGCAACTTAGAGATCAAAGGATGGAAGTGTAAGAACTTAAATTCGATTGAATCAATTGACGCAAAGAAAGTGGTTGTAACGCAGTGCGACCAACTTTCAAGCATCGAGTTTGGAAAGAAAATAACAGAACTGGAGATCAGTGACTGCACTGCGTTGGTTCATGTTGGAATCGACGACGGTGGGCTGACACTTTTCAACTTGAAAAATTGTATTAAACTGAGTGAATGCTCGTTTCCATCGACTTTAAAAACACTACGTCTCCACACATGTGGCGATTTGTATAAGATCGATGTCAGTCGAGCGACCGATTTGACGAGAATCGACGCGACACAGTGTAACCATTTACAAGTGATTTGCGCACCACAATCGCTCAAAATCATCACTGTGGATAACTGCGACAACTTCGAGAAGATCGACAACTTTAAGGAGTCAGGGACGCTCGAATGTTTCATCAACGAGTGCGACTGCATCGAACAGATTTCGCCACCGACATGCATCACAAAGCTGAGTATTCAGAAGTGTTACTCTCTCAATACTGTTGTGGATATCGACAGTCTTGTGAATTTACCAAGGGATATTGTGCGGTCCTTCAAAATTTTGTCCAAAAAGTAAATATTATTTTTCTTATTGTTCTTTCGAAAGAAATCTTAAACAGCATACCCTTCACAATAGAGCTGTGTTGCCTAAATTTTTCGAACGTGTAAGCCAAAAATCATTAATCGATACAATTCAACGCCTTAGAGAAGTGGACAACACCACGACCATTTGCCAAACACAAAGTCGACATTGTCGTGGTGGTATTGGTTCAATTTATCTGGATCAAATTTGCCGATCCCCACATCGTCTTCGGTGTCATCGCTACTGTCATCGTCTGAATCATCGTCGTCCGAAGTTGGAGTGTCTTGTGTAGTATCGTCCTCATAGTCATACAGTTGGTTACAGTCGCCATGCAAGCATGGGTTATAGTCTATCGTGTTAAACTGTCCCAACTCTTCTCCTAAAATATTGACCTTCTCATTGTCCACGTCGTTAATGTTGTCATCGTCACTTGACATGTTATACTTTTTCGAGAAAAGTCTATTTTAAGAGTTCAAAGCCCTTCAAAAATTTACAAAGTTGATTTGATGTTTTGAGCTCAAAACCAATTGGAAAGAATAAATCAGACAAGTAATAAATTACAATGGACGTTTCTCCTTGAACATCTCGTCGATGTCGTCCAAGTCAAAATCGTCGTCAGGCTTTCTCTTTGGTGGGGAAACCTTAACCACACCTGCTCCTTTGTTGAGAGTTTTGAATGAGGATATCTTTTGGAGCAACGAGAGGGTATTTGGTGTTGTTTGTGTTGTTGTTTGTGAAGTTTGTGGGGGTTTCACAATGGTAGTAGGTGGTGGTTTTTTTGCAAACGACCCAATCTTTGACAATGACGTCGGAATAGAAGAGTCGTCGAGCTCCTCTAAAATGCTATCTATTTCAATTTCTCTGTTTTCTTTTTCTGCTTTGTGTTGTGTGACCTTTTGTATAATATGTTGTGATATTTTCTTCGCATTTTCAGTACTCTTGTGGAGACTTTGTGTTGGTTTCTTTTCTTTGGATTTCTGCACTTCTTTCTGGGCTTCTTTTTCGGTTTCTTTGCTCTTTTTAAATTTCGTCTCCAGTTGTATTTTCGTGGTGTTTTGATTAGGCTTTTCTACTGTCTCTTGTGGTAAAGCGTCGACTTTTCTTTCACTTTTCTCACTCTGAGTGTCATCAAGCAACTCAAATCCATCCAATAATCCGTCCATATCAATGTCATTCATGTCTTTATTTGGATTTTCAATTTCCATTTGTTTGGAACTCGATGCTTCATTGTGCATCTTTTGAACTTGTTTCGCTGCTTTGCTAAAATCAATTTTGCTCTGCACTAACTTCTTTGGACTTTCCACTGCTTTCTTTTCCACCGTCAGCTTCCCAGAACTCATTTTGATTGTTTCCTTTACGGCGTTTGTTTTGTTGTGTTCTTCTATTTGTAAAATGCTTTGAACCTTTTGCGGTGGTTTAAACAACTGGCTTTGACTTCTCTCCTCGATGGTTTCATTCGACTTCCTTTTTTCTTGATTAAATAAAAGACTTTGTCCTTTCCTCAATTGCCCACCTCTCATCTTTTGTGATGGAAACACTATTTCAGACATTTCACTCCTCCTCTGTGACTCCAAGTAATTCTTCCAAAAGCTTTCTCGGGTTTCCAATTCTTCTTCCTCGATGCTTTTCTCCGCCTCGCTAGTAAATTGGGTTGTCGACTGCAACTTCTCACACTGACTATTTTCTTTCCCAATTTGTGAAAGCTCGATACTCCCATCAATCAAGTACTCAAGTTTTAAGGTCTGCAACAGTCGCAATTCATATACTTTATAACTCTCATCGGGGTCCGTCGGAAACTCGGAGTTTTCTTTGCTGTTCGACGCTCCGTTCTGTGAAGATTCTATAAGCAACACCGCACACACCGCATCCATCAATAACACGCTTTTATGCATCATCAACTTGGCGTGCGCCTGCGATATTCTAATCAACGATTCCAGTAAACGGACAGACGTCCTCCCCGACTCTCTTCTTTCCTTCCCTCTCTGATTGTTATAGTACTCTTGAATCACCAATTTGGCCTCTTCTGTTATTTCTGGAAAGAAATGTATTTTGGTGTATACAATGTAACTCTGTAATTCGGGGGTGGTCAACAGAGGAGCAATGTCTGGTTTATGTCCATTCAACACATAGTCAGATACTCTCTCGTCCCATTGTTGGTTTCTCTCGTCTAACATGATAAGAATGATATCAAATCGCGACAATAGAGGCGGGTCGATTGCGGTGTTAAGACTCAATGACTTGCTGCAGTCATATTTTCCTTTAGGGTTTGTCGCCGCAAGTATCGCCGTTCGGGTGTGGAGTTGAGATACAATTCCAGCTTTGGCAACAGAGAGCGTCTGTTGTTCCATAGCTTCGTGGATATCCGCTTTATCGGCTTTGCTCATCGTCGAGAATTCGTCAATGCAACACACCCCACCATCCGCTAGAACTAATGCACCGGCGTCCAAACTCAATTCCCCACCAACATTAACTACAGCAACAGTAAGTCCAGCAGAGGTTGTTCCTCCTCCAGTCGTTTGAACGTGTCTTGGTCCGAGTTTTGAAGCAAAATTAAGTAACTGGGACTTTCCTGTCCCGGGGTCACCTACTAAAAGGAGATGAACAGTACCTCGTATAGTCGTTTTAGTTACTTCATCAAGATGTGGCACACCACCCAAAGCTACAAGCATTACTGCTAATTTACATAATCGCATTCCACACAATTCAGGAGACACTGATTGGAGGATCAAGTCTCGTGCCAACAAAGGGTGGTCTGCGTGCTGTTCCCAAATGTTTTTGAACTTTGTTTCCATCTCTTCTGTAATGGTGACAGCAAGTCTGTCGATGTTTCTTGATGTAATATAATCTGCCACTACAACAATTTCAAGTTGTGGTTGTTCATCCTCATTTGATGTTAACCAACGCACTCTAACACGCCCTTTGATTGTCACAAAATCACCGGCTTGCGTATCTCCTACCAACTCCCCCAATAAAATGACAGTGACTTGTCGTTGTAATCCAGCAGAAACGATGTTGTGTGTCGGTTCTTGTACACGGAGCTCTTGGTAGTCGGTCGTTTGTTGCTTCCCTTCAATCACTGTGAATTTTTTGTTACGACACAGATCACCAGTCGGAGTTGTCCCCCCACACGAAGGAGGGGTTTCAAACTGGTACGATGTCTCTACTTGTGCCTCCACCTCAAACTCTCTCTTACACTTCGCACATCGATACACACGCCTGAATTCTAAAAGTTTTGTGTTTGATGACCGCAATACAGTTCCTTCAAATTGAACACTCTCATTGACATTTGCTGGTGTTGGTAAAGTATTGATTTTGTTATAATTTCCATCAGGAATATTATTTGGAAGTGGTGTCGGTGTGATTTCTTCCATTGAGTTTTTGAATTCTTAAAAAAATTGTGTTTCAATAAAAACAAATTAATAACATTTAGTTAAAATGTTTTTTAATTGCGTTATTTTTTTTGTTTAAAAAAATTGAAAACAAATTTTTCCACAAAACAGTCGATATTTTATACTTTGTTTGTATTTTATCATTTTTTATTTTTGTATGATTAAAATAGTTTTCATTATTATTGAATTTAAAACTAAATAATTTTATGTATTTTATTTAAAGTTATACTTTCATAGTTTAATTATTATTTTTTTTAACAAAAATACTATTTGTTTACTATATATGTTCTATAATATATTAAAAGTAAATTATTAATAATAATAATATTATACTTATTATAACATTATTTTAAAATCAAATGTTATTATAATTTATTAAAAAATAATATTATAAAAAGTATTAAATTGGCAATTCAATTTTTTACTCTTTTCTGGCTCTTCCCATTTTAAAGTGGACAAAATGAATTGCCAAACTTCTCTATATTATCATGATAAGTATTTTTTTAGTTTATATACTTATAAACTTTTCAAAGAAGAAAGTGACGTATGCCTTAGTAATGACCACAAATAGGAAGAGAAAGAAACTAAGTATTACTTGATAGTAGATCCCAATTTAAAAGCACTTTTCCCATCAAATTGCTGCCATTTTCACATACAAAACATTCAAATAACCCTTTTTAGAACAAGCTATACAAAACTATAAAAGAGTAACTAAACTAGAAAACACAAAATGGCCAAAATCCACGTCTTATACAAAAACAACAATTACGAAGTCGAGTGCGACTTGGATAAGCAAGTCCGTGCTTTCAGACTTGAAGTCCAAAAGGCGACCGGCTTGTTGGCTTGCCAACAAGGTCTTTCCTATGGGAAAGACGAGAACAAAGTCCACCTTGAAGTCGACAAAACCCTTAGAGAGTCTGGTGTCACTGAAGAGACCGTCATCGACTTAAAAGACTTTGGCAAGCAACTTCCATTCAGATTTGTATACATCTGCGAATACGTTGGTCCTTTGGCCATTTATGTCCTTTGTTACTTCATCTCTATTGCTTTGGGCTTCCCCAACCTCGTCCAAAATAAAATTGCCTTCTACATGTGGACCATTCACTACGTCAAGAGAATCTTAGAGACCATTTTCGTCCATGAATTTGGAGATATGACAATGCCGTTCTTCAACTTGATTAAGAACTGCACTTATTACTACGGATTTGCTCTTGTTGTTGGTATCAATGTTAACTTCTTCCCTAAGGAGCAGTACTGCATCCCAATGTACCTTGGTCTCCTTGGAATGATTGCCTCTATGGTTTCTAATGGGTATTGCCACATCATCTTGAAGAACCTCAGAACACCAGGCTCACAGGAATGGAAAATGCCAAAGGGATTCTTGTTCGACTATATCACATGTGCCAACTACTTCTGTGAGATCATGACTTGGATCTTCTTTGATTTGATGACTGGTATTCCTTTGATGGGTGTTGCTTTCTCATTCTGTGGTATCTATCAAATGAAAGAGTGGTCTCTCCAGAGACATCAAAAGTATCAGAAGTTGTTCAAGGATTATCCAAACAGATGGATTTTGATCCCATATCTCTACTAAATCTTATTGACGATTTTTGTTTTATTCGTTTTAGTTTTTTTACTATAAAATATAGAATACAATGACATGTGTGCGTTGAATAATTGTTGTTAAATTAGATATATATTTCAGTGTTCGATTTCACAGTTATAGTGTTGTAATAAAAGTCTGTTATGTTGTTCAGTGAACAGAAAGTGAAAAAAGATATCAATTTATAACAAGAAGTCTTTACCCGCAGATGAGTGGCTGCAAATATTTATAAGACACTTTATCATCTAACATTCCAGTGTGGTCAGCCTTTCCAACATTGGTAGCGTTGAATGCATGTAACTGTTCACAATACCTGAGAGATTGGATGTTGACTGTACCATCTCCATCAGCATAAGAGAATGATGACTTTCCATCATAATCACTGGTAGCCATTATTACTGTTTCGATTGTGTCATACCCTGCAGAATACAAACAATGTGTCTCAACACCATGGGGGAAGTTATTATTGTACTTCTTGTAAAGACTTGGAATACCATTTTCAAAGATATAAGTGTGTTGCTTAGCAAAATCGCCGCCAATAGTGTTAAGAAGTTCCTTGGTGTTATCGACGGTGTACTGCTTTCCAGTGTCTTTGACAGTCAAAATTGGGGTACTTCCAAATGCGGTATTTCCACCATTGGGAAATAACAAGGAGCACGTTTCCATTGTTCTACAGATGGATCTGAAAAGGGTTGCACTAATTGGTAAGTCCATATTGTGTCCTGGGAAGGCAGCAGCTGTTGCTTTAACGGACCCAATCCATGGAGTAGACATAGCAGCCCATCTCTTTATATACTTGGTAGCGAAGTCCTTTCCAACATAGTCAAGTAATTTATAAGACATCAGTCCACCCATTGAGTGTGATATTATGACCACCTTGCTATTGTATGTGTCGTACGCTTTTTTGATCAAGTTCTTGGTGTTCTCATACCAATTCTCTTTGTGTGAGTATTCATCAAATCTGAAGTATCTCCAGTCATATGGTGCACCTAACATATCTGCACCATCCTTATATCCAAGTTTCTCAAACTTCTTAATCAAATCATGGAAGGCTTTTGTCATCAAAGAAATTGGCCAATTTGGATCGACAGAGTCAAGTGCATATGTGCTCCCATACTTCGGGACGGTGACTGTGACACCAGTCATTTCAGTTTGAATGTTCGAAGAAGCCACATAAGTTGGTCTTAAATAGCCAAGGTAACAATCATTAACAAACGGATTGATATCCTTAATAGCAACCCAAAGTCTTTTTTGTTTGACTTCTCTCTTACATCCATCATCAAGGTTTACAACAGCATCTGATGGTATATGAACTTCTCCTTCTAATATAGAAGAAAGGATACCTGGAATTAATACAATCGGGCTTCGAGTGCATGTCTCAGAGTAAACTACTGCAAGCAAGAGGAAAGAAACTAACATGATTTATTTCGATTCAATTGTGTTTTTATACTTCTGTTCTATTTTTAACTGGTTTCACTCCAATTCTCTCTACTTTTTTATGTTATTGATATAGTTTGTTCATTGTATTTTTATTGTTTTTAATAAAATTTGTTTTTCTTAATTTGGGCATTTATTGTTTTCAAAACAAGAAAATCCGTTGAAATTCTATTTTTCGCAATAAACCAAAAAATTGAAGGAAAACTTTTCCAACGAACTAGAAAAAGTATGTCTCATTCTTAAAAGAACCAAATCGAACACGTTTGACTTTTATTGGAACAATTTATTTTTAGTTCTTATTTTCAAGTTTTACCTATTTTTAGGGTTTGTTTTTAACATCTCAGTAATTATAGTTTTGTAATTAAACTGTTTAGATTTTAACCATCTCTGATTTTTTATTTCCAAATTCGGAAAAGTGAAAAAAGAAAAGCATTTTTTTTATAACACAAAAATCATATTTATTTTTCTTATTTTTTGAAGTACCAAATATCATTATTACTAAAAAAAATGAAAAAAACATACCATAGTAAAATATATGCCCAAATAAATTGCAATTTGTATTTCTTTTTCAATGAAAAATCAATTTTTTTGTTTGAAAAAATGAGTGATGAATTATTACTTTTTCATCTTTTAGGGATATCACAATATTTTTTGCACTTATTCCCATAATAAGGTGTATATAACAATAATAAAATATACCTTTTAAAATTAGGGGAATAACGGATTAAACTGCAAATTTCCCGAATTGGACATGGTTTGTTTAATTTTTAATAAATGATAGTAAATAGTCTTTTGAAGTGTCTGTGTTTATAAAATATGTTTTTATATATATTATAATAATTATCTTTTACCTTATTTGTAATAAATTCGTTCTTTTTTACATTTCAAATTTGATGGAATTTACCTTTTCATTGTTTTAAATAATACACTTTATTGACGTTTTTTAAGTAATTTAAAAAAAAGATTTTTATTTTAATCAAAAAAAAAATTAAAAAATTTGTTGTTGAATAATTGTAATTAGATTAATATTATAATGTGTTTAAAGTTAGTAATATGTATCTAATGTATTAAAATATATATTTATATTTGCAAATAATTTAAAAATAAATTTATAATAGAATAATTTATTATTTGAAAAAACTAATTAATAATAATTTATAATTGATTAATAATTTAATTTATTATTTAATTTATAATTATTCAAATGTATTAAAAATAATGCCATATTTAGTAATACATAAATTGTCTAAAAAGACCCTGCAAAATAATTAAAATTATAAGAAAACATTAATAAATTAAACAATAAACATATATTATATGTTAATTTTTATAACCATTATTTATTATAAAAAATTTATCAAAAAACCATTAATAACCCATTTTACAAACCCTCAATGGAAACTGAGTTTTGCTTTGTAACATGTCAAAGGATAAGAACAGATCATCACACAACCAGTCACACAAAAACCACAGAAATGGTTTCTACAAGCCAAAACCCCACGAGTACGAAAGCAAAAAAGGAATTAACGTGAAGGTTGCCAGATCCATCAAGGCCTCAAGAAAGTTTGCTCTTAAACAAAGACTCGATGCCAAAATGGCGAAGAAAGCCGTTGCCGAACCCAAGAAAGAATAAATGATTTGTTGTCCTTTGATTTCTTTATCACTATTAGATTTTTTTCTTTTCCCGAGTTTGCAGCCTTTTTTGACCTTTGTTATTTTTTTTATTTCATATCATTATGAAATTACATATGTTTTTAATATAAATTAATTGTTTTCCATATAATATTTTATTCTTCATTTTAATTTAAATCAGTTTATCATAGTTTATTAAACCATTAAATAAAATGTTTTATTTAGTTATAAATTATAGTTTTGTTTTATAAAAAAAGTTTATTGTTTTTTATAAATAGAATATAATAATGTTACTTTTTTCTTTTGAGGATAAATAGTAAAAAATTATAATAACATTTTTGGTTATTAATAAAATAATGTTAAAAGTTTGTTATCAATTGGATACGAACAAACATCAAAAAAATAGTATTAAAAATAAATAAATGAACTAAATATTTACGAAAAATTGTAAGTATTGTTGAAGTATTTTATTGCTCAAAATAACAAATCATTAAATGCATAATCTTTCATTTTATCATACCAAGAATATTTTAACAACGAGTTATTAACATCTTATAATATATAGTTGTAATTGAACAGTGTTTATTTAACGATATTTCATCCTTTTCGTGAATGATTAATGATTAATCAACTTTAATTTTTTCGTTCCCAAAAAAATAATCACAAACACAAATAAAAAAACGCCTGATTAGTTTTCACTTTTTTGAATTGAGCCTTGTTTCCCGTAATATTGATATGATTTTCTTCTGTTATTACAAAACTCAAAACATCTTTTATGATCCCCTTTATTAATCAACAAACAGTCAAACACACATTTTTGAATCACTTTTGTTGATTTTTTATTTTCTTGTATTTGAGACTTATAACCCAACGTGTTTAACCGAAAAAGCGGGTTATTGCCAACAATACTTGAATTCTTGTTTATGTAAGGATATTATGTTTTGTACTGTTTTGTTCACTCCTAAAATAAGACTTCTTTCTTTTTCCTTTTCATTTCTAAACACTTCGTGAATTTCTTCGCCGCTCTTCAAAGGCTCAAAACGTTGTCGAAACACTCGTCTTTGTTCCCTCTTCTATATAACGGCATTTATCTGATCTCTGAAGATGAAACAAATACAGATGGCTACAGTCAAACCATTCAGAGGCATCCGTCCACCAAAAGATATAGTAGAGTTAGTAGAGTCTCGTCCTTATGATGTTTTAAGCTCTGAGGAGGCTTATAAAGAGTGTGAAGGCAACGAAAAGTCGCTTTATCACATAATTAAGCCTGAGATAGACTTTCCCGAGGGCACCTTAGACACTGATGAAAGAGTGTACAAAAAGGCTGCTGAGAACTTTGCGAAATTCCAGGAAAAGGGGTGGCTTGTGCAAGATACAAAAGAGTGTTATTACATTTATGCGCAGACTATGAACAACAAGACCCAATATGGATTGGTAGTAGCTGCTTATGTTCCAGACTATATGAATGGTATTATTAAAAAACATGAATTAACTCGAAAGGATAAAGAGGAAGATAGAATGAAACATGTCAGAGTCTGTAATGCTAATATAGAACCTGTCTTCTTTGCATATCCAGATCGACCAGAATTGGATAAAATTATTGAGAAATACACATGTCAAAAACCATTGGACGATTTCATTGCTCCAGTCGATGGATTTGGCCACAAATTCTGGATAGTAGACAACGATGAGGATATTGAAAATATTACAAAAATATTTAAAACTATTTCCGCGTTGTATATTGCAGATGGGCACCACAGATCAGCGGCAGCTGCTCTTGTGGGTGCCGAAAAGGCAAGAAACAATCCACATCACACAGGAAAGGAGGAGTATAACTACTTCATGGCAGTATGCTTCCCAGAGAATCAACTGACTGTGATTGACTATAATAGAGTCGTTAAAGACTTGAATGGACTTTCAAGCGAACAATTCTTGGATGCTCTCAAAAAGCACTTTGATGTTGAATTGAAGGGTGATGATATATACAGACCAAACATGTTACATAACTTCTCGTTGTATCTTGATGGGAAGTGGTATTCTTTGACTGCACATAAAGACATCTATGACGACAATGATCCAATTGGGATTCTTGATGTCACCATTTCATCGAATCACATCTTGGACGAAATTCTTGGTATAACAGACTTGAGAAGTGACAAGAGAATAGACTTTGTTGGTGGTATTCGTGGGTTGGGTGAACTAAAAAGAAGAGTTGATAGTGGGGAAATGAAAGTTGCGTTGGCACTCTATCCAGTTTCTATGAAACAAATCATGGACATAGCTGACAGTGGAAATATTATGCCACCAAAAACAACTTGGTTTGAGCCAAAATTGCGGTCAGGAATGGTAATTCACAAACTCGAATAATTCATTCATTTTTTGTTTATGTTTTTCTTTTAAATATCAACATTATCAACAATAAATTTAACATTTGCTAAACTGAAACAAACAAAAACTATATCTATTGTGATTTAAAATTTATTAGGTAATTTTAAATCAACAATATCAATATCAAAATTGATATATTAAAAAATTAATATATCAACTGATTCATGTGTTGTGATTGAAATTATAAATTATAATATTTATTTTTGTAACCAATGTTAATGTATTACAAAAAATTGAAACAAAATTTTAAAATCAAAATCTATTTTCTAATTTCAAAATTGATTTTGATGTATTCGTGAAAGAACAATTGACAATTTCAATTTTTTTGAGATTCACATAAAATAGATAAAATAAAATTGACTAAAATATAGAAAACTTTTAAAGTAAACTACTCTAGAGTCTAGACTCGATAAACAACAAGGCGATTAAAAAAAAATGTGAGAAAAAAAATGAAACAATTAAAACAAGAAGTGATAAATCATTTTTTAATGATATGGAGTAATAAATAGTCCATATCATTAACTTTTTTTTCAATTAATAAATAAATTAAATACAATTATTGTGATAGTTATGTTCCAATTTCTTCGATTATTATTAAGTCTTATATTCCAAAAAAAAAGAATAAAGTAATCGGGATACTACGACAAAAATACTTTCAATGAAAAATAAATAAAGAATGACACGATGAAAGACGAATAGAAACACCTTTCTTTTGAAATTTTTAATTACTCAAGAAGTGCAAAATAACATCTCAATAATCATTTTGAATGAATACTTATACTCAAGAAGCACAAAACATTAGATATTCAACACAACAAATACCACAACAATTTGCGCAACAAGAACCCTACCAACAAGAAGAGTATAGTGTTCCTCCTTCTTTGACTCAAAGTGAGCAAGACCCAATGGTCGCTCACGCTATAGCTCAAAACACAACTTATAACTTCCCCACAACCCCAGACCCTTCTGTTTCAACGTACGTTGTTCCACCATCACAGGGATTCACTCCATTTCATCAAAGCTCTCACCTTCCACAGAACAAAAGAGACGAACAAAACAATGCGACTCCCGTGGAGCAAAAAGTGCAAAGCACATACCTTACTGATATGGGTTCAGTAAAAACAGAAAATTATGACACGAACCAAGTACATCCTGAAAACTCGGGTTTTGTAGAAGTAAAAGAAACTCAAGGAAATAATCTTTCTTCTGAGCAGTACATCGATTTGGCGACAAAATTAGAACATATTGAGACTATACCAGAAAACGAAATTATGGATGACGACGACAGCAGAGTTATAGTGGTCAAATTGATGCTTGTGGGGATAGTATTATACCCCATTTACATAGTGATCTTTGCTCTTTTCAACAACAGCAGTGACAAGCGCGTGAGGATTCTTTCTTTTGTGTCGATGGGCCTCTTCTTGTTCATGCTTAGCCTTTACATCACACTCTTCTTCCTCTGCGTTTATGTCTTTTAAGTTAATTTGTTTTTTGGACTGCGTTGTTCACCTGTAGTTGTCCCACACAAGTAATTAGTAAGTTATTCTATTCAATTTACTATTTTAATCAGAAATAGAACTGTCTCAACTACTTCTTCTAGTTTTAAATAAGAATATGAAGATATTTAATAAAAATAAAATAACAAAAGAAATGTTGTTCTAATTTGGTACCCATTTTTCTTTCTTGAAAACCAGTTTTCTCCATTCTATATGTCAAATCGACGATTAAAAATAGTTAATTTAATAATATAATGAAGAGTAAAAAGAACTAGAAGAATAATTTTAAAAACGATTATCTATAATCGGCACCTTTCTTTTTGAAGACAGCCGTTGGACTGGAAATTCAGTGATGAGCTTTTTTAAACCACACTCCGTCTACAACCCAAACGGAAGTAAATACATGTTCGACCAAATTTTGTTTGCGAGGGATAGCGAGTTTCTTCGGTGTTACTGCGCTGAGCTGGTGAAGGGGAAAATGGCTCCGGAGTGCAACACAAACGCGCGGTTGCTTGTGGAGTACTTTAACGTGCATGGGAAGTTACTCGACTTAATGAAAGAAGTTGCGAAGCGGGAAATTGAGACGACAAACACCGAGACACAAATATTTCGAGGAAACACTTCATTCACACGACTGTATGGGGAGTATAGCCACTTGTGTTTGTTGCCATATTTGAGAGCTGTGACAAAGGACATCATCCAAGTCTTAATGTCCGAAGATACAAAGCTCGACCCTGATGCTTTAAGTGTGGTAGACTCCCCAAATCATGCGGAGACAATGGACACCTTCTGTAAATTGGCTAAGACGTTTGCGACAAAGTTAGTCGACTCTGTCAGTCTACTTCCACTCCACTTCCATCAACTTCTTCGATTCATCTCGGTCGAGGTTGGCAACAAAAAGTCGAAGATTTCAACACCACAAAACACATTTAATTTGCTCTTTTTCATTAGAACCGTCTTCCCAGTATTCCACGCACCACAACATGTGATGGACACTATACAACCACCATCACCAGAAATGGCTAAACGCCTCACCACATTTTCTAAGACATGTCAGTCTCTTGTGAATGATGGGTCTTTGAGTTCGGTGGTACCAAACGACATATCTGTGGTCATGACAACTGCAGCAGGAAAGCTTTTTGAGAACTTCACACACCCAAGGTCGGGATACATGACTGAGAAAAGTGGGCTGGACTTCTCCCTGCAACCAGGAGCTCACCAGAAAATCGTCGAGTTGGTCAGGGCAAATTTGGAGCCGTTGACAAATTTGATGACAAGGGACGTCGATACCCTGAAGGCCGCACTCGACACTGAGCGAAACGAAGACTCTGTGATGACCGAAATGCAGCAGTCGCTTGAGTTCTGCAGCAACACATACAGTGAAAGATTACAGGCCGTCGAGGACGAGATCAAGGACTTGACTGGGGAAATCGACTTTTACAAAACACAATTGGCTTCAATTAAGAAGGCAATCCAAGACGAAGACGACCTCACTGTGAAACTCCAGGACGAAATTTCTAAACTTGAGGCCGACTCACCTAAGCCACCTATGTCGACACGAGAGAATAGTGTTTCGTCAAAGAAGGACCAACCTCTCTAATTTTTTTGTTATTCGCCAAATGTTTTTCTTTCTCCATGTCTTTCAAATCTTTCTAAAAGAAAAACATTTTTATTCGACGATTGGAGTGAAGTTTGCGCCAAAAAATGTTTTTTTCGGGCTTGCCGAACATTCCCGTTTTCGCAAAAAAAAGCAGTCGGGATTTTTTTGAGAGCAACACAAATAAAATTTTTTTGTTGGAATTTGTATCTATTTTTGAAAAACAAGCCTTCAAGCTTCAAATTGTTGGGTAATAACCCAAACCAGGTGAATTATCTATTTTTGGCGATGAAGCAAATATTTTAGTGTTTTTTGTCGTAAGGAAGCGGGAAGGTTGGGGAAATTACCCAGCATTGTATGGAATGTTCGTGGTACTTCTATGAACATGTTTTACACTCGTTTGAAAAAATCCGGTGTTTTGTACTATTTTTACAAACAGTTGAACTATATTATTTGGTTGTTTTGCTTATTGTTTTACTAATGTTTGGTAATGAACATAAATTCAAAACTCACGCAATTTTAGTTCACGAACTGGTAATTTGAGACGGAAAATGGTGCTAAAGCCGGATATGTCTTCCAACTGAAGATAACCAAATAGTATAATAAAAAAAGTTAAACAAACTAGTAAATATTTTGTGACTAAGGTACAAGCGCTGTTTTGGGTAATCAAAAGCGAAATAAGCTGCGAAAAACACTTGAAAAAAAAAGTTTCAAAAAAAGAGTGCGTCGGGCTCTTTTAAAAGAGACACGTACAAAAACATTCATTTGATAGCAAAAATGACGATTTGACGACTGTCACAAGTAAAACCCAAAATATGCTGTGGTTTATCGGCATATATAGTACTGATGTATCATTTGGACGGGAATGCCGTGGTTAAGATGTTCTTTCAAAAACAACATTTTAAAACTTCTCTGGGCTTGTGCCCAACTATAAAAGGTTGAGTCCACTAACTCTATCCATGGAACTCGACTTCACAACACCACAAGAAGAAATACTCCGCCGAAGAAAAAGAGTCTCACGCAATGAGGAGACCACTCTCGTTAATGCACTTGTCTTCCTCATAGTCAAGTTGGGTTTTAATGTTAAAATTAAGAAGACTAAGAAGACCGTCCACACGGTCAAAATGCTGATCATAGAAGAGATGGTCCATAGAGAATCTGGTAAAGCACTCAAGCAAGAAGATGTTGCTCGATACTCACAATTCCTTCTTAAAGAACTCGGACACCCACACATGGAGGAGGCTGGAATGACTCTGAAACAACTCAAAAGATCAAGAGAAGCCGAATTGAATAATGCTCTGATATACTTCTTGAAGAGGGTGGGATTTTCCTTTGAAGAGAAAAAAACAAAGAAGTCCAAATGCACAGAAAAGTTGGTCAGGTTGAACAGTTTGACTTATGGGGACATTGTTTTCAACAAGGAACTCTTGGCTCAAATTGGGGAATTCATCGAAGATGTTGTTCGACAAGAGATGAGTTCGGGCTATGTTGAAATCACAGAGATTTTATTGAAGAAGTATGACTCTATCAAGATCCCAAAAGTGTCTTTTAATGAAGTGTTGTCTATGAAACTTCCGGAACACCCAAAAAGCACACCCAAAAGTATTCCAAAAATCGAAAATATAAAACAAAAACCAACTAAACCAAAGAAAATCAAAAAAGAAGAACAAATCATCAAACAAGAACCAAAAGAACAAAACCCAGAGATTACTCAAGATCAAGTCACTTCAATTTGCAGCTTCGATCAACAACAACCACAACAACACTTCCAACCAGTCTGTTTGGACCAAAATTTTTATTACCAAATGGGGCAAAATACTCAACAAACTGAAGAACCAATCTACTACATCGGACCAAACCCTATGTTCCAGAATTGCGTACCTGTACAGTCTTATTCTTACGACTTCAATCAGGTCGAACTCTCCGTCGATTCGTTGGGTCAGACCGGAAGCATAGGATTCCAAGACGACTTGTCGTATAAACCATCTCTGGCCTGCAATTATATGGAAAGTGGTTTTGGTTTCACCCAGAATTATTATATCTAATTTCTGTAATTATGTTATTCTTGTCTTTTGTTTTTAATTAGTCAAGATATAATGTAACATGATAATAAAATAGAAACGTCAACGATCGCATCGAAATCAATTGAGTTAAACTGAATTAAACTTAATATTTTTAGTTTATAAAAGAAATCTATAATGATGATTTCTTTATAATAAAAACACTTCTTTTGTCAATTTGTAAAATTGCATTGCATTTTTTTTGAATGTTATTAAAAACAAACGTTTTATAATTTTTAGTTCATTCAACAGTCAAAAATTTATAACTCTTGTTATTGAATTTACTTGTCTTTTTTCATCATTTAGTGCCCTTTTGAAACAATAAGTACACTCACGACGTGCTTTTTGTTTTAACAGCAAAACACGAACACCATTATTGCAGTATTGTTGTTGTGATATTGAAGCATGTGCTCAGAGTAAATAAAAAATACAAAATCGATCATATTACTCAGTTATATAATAAAAATGATAATCTTTCAACGAGAAAACCAAATTAGTTTAAATGAAAACGACAATCAATGACCATTGAAATATAAAAATGGTTAAAAACAAAAAAATAAATGAACACAAATAAAGTCAGAAAAATAAGATATATCGAGGACAGACTAATATCACAAATAAATGCTTTCTTAGCTCACCCTCCATTCTTGGGCCTTTTACTAGTTGAAAGGTACATAAGTTCCATCAACAACGATATAAGGCTCGAAATTTTCAAATTCCGTTTTCTTTAAATAGTGTTAGGGTTATTAAAAAAAGTAGTTAAATATATTATACCGATTAGTAAGTATATCAAATAACACTACAAACCAAAAAACAACCATTTGCCTTTTTCAAATAGAAAAACACAATCGAAAAAACAAAAATTGAAACCCTGAAATACCCTAACTGTGATTGCACAAGGGACAAGACATGAGTAAGATCCTTGCACCAGGCCGTGTTGTCATTCTCCTTTCAGGCAGATATGCCGGAAAGAAAGCCGTCATTTCGACAGTGAACCTCCAAAAGTCGAAAGACCGTGATTATGGTTTCGTGACCGTTGTCGGCGTTGAGCGCGCCCCATTGAAAATCACCCGTGCTATGAGTGATACCGTTCAGCGTTTAAGAACTTCCGTTAAAGCTTTCTGCAAAGTTGTTAACGTCAACCACGTGATGCCAACCAAGTACACCGTTAACCTTGACCAACTCTCGTTAATCAAAGACGTCAAAATAAACACCTTCGAAGCTGGAAAGCCATACCCAATCGCCACCAAAAAGGCTCTTAGTTCCCAATTCGCTGAGGTCTACAGAAATGGTAAGGAAAGCTGGCTGTTCACTAAATTGAGATTCTAATCGTCGCCAATCCACTCAATTTTATTGAATACCCTTTGTCTTTTTTTACTATTTAATTATAGCTCTTTTACTATATGTTATAATTCGTTTGAAAGTCTATTATCTGAGTCTTGTCGGCTGAATAGTTCAATTTTTATAATATATTTATAGTTTTATAACACCAAAGATGTTAACAATAAAAAAATATAGTAAAAAGCTATAAAAAGAACTAAATGTTATAACAAAGAGTTAGTCGAGGTTGGCGGCGTATTTATTGATGATGTTTCCAAAAGGTGGGACAGCAAGGAAAACCTCTGAATGTGCTCGGATAACCGCCATAAGGATGAGGGCGATTTTGAAGATAATGTAAAGAAGGACATAGACCATCATAACAACCTCCCCAAAGCCACCGAAGGCAATGCAAGCCATATAAAATGGGAGAGCGATGATGAACAGAATAAAGAACCAAATAATGCTCTGCATCGCAACTGCTCTACAATACACATTTGTCTTTTCAACAAAGAAAAAAATAGCGGAACTCAACACGAAGAACGATGACAAAAACGCCTTCTCGTCAGACCCACCTTTATCGCTTTTATCAATACTACGTCTCCAACAAATTGAATGCGGCAAAACAAACCTCTAACATCACCGGGATGTGTGTTGAAGTAACTCCGACACCCGGGTTAAATTGTTGTTGTTGTGGGGGTTCAGAAGATCCGTCCATATTTGCTTTTCGAGTTTTCTTTTTCGAATTTTCTTTATTTATTGAATTTTTTAAAGTTCGTTGCTCAAAACTATTTTAAAGTAATCCGTCAATCTATTTATTATCTTTGTTATATATTTAATTTATATATAAAATTATATAAAAAACACCTTTTTCTGAAAGATAGTATTTTTTCATCATCAAATAGTTCGTAATTATCGGTAAAGCATATATTGATAAAAATGAGAGTTGAGTATTTTCTTTCCGATATACTTCTGTTACTGAATACAATTAACGAGTTGTTTTTAATTCAAACAAGAACTTAAACCCAAAGAAAACCTTTTGGTAGAAAAATAAAAATTGCTCGTTAATTATTACCACCAATTATTGAAGCAAAAGACAATAATAAAGGCAAGTCAATCAGTAATAAGGAGGTACAACCTGTTGTTTTACCGGTTGTGGTGGTTGAAATAATTGGTCGAGTGTTTGTTTTACGTTTTTGTAAAAGTAGTAGAGTGCAACAGTGAAATACTCTGTGTTTGTCTTTGAACATGAAATAGACTTTTTCATGTGGGTTTGATGGAAGGAACACATACAACTTTTGTCACAGTCTCCAAACATAGGCTTGTAGAAATTAAATATCTCGATCGAGTTGATCTCGTGTTGCACCAATTTATTTATCGCGTTAATGAAGTCGTCGATTGCGTAAATTGTTTTAAAAACACCCCGTTTTTGGTCTTGCACTTTGGCGAGAGTCGCGATGCAGTCGATGCACTGTTCCGATGCTAAACGTGGTGTCGCCAAAATAATTGGTTGCATTCCTGATTGCCCAATTTGAATTGCCTTCTCCCTCACAAACGCATTCATTTTCTTCCACAACGTTTCAAAGTCGGTTTGTGTCACCGGGTTATTTTCCGATGACACGCCATGTTCAAAGTCAGTGTAATGCAGCGCGTTGAGAAAGTATTGGAATGGAACTGGTCTGTTAATGATTTGATGAAAACCATCATATTGTTGACTTGACCCTAATAAAAACGGTTTAATTGCAACCTCAACAGGCATTGTGGCAACATCTGTTTTGTAACTGAATTGAAAATCGATGACGAAAAATGGTTGTCGCTCGATATTAGTCTTAAGCCCTTGTAATGTTTGTAAGAGTAATTCCTCTCTTGTCATTCTTATGTGGTTTTTATAGTTGTTTTGTAATACTTTTTAAAAAAAAAATAATACCATTAAATATAATTTATTTATAATAAATGAATTTAACACTTAAAATTTTGTATAGGAATGTGTTCTTTATTTTACTCAAAAAGAATTATATATAATATAATAATAATTATATATTATTAAAAAATATTAAAAAAGTGTTAGTTATAAATTAAAAATGATGAATTGATTAACAAACTGAAAATGAGATGATTGTGATTGCGTTCTTGACTTTTCTTGTCAATGGAGTTGTCAAAATCTCAACGCCTGAGACATTTAAGGAATTAACTGAAGGAAAGAGTGTTGTCAAATTTTATGCGCCATGGTGCTCGCATTGTATTGCTCTCAAACCTGTCTTCGAGAAATTGTCTGATGAGTTTCAGGATGTTCAGTTCGTCGAGATCAACTGTCAACAACACGAAAAATTCTGCGTGAACAGAAACATCAACGGATTTCCAGAAATTCGAAGCTACGAGAATAACGTGGAAGTCTCAAAATACAGCGGACCTCTTGACGCAACGAACTTACGAAAATATTTGAAAGGAGAAAAAGTCGGGAAAGCTGAAACGCGCGTGTTCCAGCTCAACGCTTCTAATTTTGAAAGTGTTGTTAATGACGAAACTAAAAATGTTGTGGTCAAGTTTTATGCGCCGTGGTGTGGAATATGCAAGGGAATGAAAGACAAATATGAGAAGTTAACAGAGATATACAGTAAAGAAACAGACTTGGTTATTGCAGAAATGGACTGCACTGAGCAACAAAACGTGAAAATATGTAAAGGCAGATTCAACATTTCTGCATATCCTACTATAACGTTTTTCCCTAAAGATTTTAAGTATGGAAAAGACTTCACATACGAACACGAGATCACAACATATCTAAATAGAATGAACAGAGAGTTTTGGTACTTCAGAAATGAAAATGGAAAATTACAGGAGAACGCGGGGCGGGACAAAAAGATGGACAAACTTGCTAATGAGTTTTTGAAATCGCACGAACAGCGACGAGCTGATATTGTTGCCGTTTTCACGAATTCCAATAAAGGGCGAGTGTACAAAGACATAGCACAACACATCATTGCAAAGGGCAGTGACTGGATTGATGAACGCAAGAAGATTCTTGAGGAGATAAAGCACACTGACGATTTGGCCTTCATTGAGCTCAACATATTACAACAGTTCAAATAAAAAACGTCATTTCTTTTTATTAGTACTGAAGTTATAATAAACTAACAATTAAATTTATTTATTTTGATGAAAGCCCTGTTGCTTTATTTTTAATTTGTTGTAAAAACTCGAAAAATTAAATGGATTTCATCTTGAAGAACGAGAGCTTCTTAACACTCTCCACAGAAATCCGTGACTGGGTTTTGATCCCATTGTTTGTGGTCACCGTCTGTTCAAACTACATCCGACAATATTTGATGGTATTAATTGGGGGTGGAGACGCTCCAACCCCACGTTCACAACAAGGTTTGTTGACATAAAAAGTCATTACACCATTCACAGAAAGAAAACTCTTTGATCCAACGTGTTCAGATATTCATTGATCGTAGTTACTTGTTGTTCAACTCGAGTTTCAAGCGCCTTCGCGACAAATATACAAACCCTGACAATGGCCTCTTAATTGTGACGAAGGCCCCGACTGAAGATGGGATTCCAAACATGCCACAAGCTGATCCGTCAAGTTTAATGGGTGGGATGAAAGGGAATTTGGTCAATATGGTGATTCAAATTGTGTTGATGACATGGATCACAAGCATGTTTGATGGGTTCATCGTCTTGAAAGTCCCATTTCCATTGAGTTATCGATTCAAGTTAATTACACAACAAGGTATGGGGTTCCTCGACATCGATGTTTCTTATGTTTCTTCGATCAGTTGGTACATTTTGGTCTTCGCGGGCGGAAGATACATCATGAAATTGTTTGACTCTGATAACGACATGGATATGAGTGGGATGACTGGAATGCCTACTGGTCAAAAGGCGCCGTCACTTAACATGAGTGGTGTTGTCGGACAGTTCAATGATTTGGCCAAACAGGTTGCTCTTGTTGATCCCAATGAAGATAATTACATCGAAAACATATACGATAAGGTAGCCGAAGATTTGAACATCAAAATCAATAAGAAAAAGAATGAACTCGGCCCCGTGAAGGCGAAGAAAGACTAACTTTTTAAAATAAGAAGTATGGGTGTTTATTGTTTCATTTTCAATATACTGATTCCTTTTTACAATAGGTAGAGAGATGCAACATATTCAATATATAGTAAACACTACTTCACAATTTCGAATACCCTTTAACTGGTTTTGAATAGTTTTCAAGCTGTATAATAGTAAAAAACCCACACTAATTTAAAAAAAAGAACTTGAAAGTGAATTGAAATGGTTTGTATCAAATCTACTAACTATATTACACATATAATAAGTAAATTTTGTTGACTACATTAACTTGAAGGGAAACGAAATTACAAAAAAGATGGATAAACAGGATGTGGAGAAATTAAATAAATTGTTCGAGGAAAAGGGCGAGCTGATGAGTAGAGTCGAAGGTGTAGAGGGGGTTAAAAGAATATGGAACCCCGAAAAGGGAAATTTGGAACTTAATTTGGAAAAATATATGGTCTACGACTTTTTGTATAGTTATTGCTTCCCTTTCTTGGTCTACAAACAACGTATTTTGACGAATCAAGTTTGTATTATTTTGTCATATTTGTTAGTGAATGAAAGACATTCATTGAAAGACGCTGTTAAATAAAAGTTTAGCTTTGATTAACACAACCATCGAAACAACACAACAAAATTTTCCCGTTGTTATCCAACAGTTTCAAAAGTATCACGACGATGTCCCAAATGGTTTGTTTATGATGGAATCGGTGTATTTTTATATGTGTATATGCATACAACTTATTATTAGCAATCAGAGGTATGACTTATATGTTTAGTACTTTTGCACAAAGAGTCAGAAAACTCCAAGAAAGTGTCGAACAGTTAAGTCAGTTCAATGACAAAATGGTGGCTTATGTCGACAACGAAATCAAAAAGGAAAATTTGATTTTTCAACTTCGTGGGTATCCATTAGACGTGACTAACGATGTGATATCTTCTGACCCAGCCTTCTTTTAATTGTTATTTCATCCACAAATTTTATTAATTTCAGAACTTATTTTAATATACCTTTGGGAGTCAATTTTTACAGCCCGAAATAGAACAAAATTTAAAAAAAATATAATTAGCGCAGTTCCGATTAGGACATGTTTCCCGATTTTGGTTTTAAGTTTTATGTAATTTTTGTTTGTTGAATAACAAAAAGAACGCTCTAGAGCTGCCACGTCATAACATTTTAAGGATAAATTGCGAGTGAAAAAAAACAGACCAATCAGATTCAATCTGATCTATAGATAGTAACTATTATCAAAATTATTAAATCTGTCTTTGAAACCATTAAAACAATAAGTTTTTTTATAATTTTTTTATTAAAAATTGTTGTATTTATTATTATTTATTATAATTTAAGTTATTATTCCATAAATTTTTATAGTGATCTAACAACATAATAGATTAGATGCTTTAAAACAATAGATAACTTGAACAAATAGGTATAAAATCATGTTAAAAACAAAATGACAGTGCAATAACACTCGTATTAATATAATAAAAACATTATAAATAATTGATACTTTTTATATCATTAACATAAGTTATTAAATTATCATCACATATATTTAAACGATATCAATTATGTTATGACTGTTTTTAAGTATATCATCACACACAAATTACAATTTGATCAATGCCATTAAAGATAAAAACAATCTATTTCAAAACCTATAATAATAACACAAATTAAATATCATATTTGAATAAAATGATTATCAACACGATCAATTCTTATATTAAAAACGACTTTCACATTATAACTATAAAACACGTTTCCAATAGATTGATAAATTTAATTTAAAAAAACAACTTGTTAAACAAATAATAAAATATATTTAATTTTATAATTTTGATAATAGTTACTATCTATAGATCAGATTGAATCTGATTGGTCTGTTTTTTTTCACTCGCAATTTATCCTTAAAATGTTATGACGTGGCAGCTCTAGAGCGTTCTTTTTGTTATTCAACAAACAAAAATTACATAAAACTTAAAACCAAAATCGGGAAACATGTCCTAATCGGAACTGCGCTAATTATATTTTTTTTAAATTTTGTTCTATTTCGGGCTGTAAAAATTGACTCCCAAAGGTATACCATTTGAATGAAATACTATTAAAAATAAACCAATTAAAAGGCAACAAATAAATTCATCAGTAACTTAATGGCACGATTTCTAAACCTTCATATTTGTCAGTTCCAAGGGAAACTTCCTCCATCACGACTTCTCCGGTCTTCACATTGGTCATGCCAATCCAACTCTCTACTGTATCGCCGTTTTCGTAGGTCTTCAAATATACCATAATGTCTTCATTGTATGGAAGCAACTTCACAGAAGAGAAGCACCTCTTTTCGTTGTATTGTTTGTCAATAACAAACTTCATGTTGTCTTTGTTCTCGTCCGCCTCGATGATGTACTTTCCAGCTCTTTCCAGATTATCGACACTTTCGACCCAGTTAGTCTTTGATACCTTTCTTGGACAGAAGTACCACTTCCTTTTCATGTTGGAATATACCACAGCTTCGTGAGTGGTATACCCTTCGGAGGTGATACCAAGTAATGCGTCAATTCTTGTATACACCTCTAACCAATTTTCAACAGTATATGACATGTCTCTATTCACTTTAAATACATAGTACTTCTCCCAACGACCTTGCTGGCCATCCAAATTGGTCGAATTGCGCCCATGGCTGCCTAAGTACATGTGATTACCAACGACAGTACCCCACTCATGTTTGGCACCGTTTTCCGAATTACCATTACCATCCGCCATTATCATCCGAGAGTAATACTCCTTTTTGTTCACATTAAGCTCACTTGCTATTCCAGTCTTGTCATCAAACACATAAGTCTTGTCGAAAAATTGGACGATCTCGGAAGTCTCAACACCACGGCCTTTATACGTGTATTCACTATAGACGGTAATGTCTTTTGAGTCCCTTGGGGCGTATGTCCACTGACCATCAACTTTACTTAATAAGCCAAAGTGCACTTTGGTATATCTTTTGTCGCTTGCGTCCTTATTATTGTTGTCATTGTCTGCAATAAACATGACTTGGAATATCGTGGATGTATTAGTATATTCTGAATACCCGGCCATAGACGTCGGGTATCTAAAATTGGCGGGATCTACTGGCTCGATGGTTTGTGATCCGTCACTGTACCTGTCATCGTTCAAAAAAGTGATTAAAAGAACAGCAACCACTGTCGCCACAAGCACAATTGCAATTCCGATATATCCAATAACGGTGAGAATTATTTTCTTTGTATCTGCCATAGCAATGAACACTATATGTTTTAAGTTCGATTATATAAAAACTATATTTTTAGATACAAAGAATTGTTTTGAGTGTTGTTTTTATTTAGTGTAATGCTGTTTTTTCTTCGAATAAATCGGGTCAATTCTGTGATTATTTCTTTTAATTGAAAAAATTGATGAAGTAGATTAATACACTTCAAATTTATTATAAAATTGTAATACAAATACCATAGAAATAAATGATGTGTAAATATTTATTTCTTTTTGCTGCAAGTTACACTTTTTTATAAATAGACAAAATAACTCAAATTGGTTTAATTATAGTAATATTAATAAGAAGAAGATAATGAAATGGTAACAAAATGACAAATAAATCCAACACACTTTTTTTGACTGTTTGTGGTATGAAAAACAAGCAAAACAAGTTTTACATAACCAAAGATATGGAAGTTTTTTTCATTCACAAAGATATACATATATATGGGTATTATTATAAATAGTAAAATGAACTATTCGTTTGACAACACAATTGGATTACACAGAAGAATCAAAGAACCAATCAATTCACTCTGCAAACGTTTTCTTTTCAAACAGCTTCATAAAGTCTGGAGAAACATCTTCTAACCACTTGTAATTCACTCTGGTGACCCCTCGCATTGACTTGTAATTAAACTCTATAATCTCGTGGAACACAACGTAGTCTGGGATTTGTCCAAATAAGAAACTTTGTTGAGCTATAACACACGGCTCTTTTGCTACTGCAGTTATGTATGCATTTCGAATATTCAACTTGGCGAATTTGCCCATTTCCTCTTTTTTCACAAGACGCCCCACGTTGTCCACAAAACAGTTTGCTATCACCTTACGAATTTTGACATTTTCTTCTGGAGTTGTAAGACGCTTTGGCAATTCGTTTGGAACCTTCAGAATACCACACAACTGTTCTCGCAACTGTAATATTTCTTTGAAAGCCTGTTGTTTGACCCCATACTGTTGGCAGAACTCTTTCAACGTCACTCCCTTTTTGGAGTTACCAAGTCGGAATGCGTCGACCATCCTTCAAATTAGTATTTATTAGGTAAAACATTCTATTAATACAATTCAAATAAATTATTTTGTTAATTTCATTTTGATATAATTATATATTCAAAAGGTTCTTAAGAAATAGAATGCACAAACGTTACATAAGAAAGTAAATCCGAGTCCTTATTGGTGAATATACTTCTGTTGAAATGTCCATCGATGAACAAATCACCAACACTCAGTGCGGAAACTAAAGACAATGCAACTTCCCCGAGTTCTTCTTTATTGAGCAAATGTAATAACTTCCCAAGACGTGGGTGGAGTGGATACTCTTTGACTATTTTACCCAAGTCGGTGATGTCTTCTTTTTTATCAAGTAATCCAATGAGTTGTAACAATCTGACTGCTCGTTTGAGGCCTTCGCACGAAATCTGTGAAGGAAATGGGAAATTAACAACTTTCTCAATACCCATCCCTTTCAGTGTTAATACTACGCTCTCAAGTGGCATCCGACGCACTTCAGGCTCAGTAAATTGTGTGAAGGTGTCATGATACATCGCAGAAGAGTACATTCTATAACAATACCCCGCCATACATCTACCAGCTCTTCCAGCTCTTTGTTGAGCATTAGCCTGTGAAATCCAGTCAATCACAAAAGAACTCACACCACTCTTAACGTCATACAACCGCTCTTTTGCTCTTCCACTGTCGACAACATATCGAATATCTGGAATAGTCAACGATGTCTCGGCTACGTTAGTAGATACAATGCACAGTCGTCTCCCTTTTGGATCCTTTTGAAAGACTTTTCTTTGTTTTTCTGGATCAAGGCTTGAGTACAAGGGTAGTGCACATAACGTGTCTTGGAACTGTTGCATAGCGTTCAGACGAGTACACACGTCTTCAATTTCACGTTTTCCTGTCAAGAACACAAGAATTCCGCCGCGTGGCAATTTGGTGTGAATTTTAACAATCAATTTAATTGCCTCAGAACAGTAGTCATCAATCACTGTTGTTCGAGAGAAATACGAAACGACTGGATATTGTCTAGACCCGATGTGAATCATCTTTGGGCGCTCTTTAAACAAATTAGTGTTATCCAAAAACTCACTGACGCGAAGGGTAGCTGACATGATAATGAGTCGTAGAGGCTTGTTTTGTTTATTTCTCAATTTCACAATACGAGAAAGTAACCCTATTAACACGTCAGTGTTAATACTTCTTTCATGTGCTTCATCAATAATAATGCAGGAGTATGGCGTCATCATAACGTCGCTTTGTGCTTCTTTAAGTAGAATACCATCAGTCATAAACTTGATTTTAGTATCTTGACTGACATTTGTATCGTACCGAATTTTGTACGAAACTTGATTCCCAAGCTCGCCCATCTCTTCACTGACTCTCTCGGCCATAGCAGTTGCCGCTATTCTTCTTGGTTGTGTCACTCCGATCAACCCACTGAATTGTGAATTTTCGTTACCAAACCCTATTTCGTAAAGGATCTGTGGAATCTGCGTTGTCTTTCCTGACCCTGTCTCTCCACATATGACAACCACTTCATTCTCTATAACCGCTTCAATGATATTTGCCTCTTCCATCATTATAGGCAACCCATTTCTCCGCTCTTTGATCTCTTTTGACCGTGGAATATAGACGGGATACACTATTTTGTTCTTCCTCACTTCTTCTAACTTAGTTTTGTTCTCTTTGACCTTTTTAGCATCATCAACTGATTGAGATTTTGTGTCCTCCGTTTGATTGTGTTTGGGGGTGCTTTCTGCTTCATAGGCGTCGTCCGAAAAGTCGAGTTTTAAATTGTCTTCTTCCATCTTCTCTTTTTGAAGCGTTTCATTAGTTTCATCCTTTTCGGAGTGTGCCTCCCCATCGCTCTCTTCAGACTTCTCCTCACACTCCATTGTCTCGTTTTTTGGTTCTTTGATAAGTACGTCTTCATTCTCTTCATTTTCTTGGTCACTGTGTGTGCTGGTATCTTCCGAGTTCTCTTCACTTGGACTCTCCATTTTTTCTTCTTCTTCATCATTACTTTCACTTGACTCTTCAGACTCCATTTTTGTGTTAATCAACACCACTCGCCCCAATTTAGGTTTCTCAGGCTCTTTAGGTTTATCCTCTAGTTGAACCTTTTCAGTTGAAAACCCAAACCCAAATGTCTTCTTCCCATCCTCTACAACTATTTTAGTCACCTTCTCTTCCTCTACCTTTTTCACTACTTTTGGCTTCTTCTGAACTGCTGTCGCTTTTTTGGGAATAATCACAACTACTTTATTCTCTTCATCTGTCTCTACACCAAGAAGAGTCGAACTCTTCAAATTTGGAAGTTCCTCGTCGGTCAACATGTACTTCGTGAGTTCCTCGAAAAGTTGAACTCGTCGATTTTTTAATGATATTTTGTTCAACGCCTTTTCAACACGTCGTTTCTTTGCCGAAGTCATTTTGGTTTTACTCAAAATAACGGGTTGACCGTCTTTTATTTCGGCGTTTTCCTTTGCTTCATTAAGTGGTTCATCCACTTCAGCTGGTTCTTCTTTCTCGACTTTATGGTCAATTTCTTCAATTTTAGTCTCATTTTCTTTCTTAATTTCCTCGACTTTTGGGGGTTCAACTTCTAATTCTTTATTTTCACCTTTCACTTCAACAGAGGTTGTGAGCTCTGGTGCTTTCTCTTCTTTTGTCTTGGCAATTGCTTTTGCCTTTGCTTTTGCTGCTTTGCTTTTCTTCCCCATCACCTTATTGTTATTGAATTCTTAGGGTTATTGACTCCATTTGTTTAAAAAAATGGTGTTTCTTGTTGGGATTATTACTTAAAAAATTAGTAACTTAATTTATATTTTTACTATTAAACAAAAGAGCTTTTCACATGTTGCCAAGAAAAAAATAGACATGTAACAAACAAATTACAAAGAATTAAATAGACAAAGAATTTTGTGAATAAGTCAGAGTTTGAATAACTTGAATGTGTTGTCGTTATCGTAGTTGGGGTGAAGAAGAGAAAAGCATTCATTACAGAGGAAAGCCGGATCTGTTGGTGTGAGTTCATCGCCAACGACTTGGTAGATTGGTTTGTTTGTTTCACAGATTGAACACCTTCGCGTTGCGCGCAGCTTTCTGTAAACGATTGCGGGGTACTTTGAAGTTGTGTCTGCTTGTGTTGGGATGCGTGCGTCAGCAAAGACAAAGTTATGTTCACAGTTATAGAGATGGCCAAAGAGACACGGCCTGTCGATTGTAATATTAATGTCACCAAGCTGCTTGTCGTCAACACATAGAGTCGGTCGTGCTGTCACAGCGTCCGTGTCAAATGTTCTGAAGTTGAGCCACTCGACAACATTTGTTTGGACCTCATCTTCCCAACACTTTTTTGTGAATATCACATTGTTGATATAAAACAGCCAGGGCCCACGTTTCTCAACATCATTCTGACACTCAAAACACTCCCGAAGCTCACTTATCCGATTTGTTGTTAGTACCTCACTCAATGCCTCAACCACGCGCCGCGTCGAATCAAATATTTTCACGGACAACACCCCCTCTTTTGCTTCACAAATTACTTTGTTTGGATTTGTCGAGTCGTAAGAAGTAGTTGGTGACTTGCTAAAGTGAAAAGGTGCTGGTGTCCTTGTGACAAGATATGCCACATCCTTCCTGGCTACAACATCACCGCTTTTGATTATGTCAAGTGTCTTTCCTATCTCAGTCGGTTCTTCATTGAGTTGTGTCGCCAACTTCTGTGGGAAGAGGGTGTCTATTGGCATCTCTGCAATCTTGTCCAAGTCAAACTCTTTAACCATGTTGCACGCTGCATTGACCAGTTCTTCACTTGTTGGTATTTTGAGTTGAGTTGTGTCGAGTGATTGTAGTGTACTCTCATCGACAAGAGTATTGTCTATCTCAGAAAGTTGTTGTACTGCGTCGTTGTAGATCTTTGGAAGCATTCGCGGATAAAATTGTTTGTTCAAAATTGTTGCGTTTTGTGGGGTGTCGCTCATCAACGCGATTTATTGGTTGTGTAGTTTCTATTGTGTCACATTTTTGACAAATTCTTTTTTATTGATAAAATTTATTATATTTATTATTTTTGTTTTAATACCAACTTTATGTTTCCATTAAAATGGTTATAATAATAAACACTTTAACAACACGATTTTAATAAGTAGTAATTATAATAGCCAGTATTGTGTCATACAACACTTCTCATATGGTTGCCAATATTAACTGAAGGTATCGACTTTCTTTCTCCTAAATTTGGTTTTCCAGCCTTAAACAATACCATGTTTCTTTTATTACAAAACACATCTTCGTAAATTGGGAATTGTTTGTAAATAATGTTTAAATGTGTTTTAAATGTTTCACTGATATCCTATTTGTAATTATTAATTATAATAATAACAAAAATACAAACAGGGAACAACTCTTCTCTGTAATTTTCCATAAGTTCGAATGCTTTAATAATAATTTGTGTTTCATCTTTTATCATATCCACACAATCGTCTGGAACTAACACAGATAATCCAATACACACAGCAAGGTTGTACGAAGTCATTTTAGAAGTAGCGTTCTGTGTGATTCGTCCACAGAGACTAAGGATGTGTTTTAACATATTTTGTTTGTGCTGTGGAATTGTGCAAACAATATTTTGTACTTTACAAATCCATTCACTTTCATCTATACTACTTTCTACTTATAAGTAAATTTAATTTTTATAATTTATAATTTGTATTATTGTTTTATTGAAAAGATGTAAAGTATTTTGTAATAACACACTTGTGGCTTCGATGATCAGAGGAACGTTTTTTGATTCCCATAAAGACCCAATTTCAAGTAAATAATTTCTAATGACGCCTGCTATATCGTCTGGTTGAAGACATTGAACATCGAGCGCTCCAATATATTTGACAGTCAAAGGGAATGTTTTATTAACTGGTGATTTTCTGAAAATGCCTTCAATTGGTTGTGGAGTGTAATATAAAGTATACATACATTTCATAATTGCAGGAGGGATTTTTTCGTTTTCTGAAAAAATTTGTGTGTTGTTACTCTCTTTAAAATTGCATTTCAAATAACACATTCTTTCTTCTTTAAGAGAATTGGAAACCTTTTGTATTTTTTGTATGTCTTCTTTTGAAAAGTAATTCAAAAAAGAAGTTATGTTTGTATGGACATCCGAAAACTTAGACAAACACTTTGAAAATGCGATATATGTTGTTATTCGAGTTTTAAAATACAATTGTTGCATTTTTACATCTCCATCTTCTGATAACTCTTCTTCCCAAAGGTCCATTTTAAGTGTGTCTCCTAAAGTACTTAAAGCGTTTTGCTTTTTATTAGTATCATTTATTGTTGTGTATAAACTTGTCATCAATTAAATAAAAAACAAACATAAGAATGACAGATTTTGCACACAGATTCGTTGGTTGTCGAAAATATTTTGAGTTGATGATTAAATGAAGTAGAAGAAAGTGAGCCTTCAGATTTACTTTTCAATTCTTCAACACAACATTGTAATTCTTGCATTTGTAACATTAATGAAAACACGTTAGTCACGATACTCTGTGTTTTTGATATAATTGAATTTGAAATATTTTGAAAGTTGTTTGAATATCTGCATTGTGTAAGTTTGTGTGGGTCTTGGCTCAACATTGAATTGAAATGAATATTAAAAGTGTTAACGTAGTTTGATATTACATTTTTGAAGTTATTAACAAACACACTTTTCTTTTCAATGATTTTTTTGTTTCAATTTATATTTTGAATACATTACATCTCTCTGAAACGACAGTTGAGAATAAAAACGATCGAGTTGGTCAACTTCCAACTTAAATGTATGACTTCAGTCGTCATTCATTTTTTGTTATTTAAAAAGGTATCAAAAACATTTTACAATAACAAAATGTGATATTTTAATTAAATTTTCAGTTCCGATAAAACATTTTTTGTGGCATTATCGTATTTTTATTTTCTGAAACAACATTTTATAATAAACATAATAAAAAATAAGTTATAAACATTTTTTATAAATAAAAAAGCCGATATAAACCAAACAAAGTGGTTTCATAATTTGTTTTTGTTTAGAGTTGTTGAAACAACAAAACAGCCCGTATTTTTATATGTATTCGATGCGTTTTTAAACCCAAAAATTTATAATCAAAATAACTCAACATATTTTGATTGGTCATATTGATATTAAATTTAGACTTTTTCTTTATTAAAAACAATTTCCATTTATTACCAAAAGATGCCTTTTTGTCAATTATGAATAATTATTTGGATTTTTAACTACTAGAAAATTTTGCCATTTTTTTTTTTTTTGATTTAAATATGAATATATAATAATAAATCGAGGCAAGAAGAGATAATCTAAGATATTTTTTTGTATCAATGGTATATCGTCATATTAAAATAACAAACACATTAAACTATCCAATGTTCTTCATTTTTTCAATGATGCATTGAGTATTTATAATACTGGTTAACTATAAAGAAATTTGTCCATAATAACAACTGTACATACGCAAAAAACAATGATTGGCAAAAATTCTGTCGAAAAAATAAGAACCCCCTTTTTAGCAGACATTCAATTTTCTAGGGACAAATATTTTTAAATAACTGAAGGACGTTTTGAGTATGAGAAATATAGAACTCAAAAGACAGCATGACATCCGTGTTACGAGAAGCAGTTTCCAAAGAGAAACGACGTTATCAACAGTTTGGGTTTGACCTTGACTTGAGTTATATTACTCCACGAATTATAGCTATGGGCTTTCCTTCAGAAAGGTTTGAGGCTGCTTATAGAAACCCATTGGTTGACGTACTTCAGTTCTTTGAAACATTCCACAAGGGACACTATAAAGTCTACAACTTTTGTAGAGAAAAGCCGTATGATGGAGAGTCTAAAATTAAAGGAGAGTACGAATACTTCCCTTTTGATGATCATAACGCTCCCGAGTTTAGAATCATTCCACAACTCTGTAAAGATGTTGATGAGTATCTGAAGGCCGATCCTAAAAATGTCATTGCCCTTCACTGCAAAGCTGGTAAAGGCCGGACTGGATTAATGTCTGCCGCCTTTCTTGTGTATATGCTTGACGCTTTGAATGCACACGAAGCTATTGATTTCTATGGCACTGCCAGAACTTTCAATAAGAAGGGTGTTACTATTCCATCACAACTGAAGTATATAAACTACTGGAGCGCTTCACTTAAACACAAATTCACTGTTGGAGACAGAACTGTCAAGATGACCAAGATCGAGATGGTCCCAACTCCAAAAATCTCTGATGAAATCATTGTGAAGGTGTCTACATTCACTGAATTTGTTTGTGAAAAGTCTCTGACTAATGGTAGGAAACTATCTTTCAAACCACTGAAGGATAACAAAGTCAAGATGAAAGAAGATGAGGCGATGAAACTGTATGACCAAGTCTATGCTGAACTTAAAGCAGAGAATCAAAACGTGACAACACGAGAAGTCATGTGTGCCTGGGATTGGAAAATGAGGTCTCTTATTGGCGATGAAAGATTTGGAAGCGATGGAAGCACTTTCCCAATTGATCCAGTCACTTTACATGGGGACATCAAGCTTGAGTTTACAACATCGAAGGGTGGAATATTCAATATATGGTTTAACACTTGGTTCATCCACGACAACCATCTTGAATTCTCAAAGATGGAGTTAGACAAGGGATTCAAAGACGCCAAACAACTTGCACCAAATTTCAAAGTCATTTTGCACTTCGAAGACGTTTCTACTGCACCAGCTTTGGAACAAGAGTTGCCGTATTGCCAAGTTGGCGTAAGAACTGATATACCAATTGACTTGACTGATGAGACACAAATCCCTCAAACTCCACAAACAATCCCAACAGACCCGACTGCAGATGCTCCAAAGGCACTTCTTGAAGAAACGGAAAGTAAGGAAAATGCGGCAAGAAAGGTTGCTCCTGTGTGGTATCCCATATACCACACTTCACTTAACTTTAAGAACTTCAATCGAATTGTCGAGTATAAAATACAATACCCAACACAACGTGAATTTTTTAATATCAACCCAGAGATGAGTGTGGTGAAAGAAACCCCAAGAGAGCCTTTAGAAGTAGCAAGAAGTGTGTTATACTCCATCATCCAATTATACTTGCGTTCTGGATTTTATGGGAGGGTGTTGGATTACCATATCGAGTTGATCATGTTGGACAACTTGGAAAGTGTTAAGGTGTTTGAACAACAAGCTTCTGAACTCTCTGTCATTGATTTGGAAAAATTGAAGCCTGCAGAAGTTGAACCATTTTGGTTAAATATTTACCACACAATGTTACTCCATGGGTTATTGTATTGGAAACATAGACCGTGCATAGAATTCAAAGACATGATGAGCAATTTTAAGAAGTTTGCATATAAGATTGGAGGGTTCTCATACAGTTTACATGAAATTTTAATGGGGTGTTTGAGAGCGCCATGGCCTAAAGACTCATCCATTGACAAAGTGATTACTTTCAGTAATGAGAAGTCGAAGTACGTATTGAAAGAAACGGACAAGAACCTTGGGTGTTTACTTTCGTTTGGGACAACTACATCCCCAGGAATTTGGTTGTATTCTGTTGAAGATTTTGCACAACAAAAGGAGATAGCAATAAACACCTATTTGAACAGACAAGGCGCTGCACTTGGAGCAAAGAAACAGTTTTATTTGATGAGCAACATGAAAATGTTTGCCAAAGATTATGGAGGAGAAAGTGCGATGAAGAAGGAACTTTTGCAACGACATGGATTAACTGAAAAGGACGCGAAAAAGTGGGAATTGAAATACCAAAGCGAAGACACTGAAAACAGAGTAATTCTCGACCATTTGATTGCTCAAAACATTGTAGTCACACATAATCCGGTGAATTTCTTTGCTCAAAGAAACCTTTTTGTCTACGAAAAACCAACGGTGAAAGACCCTAAAGCGTAGACTATTCTAACTAGTTATTCCTTGTTATTATTTTACACTCTAAACACATAACTACATGTTACAATACACTGAATAAACACTGCAGAAATCAATTACAATACCTCTTCACTTGGAGTCGCTAGTGTTGTCTCCTTTGGAAACCCCGAGTGGAGAAGGCGGTTTTCCAATTGATGTCGATGAAGAACGGGCTGTAGTCACTTTCACTTTGGTCTGCTTCGATTTCTTCTCCGGGTCTCGAGAACACAGTCTCAACGTCGCGTCCAACGCGGCTTTATCGGAGCAATCAGTGTGGCAACAAGCGGGGCAGTCTATATGTGAGTATGTATAACCCAATACACGCGAGAAAGAACAAACATGAGCAGTAAAGGCCATTGTGGACAATTTTACCACATACAATACAATTTCTGCCAATAGAGTCAGTTGATAGGTTGTATCGGTGATTATAATACTCGGTTGGTAATGACCTGAGAGTACACCCTTCTGCAAAAAAGAAGTAATACACTTTACTCAAGTTGGGTTGGGGTATTTCAAGAACAGCACCGCCAACCATATCCACTTGTGAATGTGTACAAACAAAGTCCGTTACAGCAAGACTCTTGGTGTTGATTGCTTTGATACACCCATCACCAGTACCTATCCACATGTCATCTGCTATGGACGTAAGCGAATTGGGCTTGACTAAATTGAACGTTTTGACTTCCTTCCCATGTAAATTAAAAACAGTGTTCTTGTCCTGTGAAACCGCCCATAAACTATCGCCAACAGCTTCCATTGCGCCGAAGGAGACTGAAGGCAACTCAGAGATTTGCTTAAAGACGCTTTTAGAGGTGGGTGGGTAACTAGTTCTTAACGCACCAAAGACCGTCCCAACACAGAAGTACTTTCCACAGATGCACCCACTTTGTATCAGCGATCCTTTGATCGGGAGTTTTAACTTGAACATTTTGGGTTTGAGTTTTTTAGCCAATTCAAATGTTGCAAGAGATTCTTCAGACAAGACCCACACCGTATTCTTCCCCGGTTTACTTCCAATAGCAACAACTCGCTTAGTTAATGTCAAGTCGGTTTCGAGTCGATTGGATACTCTTTCTTCATATACATTGACTAACCCATCTTCACCACCACATATCACATGCGTTCCATTGACGTGAACAGTAGTAATTCTAAATTCGACGGGTGTGCTCTCTGTTTCCTTTTTCAAGAAGGACGGAGAGTATGACGATATAGTGCTCTTCCCCCCCTCCGTCTTTTTGACAACCCAAATATTGCCATTCACTAAAAAGACGTGTGACACCGTGTTCGAGACGTTACACACCATTTCTTTCGACTCTATTTTGTCATCCTCTGCTTTGATCTCCTTCTCAAGAGATTCAACCGCCTTAAATGCTTCTCCAGTGTTCGAAGAAGCATCTCCTTTCGAACTCACACCAGGAGAAGGCATGGCAGCTTTGTCGAAATGTGGTGTTGGGAAATTAACGCCGGTATATACCGAGGCTGTTCTGTTCTTTCTTCCACTAATGGTTGCTCTTAAACTTGGAGCGTAGTTTTCGTCAACTATTTTTATAGGCGCCTTTTTCTTGAATTGGTCTTCGAAGAGAAGGACCTCTTCAAGAATCTTGTCGTAGACTTTTAAATTTGTGGGCACTTTTGATCTGATGGCTTCACTCTGTACGGACTTGATGACGTAAAGATTGTTGATTGCAACGTCTGTTGTTAACCCGGCACTTAACAACACAGCACCCAAAACACTCTTACATTTGGTAGAAACACAGTTGAACATGGTCCGGTGGAAAACTTGGTCTTTCATCATTTCTTCAACTGAATCCAATAAATCTAAAATGTCAGTTGGACATTCCATAAGTGAAATCGACTTATCAAGTTCCTCTGCGGCTGATTTAAGCTTAAGAGAGGCTTCAGTGCTCTCTGCTTTGAATGACAAAGTTGGCATATTTGAACCCTTTTTCTTCAAGGTTTCATTGTCCCTTTTCAGTTTGGCCTTTTCATCTTCAAGTTCGGAGTTTTTCTTCATTAATTCGTCGATGCTCTTCTTCATCTCGCCCATGTTTTTAATGTTCTCTTTGTTACTGTCACGCTCTTGTTTGAGAAGAACAATATCTTGACCAAGTGACATGATTTTGTTCTCCAAAAGCGAGCGTTGGAGCCGTAAGTCATCCTTTTCGGAATCAACATTCTTCACTAAAATGGCATCCGTCACTTTAGAGCCATCTAAAAGTACACGAAAAGTCATTTCAAGTTCGGACGGACCGGCACCAACTCCACTATTCACTTGAGACTGAACGGCGTGGAGTTGTTTTATGGTGTCTGCGTGGGCTTTTCGTTCATCTTCAATTTGAGTCACCAAGTTCTCTCGCTCTTCTTTCATTTTGACTACTTCTGCTATCACTTTCTTCAACGCGTCGGTACTTCGCAAAGCTTGGTCTTTACGCGTTTCACTCATCTTTTTGGCTTCAGTCAACTCTGCGTTCAGTTTTGTGATTTTGCGCTCAAGCTCTTCTTTCTGGAAAATCGTTGTCCGCTTTAATTCGGAATATTCCTTAATAATCTCTTCAAGCATTTCTTTGGCTCCTCCGCTCGATCCTTCTGAATCAGTACCCGTGGAGTCGTCGTCTCCTTCACTTGACTTTGTAGAACCCTTTGACGAACTTTTTGAAGAGTGTGATGATTGGTCACTCTCGGAATACTTCCCACTGTAATCGTCAGAAGATCCTGGGCTCTCACTTTTTTTGGATTCTTTATCTGCGTCGCCGGTCTTATCGCTCATAACGGCGGTGTTGTTTTTATTCAAGTTCTTTTTGGTTTTTCTTTTTTGGCATTTCCCGGTTTATTAGATAAACCACACCGTTTTTACTCAGATAACCAAATCGGTTTTTGGTTTTATCTAACCATAAAAAACCCATTTCTTTCCGATTTTTATGTTTGAAAAAATCGACTATTTTTGTAATGAAACTAAAAAATGTAGAGTTTTTGGAAAAAGTATCTATATTTTGAAATTTATGTCAAACCAATACATTACTTTATTACACCACCTGGGCCCAAATACTCAAAGATTGGAAAAACACATAAGTTACTACAATTATTCGATGTCAGAGTATGCAAGAGAATTCCAAATTCTGTCTGCATTTACTTTAAGAAAATTCGGCAAGACGCAACACTTTAAGGAAGTAATTTTTGTCAGCGTGCTTAGTGTGTGGCTTGTAAGAAGGGTACATCTTGCCAAATTGATTCCTTGCAACTTTGTACAGTTGTTGATGATCTTTTGAAGCCCAATATCAGAGAGTGAAGTGTTGAAAGACAAATTTAGTGTAATAATCCCTTTGATTGCTGCAATCCCGTCAAGCATTTCGTCTGTTAGTTTGAGGTAAGTTACATCCAACGACTTAAGCGTCTGAAGTTTTGAGACCATGGAAGTTTTGACCTCAGTGTATCCAATTGACAACCTTTTTAGTTTAGGCATTTCGGGGAGCCGTGACACGGAACTTCCAAACAAGTCCAGTGATGTGAGCTTCTCCAGAAAGTTGTACGTCTCAATACAGTTGAAGTCAAGCGCTCTGTTAAATGTCAAATTAAGTTTTTCGAGAGGTGGGAAAGTGGAAAGACATTTTCCATGAAGAAGTGGGCAATCAGAAATTGTCATTTCAATGATGTTCGCGTTTTGCAAAGTTCCTTGCAAGGCGTTGTCTGTCAGTTCTTCGTTATCGTTGATGCTCAGATGTTTCAGTTGAACAAAGCGAGTGAATTGTGAAAATGTATTTTTGTTGACCAATGGTGTGTTGGTGAGTTCAAGTCGTTTGAGATAGGGTGTAATGTGTTTTACCTTTTTGAATGCCAGGAATGGAATCGACGACAGCTTCAGTTCTCTGAGTGTCGGGTTGACACATATAAAGCCGTCGTCTTGAAGTGCTGGGAAGTCGTAAAGAGAAAGTCTTTTCAACGACTGCATGTTGTTTACATTCAAATAAGTGCTGTTCGAAAAGTACAGTTCGAGAGTTGTCACCAAATTTAAATTCATCTTTCCAAGCAAGTCGCATGACTTCTGTGTAATGTGCCTTATAGATATATTTTTCAGCCACAGCGTCGTGTCTAAAGAAGTAATCAATGAAACAGAGATTTCATTAATGGTCACATCAAACATGAAAGGGAATATCTTCCCAATTGAATTCTTGGTGAATAGGGTGTGTTTCAATGGGAAGAAAAACAGAATTTCTTTCCACCTTTTACAAACGAGTCTGCACGACAGCAAATTTTCGAAGTCAAGCCTTTTGAATATTTCTGTCAAATGCATATGTGCAATTGGCAACGTTTGTGAGTTTATTATCGCCATTTCGTTTGGTTCGTCACCAATATTCAGCTCCCTTCTGTTTGTTCGTTCCACTGCTTCAATCTTATCATTTTTAAAAAATTAAAATTAAAATCTTAGTTGAACAAATCGTTTTTCTTTAACATCAACGTGGATATACTATTTTTATAATGAATAAAACCATACATAATAGTATATTTTATTTCTTTAATTCATGTTTTAAAAAAGAGAAAAGAAAAAGTGATTGTTATTCACAACAATTTAAATGGTTAATTGTGTATAATTTCATTATGTGATAAAGTATTGCTCAGAGATCTTCACCTTGTAACATTGTATTCACAAAATTATTATTTTGAACCATATGTGTAAAATTTGCGGCAGTTGAAAAAAATAACAAATTTTTTAAAGTAAGTATAGTTTCAGATAGCATTATCCTTGATATTTTTTACTTGTTTTTTAACTGTACTAGATTTAAGTAACGAATTAACTATACCAACATTTGCAAGTTTTTTTATAGAAATTATTTTAAATAGTAACATTATAATTTTTATAAATTAGAATATATTCGTTTATATTTAGTAATTATCCCGAAAATATTCAGATTAATAGTTTAAAGTTTTAGTTTAAAAAAAATCATATATTTTTATTTATAAGAACAGTTTTTATGTACGGAACATGTATAATATATTAATAGTATATCATAGTTTTGAATAGAACAAACAAAAAAAAGTTGACAAAACGAAGAAATAATGTGGTGGAATTCAAAAATTCAGAAAATGAGAGAGAATCTCGGCAGAACGGGAACACACTTAAAAGGGAAACTCGAAAGGATAGACAGACACATAAATGTCCTCACGTCGACGAAGTTGCGAAATGGACGTCCCCCTTCCCGTCAAACTCTTTTGCTACGATTCATCACAATCGTCATCATGTTCTTCCTCCATTATCTCACCGGCTGACTTTGCGGTGCCGCCAAGAAACACGAACCCCATATTGAACGATCCACAGTTTGCACAATACTTACGCTCCCCGACAGACCCGAGGTCTCAGAAGGTCGATGAGTGTCAGTTCGAATGTTTCCAGGGCGCCACTTTACTTTTGTTTTAATCTCTTTGTAATTGGAATTGTTTGTATTTTGACTTTCTCAACGTCATCACAAACATTGTCAAACAAAAATCACGTATTTTATATTTGTTGTTATTTTTTTTCAATTTTGTTAAATTGAAAAAATTTACAATTCAAATTTTTGTGACAAACAAAAAAAGTAAAAATATGTGACGATTTGATAAAAAATGTAATTTGATAAAAATGTTTTTCAGTGTTTAAAACAAATGCTAAATTTATGTAATTTTTACTATAAAAAACAAGTTAATTAGTACAGTTGTAACTGGAAAAAAGAAAAAAGAGAAAAAAGTGAATCAGGGTTTCTGAATTTCACGAAAAGAGAAAAAAACAGTAAAACCCGCGATTTTGGGGGAACGAGAGCATATAAAAAGGGAAACAAACTCAAAACAACAAATCGTGATTTAATCATGGCAACAGAAACAGGCAGTGGAAGAGGAAAAGGAGGAAAGGGAGTCGTTCTTGGAAAGGGCTCAAAAGGTGCTAAAGCCTCGAAGGGAGGAAAGAGAATTCGATCGAAGCCAGGACAACAAGACGCACTCAAGGGAATCACCAAACCAGCTATCAGAAGACTTGCTCGTAGAGGTGGTGTCAAGAGAATCAACGGACTTGTCTATGAGGAAACTAGAAACGTGTTGAAGCAATTTTTGGAACAAGTCATTAGAGACTCTGTCACTTACACAGAGCATGGGAAGAGAAGAACAGTGACTGCAATGGACGTTGTCTATGCCCTTAAACGACAGGGCAGAACTCTTTATGGCTATGCATGATAATTTTGTTTCTTTTTGGGTATTTTATTATTTGTTTATGTTGTAAATACATGAAATGCTTCAATACTTTGATTTTACAATACCTTTTATTTATTAAAAGTTTTAAAACAAATACTTTTTTAAATGGAAAAAATAGTAAAATATCAATTTTTTGTTTTTTATTTTGACGTTTCATCTCATTATAATAATTGCATTAATATTATTATCAAACATAATAATTTAAATGTAAGGAATTCACTTCCAATAAACTCTGTGTTAATGTCTGTAACTAATAAATATAATCAACAACACTTTTTATGTTTATTTCGAGTTTCAAATTATTGAATGAAGTACTGTATAATATTTTGAAAACATTCAATTTTTATTAATGTGTATAACTATAAACAAATCATTAAATTCAAGTAGTGATTTTCTAATAAAAAAAATAAAATAACATTTAAACAATTCACATTAACTAATGAAAATGACAACAGTACAATACATCTTTATATGTTTATGTTTAATAAGCATCATTTATTATTCACTTTAAATAACATGTAATTATTATCCATTTTTTTGTTTCTAAGTCTATTATGATATGACAATCAAATATTATTGAATTATAAATAATTATTAACAAAATTGTTTACACCTGTGTAAGTTTGTTAATGGAGTTTATTCAAAAATGGAAAGTATTGTTTGAAAGACAAAAATGTCATATCATTACATTTACATAATTATTATTGTTGGTATGTTTATGATATTTAATATGATTTACAAAATAATTATACTATGTATGTAAAATATATTATTTCATTCGGCACAAAAAAATATAGAACTATTTTGTGCAATATTTTCATACTTTCAAATTTTGATTAAAAATGTGACAACTCATCCATATATTTTATTCTTTTTGTGTATTAATTTAACAACAATATTTAATAATACACTTATAAACAAAGCAAGTTGTTTTCATAAAAATTGAAATTTCAATAACAATTGATCATTTTTTTATTTCATTAAAATTATGACAGCCAAAAAATAAAACATTGAAAAACTGTGGAAAAGTTTTTGAAATAAACGAAAAAATAAAAAACATTATTTAGTAACTTTGCAAAAAGTGTATGAAAAATTTTTAAAAATAAACAATTATTTTTATGTTTCAATTAGAAGAACAAATATAACAATCAATCAAATTATTATAACCGTTTTTAAACTTTGTTAAACATCAATTTACTTTTTTGATCATTTTATTATCATTAAAGTTGTTCTTTTATATTGATATCCTAATCTGCATTTAAATACAACTTATAATTTTATTATAATACATTGAATGACATTGGTATAAAAAAATGATACAAATTTTTGATGCGTTTTTCAAACCATTTCATTGATAAATTCGAGTTGATAATATTTGGTAAATTTATGTTAATTTTATTAATGTTGACAAGTTATAAAAATGATTTCATAATCATTAAAGATCTCTCAAAAGACAATTCAACACCCCCATTAACACAATAATTATTTCATTATTTTCAAATATAAATAATAATTTATTTGAAAACTTTTCTGAACAAAGCACTTAACCAATTTAGATTAAAATTTGATTTAAAATATGTTGTTATATATTAATTACATTATACAACATTTATTTTTTTATTCAATAATAATAAATCATATAAAACAATAATTATTTTTAAATTGTTATTACATTTCATTTTTAGAATTTTCATTTGATTTTAATAATCAAAATTTGCATTTCTATTTATCTTTCAACTATTAATTGAAATATTTTTATTCCCCGGAAATACACACAAAAATACTTGTAATTTACAACAAATTATCAAAATTAAAAGGACGTTGAAGAAGTGAAGGGAATAACTGTGTATATTTTCTTGATTTCCCGATAATAAGGAAATTGCATCACAGTTACTATCTGAGAAACTTTTAACAATTTGGAATACCGACATCATTTTCCTTGACAAAACAAAAACGAAGAATTAATCAACGATTTGCCTAATCTTTATTAAAAATCAAATGATTAAAAAATTCATTTTTATTATCCACAGCAAAACAACAAAAACAAAAAAGCTTTGCTAAACATTCTCCAAAAATATTCAAATGCCTTGTTTATTAAACCTACAAATCTACTTTTACATAATTTATATGTTTATCATCTTGTCACTTCTGATTCTTAACTTCGCTCGATCCGAACAAATAAAAAGTGACCCTTTGTGCTCTCCTGGATGCTCGTCAAATTGTATGGCTGACTACACATGCACTAAAGATTGCACTGAAAATTATGACAACGACGGTGCGTGCACCACTTGTAAAGTCCCACAGAAAGGGGAAAATAATTTAACAGTGTTTATTAAGCAAGACGACGTCTGTTACAAGTTTACAAATAAAGAAACTAGCCAAGTTGGAAACAGTTGGCTTCCACAAGAAGACGATATTACTGAACTTAACCTGGACTCTCCAATAACTTTTAAAATCGACGGGAAGTGCTACTTCGACTTTTCATTTTGCTATTACCCACAGAAGTATAGACTTGGGAGGTGGTTCAAAATCAATATGACGCAATTTACTATGGACCACTTTAACGTGTTTCTGACTAAACCAAGGAATGATCCAGTCGCATTCTATTTTGATGGGACGCACTCCCAGAGAGATATGAAAAGTGCAAAGTGTTTAGTACATTCGTCCCTTCCAGAAACTATGTTTGAGAATGTCCTCAAGTTTCCCGTTTTTTCTCCTTACAAAGGAGTTGTTGGAAGGGAAAACGATTCATACTTTGACTACTTTTTTGTGAGCATTGATGGGACCAAAGAAGTGATAGTGGAAATGGAAATTAAAGAGGAACAAGGCAAACAATTGGTGCCAAAAATAACGATTGAACAGGCTGATGCTGATAGACTGATTACTAATCTTTCAGAGGTAATGGAAATACATATCAACTTCGAATCTGAAAATTTCTTTGCATATCCCGTTTGTTGTTTTTCTAATTATTAACAAGTCGTGTTGACTGTTAGGCGTGTATGCCAGGTATATTCATGAAAATCTATGTGTTCCACATTAAATACATTGGTAACTATTACTTATTGTTTGATTCCCGAGAGAACAATCGAGTCAATTTGATGTCTGAGTACGTCACAGTGACTGAAAAGAATGGATCAAAGCACAATGACTGTGTGTTCCTATGGGAAGGGAAAATATTCAGTGAATATAATGAAGGCGTTGACAAGGAAGGGTTTTTAGTTCGGATCAATGGCACCGTCGACAGAGAAAGACAATTTTTAATAGCGACTGAAGATAGAAGAGGCAACTTTACCGTTAAAGTTCGAGGGATATGTCCTGAGAACTGCAATATGGATAAGGGGTGGGGTCTTTGTAGCAGTTATAATGCTTCTTGTATGTGTAATGATGCGTATGGAGGGGATAATTGTCATGAAAAATGTTATTACAAAAACAAATGGACTGTTACTGAATATTCCAATTTGTGCTATTTTGGCGTTGTCAATTGTGACCAATATTGTAAATGCACTTCTGGAAGTACATTTAAAGATCATTTGTGTTATTCAACAGAATGTTTGAATGGCCAATTAGGGCCTTTGGATGAGTGTCACCGTGGGACTGAAGGGTGTTATGACAACTGTGGATGTATGAATAATATAGGATTCTTCCCTAACGAAAAACATGAGTGCATTCATGAAATGTGTGGAAATGACGAGATTGATGAATACTTTGATGCAGATGGAACTTTAATACGGAAAGAAGAATGTGACGGTGGTCCCAATTGTCTTGAAAATTGTCGATGTGAGGAAGGATATGTTCCTGATAAAGAAAGCGAACTTGGGTGTGTTAAAAAGCAGTTAGGAGGAGGAGCCATTGCCGGGATAGTTATAGGTGGTGTTGTTTTCTTTGTTATTCTTGTTATTATACTTGTCATCATCATTGTGTTTGGTCTTGAATACAAAAAGCAAGACATCAACCGATTCAAAACACAACAACCACGGTACCACTACTACATTAGTGGTTCAATGAACCTTCCTGGAGGCAAAGGAGAGAAGTACGAAATCACTCCAACCACTTTAAATTTTGGAAATGAGACGGAGGCAACTAACATATTTGAAACAAGATTTGAACGAATGGAAGTGAAAAACAATAGTAGAAATAAGTATATGATGGTCATTTTTCACACCCCATTTACTCCAAAGTACACATTCTACTTTGACCCACAAGTCGCTATTCTAAAACCAAGAACACTCGCTAAGGAAGTCACAACGTATATGACACTGCAATGCTCGTGCAAGATACGAGGAATGAAAATACCATACACCGTCTGGTTCTCGAAGAAAATTACTGTTTTGCGAGAAATTGAGGCGGTTTTGAAAGATAAAACTTTTGAGGAATGGATGCCAAGTGACCAAGTCAAAATTGAAAATTTGTGCAAACATGTGGATTGTAGAATGCATGGGAGTATCATCATAGCGACAGACTCGATGAGTTCCACACATATTGATATGGACGAATTAAATATGTCCGAAACCCCCATTGCGGAAGGTGCTATGGGTAAAGTCTTTGTTGGGAACTACCGAAGTGTTCCCGTCGCGGTGAAGCAATTTCGATGGGAGAATCTTGATGATCAAGAATTTCAGGAGCTTAAACATGAAGTAACACAAGAATGTGACATGATGAGTAAATTGCGGAATCCATTCATTGCGAATTACATTGGTTCAGTGACTTATATTCCTCAAATTTCAATGGTTATCCAATTCTTTGTGTTGGGGTCGTTGGGAGAGTATTTGAGAGAGGAGAACGACGATTTCATTCGACTTCCGTACCGACTTAAAGTACGTATGTTGTATGATACAGCTAAAGGAATGCAATTTCTTCACGAGAATCGAATTATGCATTTGGATTTGAAACCAGATAATTTATTAGTTAATTCATTGGATACAGAGTCTGCTTGCACTATTAAAATCACAGACTTTGGTACTTCTCGATTTACTAAAAAGAAATTAAAAAACAACGACGCGGAGTATAAGGGGTTGGGTACACCGATTTATGCGGCACCAGAAACATTTGTCGATGTGTACACATTCGCAGGTGATGTGTATTCATTCGGAATAACAGCTTGGGAAGTCTTTTACCAAGAAGAACCTTATAAAACATTCAAATCAATTTTCGACATCAAGAAGTTTGTGGAAAATGGAGAGAGACTTTCACTTGATCGAGGAATACCACAGGAATACGCCGAAGTCATCGCAGAATGCTGGAGACAAAACTATAGCGATAGACCAGACTTCGACAAAATCACGCGAAGTCTTGTAAACGTCGAAACAAAATCGCATGGATTTTTCGATTTTGATAGTCAAGTCGATGAAGAAAGAATAGCAGAAGTTATTGGAAATAAAACAGAAAGGTTGAAAAGGTTCTTGGCAGAGTGAAGTTTACTAGATTTTATTAAATATATTTACCATTTTGTAACACTTCATTTCTTTTGAAAATTGTAATTTTTCAATAATACAAAAATAAATATAAACTGCATATAATATAATATAATATAATATAATATAATATAATATAATATAATATAATATAATATAATATAATATAATATAATATAATATAATATTATATAATATAATATAATATAATATATATTATTAATATATGTTATTAATTACTAATAAGTCTTTGCCAAAATATTACAAACTTGAAAATTTGCCAAATAATTACATACCTCAATATCATTTACTATTTCTTTTAATTATTTTAAATTATTTGAAAACTATTTTACTATCAGAAAAATAACCATACATTATAATAATTATAATTATCAAAAATACTAAATCAACTTAACACACAAAAAACAACACTTAACATGGTAAAAAAGAAGAAATAATTGTCATCATATCAAAATTCATCAATATAAAAAGTTTCATTCAACTACTTTTTGTTGATAATTACATTTAAACAACATTATATACAATTGATTATTTTAAACTGTCGTTTTATCTTTTTTATATTACAACACACAATTATTTACGACTATATTTCAATAACACCACATCACAAACTTAAACAATTAAGTAGTCACCTATTGATTATCAATTATCAATAATTTAATAACAATAGTTAGTATAAAAGATATCACTGTTGATCACAATAATTTCATTTAAAAACAGTACAATTAATAAAACGTAATATCTATTTAATGTGTAAACTTGTAACATCGAATTAGAACTTAAAATGATGACACCAAGATTTAAACAATATTACCATTTACAACATTTTAAATACTGAATTTTGGTTCAAAACACGCGTACATAAGATATAATAACATTTTTATTCGTCTAAAAGTTTAACACCATTATTTTTGTTAAAAACATAACATAAAAAACTTTAATAAAACTTTTTTATGGTTTTTAAGAACAAGAGTTGAATTGTAACTTGTTAACTTCATAAGAAAACAATGTTTTCAATTATTCACATAACAAAGTTATCAACACGATAAAACGTTCAAATTAATTAATAATTATTAATAACAGATAAAAATATTGTTAATACAAAAGTAATTGTTAAATTTAATTTCCCATTGAATGATGACTGTTAATGACATTATTATTCTCAAATATTGATTATTATTTTGTGTAATTTGTTTGACATTTTGTTAATACAAATAAAATCAAATATAAACAATTGTTTAATAGTGTAACTAAGTTGATTTTCACAATTATTATCCAAAAGCTATTTGTTGATAACCACTTATAAGCTAGATATTATATACAATTGTTTTTTTAACTATAGTTTTATTGTGTTTCAAATTACAACACATAATAGTAAACACAAGTGTTTCTATAACACCACAACTATTATGATAGAGTTAAATAAAATCATTTATTAAATATTATTATTCAATAATTAAATAACAACAGTTAGTGTATAATGTTTCATAGTTAATCACAATGTTTTTATTAAAAACAGCCTATAAAATTAAAAGTGGTATCTTTTAAGTAAGTAAACATGTAAAATCAAATTAAACTTTAAATGATAACACTAAGACTAAGACAACAATTTACAAAAATTTTATGTTATGACTTAAGGCTCACATGTACATGCACATAAGATATTAAAATTGATTGTTTTAAAAGTCCAAGGTTTAAACACAACATCTGTTGTAAATATAAAGATGTTAACAATAAAATTATGAAAAGTTGTTTTGATTGACAACAATCAATTAAACAATAATTTATCAAATAATAAAGTTACAAAACAACTTACAATGTAAATCATCAAATACTCAAACAAACAAACAAAGTCATAAAAGTGGTTTAATAAAAAATAACATATTTCAATTTCAATAATTCGATATAAGTGATTTTATGTTTTTTATTCATCATAAATTGTTCATTTTCTTGTTTCGGCATTTTAAAAAAATGGTAAAGACTTTTTTAAAAAATTTTTTGTTAATTCCCATAAAGTCGCCACAATTGTAAAAAAATATCAAATAATATATTATTTTATTATGTTTAAATTAAAATATATTTTTCTATACAGATAAGGGAATCGATATATCTAAATTAAGTTAACTAAAAAATATAATTTTTTCACTACAATTATAATTTGGCAAATTTTTACCTTTATCAAAATTCGCCAAACATTTAAGTTTGTAAAATTTTGGCAAAGATTTATAATTGTTTTTTAATTAATTCATATTGATTAATTATTATAGTAAAAAGTTGGTAATAATAATTATTATAAATGTTTAAAAAAAATTAATAATTACAATTATTTAAAAAAACCAAAACATATGTTTTGTTAAATTGTTGAGAATAGGATTGAAAATGATTTTTCAACACTTTCTATGATAATTTAACAGCACAACAAATGACGATTTGGTTTAAAAACGGGAATTGGGCCAATAAAAAATGAAACAGTAATGAGCATAAAACCATATCTCATGAAAAACTGTTTTTGTGGTAATTTTTACTAATTACCACAAATTTTATTAATTTCTATCAATAAAAATTGACTTTAGCTTTGAATAGATATTAAGGTTGAAACTTTGTTTAACAAAAAACGTTATGAAACAACACACCCTCATTGACCAAAGAAATGTTGTCATTATCGGAAACCCATTAAGCAAGAAAGTTTGTTACTTTGTTTTTGAACATGTTTTGATGTCAAGAAATCGTTAGTCACGTGGTTTATAAAAGAAGTGCTCGTAAATGAAGAAAACCCCAATGAACGCACCGAACTTTATGTCAAGGTTTGTGTCTAAGTAATCAAAGTATTTATTCAAATCATAGACAATCAAAAACGAAAAAAACGATTTTAATATGTTTGTGTGGGATGTTGGTTTGTTTGAACTGACTTTCAAAGTTCATTAAAATGATTGACACCAAGAAAGTAGACAAACTGTTCAAAGCATGTACGTCAAAACTGCGAATGTTGTTGTGGTTGTTTATAATACATGTGATAACAATTGTTTAAAAAGCATTAAAGAGAACATAAAAATGATCAACGAGTGTGCCAATGACAAACAACCATTTTATTTGTATTTTGTCGATAACAACATCGAAGAATCAGAAAACGAGAAAAACAGGAATGACATCGACCATTTCTTGTCGAATCTTGTTTTACACCCATTTGTTATCAATCGTGGTATTTTCCAATGTGATACAAGTGATGGGAGTGGTATTCCCGATTTGTTTTCTGATATTATTAGTAAATCGTATGATGATTTGGACCTTTACTACAACGACATTAACCGGACCGCAAGTCTCCTTCAGAAATTATTATACGAGACATCTAATTATGATAAATCCGTTTCACAACACGTTTCACTGCGATTGAAGTCCAAAGAAAGTTCGAAAAAACAAAAGAAACGACTTGAATGTGAATTGGACCAACTTGAAGAATGTTGTGTATTCCGTTCAAACGTAATTATGGAGATGTGCGAACAAACAATCAACGCTCTTTCAACAACAATAAACGCAGTCAATGGGATCCGCGCAGAGTTTTCAAGAAGAGTTGTTGAGTCGTCGAAGACTTATAATAAAATCATAGACAATATCACAGCTGTTGATTCGCTCGTCACATCTATCAACATCGACAAAGGTATCGACCTGAACTCTGAAAATGAAAGATTTAAAGTGAAAAAGAGTCTCAATGAGAAAATGAAGATCAACACAGACATCATTGACAAATATCAAGTAGTCAAAGAACACAACATTTCTGATGTACTTAGCCCACTTTATGTGGAGCGCCTTAACTTGTTGTGCAACACTTCTATAAAAAGTGTTTTGTTTGACTCAAAAATTGAAACGTTTTTAGACAACTATCAATTTATGGAGGTTGTTAAAAAAAACGATAAAGTTTGTGTTCTTCTTAAAGATGAGTCAGGTAATGTCAATGGGGTTTTCTTCCAAAATAAGACAAAAAAGGATAACGAATTGTTCTTCAACAACACCACTCTCTTTTCCTTGAGCGATTTTGTGAAGTACAACAACACGGCCTGTGATTTCAATTTTAATGGAATCAAAATTGATCCAAAGAAGAGAATTTTTCATTTTTCGACTAATTACACCACTTGTGTTGAGTTGACAGGCGACCATTTTTATTGTTACAATCCCTTTAACATATCACAGAAAATAATACCTTTTCTACAAACTGGGAAAATGCAACGGGTAATCATTCTATTGATGTATTAAGTTCAAATGGGTTTATGTTGTTTATAGTGTTTATAATGTTTTTAACTTGAGAAATAGACATGACAATCCAATTAATTTATATAAGGCATAAAGTGGAGATGTAAAAAGGAAACCATCTATTCATCATTGTGTAAAAATTAATAATCAATTCAATCAAATGTATGTTATTTTGACTGTGTATGTCTTTGTTATATTATCCCACGTAGTTTCCCCACACTTTCCAGTTGTTTGGTCCGTTTGCAATTCGTTGTTTGGTATTTTAAATGCAATTGTGTTGTACGGCTCTGCAGCAATCACCAAATATTGAAAGGCGTTATCACATGGTTCAACATGTTGTTCAAAAGATCCCATAACTCTGAAAAGGGGAACAACGTCATTTGCTATTTGAGGGTAACTTACCACAACATAAATCGACTTTTTGCCTGTGGTTGAATCAATTTGCTTTGTTAAAGAGTACCCTGGTGTTCCTATCTTTTCGAAGTATTTAATCTTAGGCACCACCTTTGTTGTTGACTTCAATGGAACTCCTCTGTCTTTCGCGTCTTTCAATTCTCTTGCTTTTAAATTTTGTTGATGTCTCTTTCCTTGTGTATGTGCTAAGTAGTTTGCCTCACTCACGTGAATTGTCAAACACAACCGACACTCGTAACTCCCAGTATGCGTCTTATGAAAATATGGGTCTTTGCTTAAATCGATCTTTTCAAGCGCTAATTGTTTTAAACGCTCTTTGCGTGCCACGGCAGTCTCCGCTGCAGACGCCAACCCACCGGCTCCTGGTCTGCTCCCATGTTCTCTCCCAAACATTTTGCTTTTTGAGTTTTTCTTTTCTGTGGTTCTATCTAGTTAAAAATAAAAAGAAATAGAAATTATAATATCTTTTTAAAAATATTAAAAAGATACTATAATTTTGTCTCAAATAAGTATGAAAAAAACCATAGACAAATTATATGAAAAGTGAGATCTCCAATGCCAGAGATGTCAAATGAATGGTAAACACAATCAAAATCAATTTTTTTCATAAAAAGTTGGCATATCTACACCTTAACGAGAATGGTCCGGAGCAAAAGAGCACATCTTTGCTTGATAAAGCAGATCTGTTGCTCTGCGTTGTACTTCATAACAGTTGACAAGACGTAGTTGATGCTATCGTTTCGTAAATACATTTCAAAGTATTCAAGCCCCTCGCGGTCCATTTCCTTAAGAAGGCAAATATCACACCCGAGCTCCCACCCCTCATTGTATGTATTAGTAAGTTCTTTTGGAAATTTGTAAGTCCCTCGTCGTATTTTGGACAAAACGAATTGGATGGCGGACATTGAATATATCCGATTTTTGATTTCACGTGGACAGAAATAATATACATTTGGATTTGAAAGGTAGTCTCTGAGACTGCGAATGGAATATTCTCTTTGATAAGGGAAGGCGCTATCGGGCCAAAGATCAAAACGCGTTCCAAAAAGCATGAAATACCTCTCGTAGTCTGTGAAGACATTCTTTACATTTGGGTTGATGCGGTAGTCTTGTTGTCGTGTCATTTTGTATTGAAGGACTGTGTTATAGTATGTAGTACTTTTTTCAGGTGGTACGTCACGGACATAAAGGGAATAATACGGGTGTGAAGTCTCGTTTTGAGTGTTCTGTAATGTTTGTTGTTTGCTTTGTTTTGGTATTTCTTTATTAACGAAAGAACTTAACGCCTTTATTGGTGATATTGTTTCTTTTTGTTGTGATTGAACAATTATGGGTTGAATCTGTTGTATGGAACTTTTTGCCTGTTGGACGGGAACACGAGGAAGATTCTCTTCGGCGGATATTGTTGATGATGTGTTATCTACTTTGACTTGGCTCATTCAAAAGGAGGTTTGAAATGTTTTTCCCGATCATATCGAGTGGATGTATTTGTGGAAAAGTCACCCTGTTTTCTATTCTGGGTGATTTGTTTCGTATTGTTATTATTTCACATTTTTTGTTCCTTTTCCCTAGTTGTCCCGATGGGTTCCAGAAGTTGAACATTTTTGCACAATTCCAATTATTTTGGTTCATCAATAGGTTTTTGTATAGTTTTTTTATAATCAGTATTAATAAATGGCAAAAGTGTTGTATTTATCAATAAATGAATTGTTTATTATTAAACCAACTTTATAAAGATAAGTCCCGAATGTCATCAATTATTTTTTATGAACGTTCCAATTTTTGATAAAAAATAATAAGAGAACGATATAGTTTTGTTATATACAATAACTTCAAAACTGGACCTTAAACAAAACATTTTCCAAATTAAATGTTATTTTCATCAACAAAAAATGAAAATAAAAGGAATAATGAGCCAATTAGATAAGAGTTGTTATAACAGACATTTTAGGTGTGTAATATAAAATAAAAAATAAACTGAACTGGAAAGAAAAACAATGTACACGTTTGACGACGACATCTATTTCACTAAAGAAGACACGGAGAAGCTCCATCAACATCGTTACAACTGCACAGACAACTCAATTCTCAATAAATACATTTTGAACAGTTTGGTCACTTTTTCGCAAACATAAATTGTAACATTTAGAGTACGTCTACCAACCCATTTTAAAGTATTTGATACCAAAGTGGATTGCACCAAACATCATTAGCATTTTTGGGTTGGTGTTTTGTGTGCTCACACTTCCTGTGAATTATTCAAATGTGTTTGGGAGGTTCGAGTATCTCGTCACAGCATTTCTTGTGATGTTGTATCAACTTTTTGATTCACTGGATGGGATGCAAGCTCGATACACAAAGTCTTCAAGCGCGCTTGGAGAGTTGGTTGACCATGGCATTGATGCGTTGACGTCTGGTATATTACTTTTATTATTAAGTCTTCAATGTGGTATGACACAACAAGAAAGATGTGTGTTGCTTGTAGTTGGGTACTTTGTTTTTTATGTCACCCACTATACTTCTTATTTCACAGAACACATGGAATTTGGGTATATTTTAAATCCAACAGAGGCATTGGTTACACTGTCAATATTCATGATATGTAGAACAATATTTGGGATCACTTCGGATGTTTTTAAAAGTTACAAAGTGGGTAGTTTTTCAATCAACTTCATCATTGTATGTGTTATTGCAACATTGGCTTTAATATATATTGTTATTGAATTAAGCAAAATCATAAGATATGATGGTCTATTCAATGTAATGATATCATATATTGTGATCTCCTTGTCATCCGTTTTAATTCTTCTCAGCCAGTCAAACTCAATTATTCTCGACCAAACCAAGGTGTTCATTGCTATACTCTTTTTGGCACACTACAACCAACTCTTCATTGCACATGCTATATTACAAATTGAACATCCAAAGATTGGATATTTCTATTCAACTGTTATTATCATGGCAATTATCATCTTTATCAACATCAGTGGGTATAATATGATTGGGGGTACATTATACGAGAACGACTCATATGCGTCTGTGATTTTTGTCTTTGTAACACTGACGTTCACTTGTGTTGGTGAAGTTTCGCTGGTTCTCAATTGCTTTTGTGTTTTTTCGAGGGTCTTGAGAATCCACCCGTTTACTGTCTAATTTTATTCATTTTTACTGTTGTACACCTCTCTTATACATTTTGGTGTTGGATTATAATAAAGAAACATTCTATTTATAGATCATCACAAAGCCAAAAGTATCAAATTTCAATTCAATCAGAACTCTTGTTCGTTCAGAAGCATATTTGGAATGCCGTTTTTAATAGGGAAGTGGCGCTGGCAAAGAGGACAAATGAGTTCTCCATCAATAACCTGGCACTATTGATGAGTTCGTGATTCTATCGAGTTGTTTCAAATATCATTTTTATTAACTCAGAAGGAAAGAACAAACGTCCATTAAGACATCCCAAAGAGCTTGCAAAAAAGCTTTATTGGATTTGTAGTCTGCAGGTATTGTGGGTGGAATGACTAGTCCAATGTTTTGACCAGCAGAAACTAGACCAGCCCAATTGAGTCGCTCACTCTCAATCAAAGATATTAAAAAATCCTCGTTCACCGGCGTTGTCACCTTTTCGACCTTTTGAGAGACAATTTTCAGGGGGAAGCTGTTGATACCACATTTTTTCTTTGGACAGATGAGGAGGTTGTGTGTAAATAATTTCATTGTAAATATCGAGTTAGGTTTTCATCCATCTTTGACTCTTTCATCCAAACATTATAGAGCTTTGAATACCAAATATTTGTTTTTTAGTCGTTTTTAATACTAAAAACTAGTAAAAAACAAGAATAAAAACAAAAAGCGATTGAAATGCCTCATAAAATATATAAAAAGGGTTCTTATGATCTCGTAATTTCTTTTTCAATGGAGGAAGGTAAAAAAATTACACCGCTCCAGGCGCAATACAACATGCATATTGCACACGAGCAGTTGGCGTACAGATTCTTTACTGAGATGCAAAAGGACAGAAAGGCGGAGACTGTTTGTGTACTCTTGTAAATTGGAAACGTAATAAAACAATTGACAAAAAGGAAAAGATAAAAAAGTGGAACGACGAAGAGCGAATTTTACGAGCACAACAGATGTATGATTTGGAGGATGGAAGGTATTACATCCAGAATGGAACTGTGATGTACTTGATGCCTGCCAAAGATATTGTATCAAAGACTTCTGTGAATTAATACGTTTGATTGAAATTAGTTAAAGTCTTAAGTTTTGTATTGAATACTTTCTGTATTAAAAATTATAATAAGTAATAGTTTAAATTATAGTTCAAATTTGTTTGTTATTAAAATATACAGTCATAACAAAAAGGTGTCTCGTTCGAAAAAACCTGTCTTGAAAAAAACGAATAAATTAATTGGTATTTTTCATCAAAATGTTATTATTATGTTATATATAACAAAAATGAATAACAAAAGGGAATAACAAAAGGGAATAACAAAAAATGAGTTAATTTGCTTTTCGGGGTCGACCTCTTGGGTTTTTTGGTTTCTTTTCTAATATTGATTTTTCTTCAGGAGTCTTGTTCTTACTGCCTTTTTTCCTTCCTCTTGTAGATTTGGGTTTGGGGGGTTCGGGCTTCAAATACAAACGTATTTTAGACAGACTTTCTTGGTTGATTTGTTCGTCGACTTCGCAGTCTAACAACAATTGTACTTCGTCGTCGATGTTTAGATCGTTTGTTTGATGAGTCTGTTTTTTTTTGCAGTTCACAGACTTTAATAGCTGTTATAGAAACATTAGGAGTTGGAAGGTCTTCATATTTAAACCTTCTTTTTAGTTTTATTGGAGTTATTGAACTAAAAAAGGAAATAAAATTCAGATCCTTGAAAAGGAGAGGGAATTCTTCCCTCAATCTTTTACACTTGAAGGGATCAACTTGACAAAAGTACTCTTTCTTGTCCGAGTCGTATTTGAATGTTATACCCGCACCCTTAAAAGCCGAAGAGCACGATACAATTGAAGTCGACATGTGGAAGGCGGTCAGTATCTCAATTTGGTACTTTTCAAATCGATTCACTTTCACTTTACTTTCCTCTTTTTCCCAATTTTCATTCATCCATTCCTCGCCATCAATTCCTTCACCTTTGTCTTTCTTTTCATTTCCTCCAAGAGAATCATGCATATCCTCTTTGTCCTCTTTGTCCTCTACAACCTGAGCATTTCGGATAATACCTTTTTGAACCGCAAACACCCCAATGTCCAAAGGTTGAAGAACATGGGGTGCGTGCGGAACAAGAGGCACCAAAATGATGTTGTGGACCTCAAGCACTTTCCTTGGCTCTTCAACATCATGGCAAGAACACGAATCAATAAGCAAAACAGCTTTTTCATAAATACCAACTCCGAGTTTCATTCGTTTCTCGTAAATTTTCGGGATAAACACGGAAAAGACCCAATCCATAAAAATTGATTTGTTTATGAATCCGGTCTCTGTTTTTGTTAAAAGTACATGGCCAATAAGCCCAGAATTAACAAGCGTTTGAGTACAAGTTGAGGTCGGAGTGATTAGAATTCCTGGAATTGGTCCTTCTCCGCTGATACAAGCGAGAAAGGTGCTTCTTCTGACATTACGTTGAACTCCAACTTTCAGCACTTTGATATCATCTTTATTCCACAAGACTTTGAGCTTTTTGCGGTCAGCCCATTTTTGATATCCAGATTCGTCTAAATTGAAACAAAGGCACCTCCTGACACCCGATACAGTCTTCGAAAGACCAATAAAATAATCAACAAAACTCTGTGTTAGTATCTCAAGGCGTTTTGTTTCGTCAGGGAATGCCCACCTCAAAATGAATCCCTCCTTCTTGAGTATATACAAAATTGCCTCGCGTTTAAAACATTCTCCAAATTGTTTCTCCAAGAAGAATTGTAAGTACTGTACTGTTACCGCCTGCTCCCTTTCAATACAACCAGACACTTCCAACAATAACGCCTTCTTCTGTTCCTCGTTTAAAAGGGGTGGTCGCATATTTTTCCGAGGTACATACTCCATTTCCAACTCCATTCGCATTGACTGCGTCGAGATTGTCGCACCACTTACTCCAAACACTTTCCCCAAATCATCATTTGTAATTCGGTCCCAAGGGACTGATGAAGTCAGTGACTTCATTAAGTATATTTGTCCTCTCCGGTCAATTCCCTCCATTTTCCCTCCCAAAAATGCATAGTCAATGAACTGACTCATAAGAGAGTCTTTCTCACACCTTAGTTTCATGTCATCCTTTTTCTCTCCATCTCTTCTGACGTTGTTCATGCTCATTTTATTTGTGAGTTCTTTTTAGTTCCACTCACCTTATTTCATTTTTAACGGAATTGTAAAAAATTATTATTGAAGAAAATCAATTGAAACGGATAAAATTATCCGATAAAAGGATGAAAATCAAATATTTTATTCGGGTTTAATCTTAGTACATTTCTAGTTTTTTTATTATATTTTTTTACTATAATAATCTTCGCGACAGGTTTTTCGTGTTACTGTAAAACTAATTGAAACCTTATTAGATTTACATACAAAAATTAATCTTCAAGCATCTTCCTCATTCTTTCTTGTCTCTTCTCAACAAAGCTCTTTATTTTGTCTGTGTTAACACCCTCATTCAAGCTGTCATAGACGTCAACCTCATCGTAAATTTTTACAAAGAGCTTGCAGATATCTGTGAATTGGTACCTATTGTTTGGATCCTCCTTCCAACACCCTTCGATTAACGACTTCAATTTGACAGGCATTGTCTGGTCTATGTTTAGTCGTTTGCCAGATAACACATGAGACTTGACATCAAAAAGTGTTTTCAGTTGTTTGAAAGGCTCTTGTTGGTAAAAGATTTCCCAAGATGTAATCGCAAATGAATACACATCACCACTTGTTGTGTAAATATCATTGTACGTCTCTGGTGCGGCGTATATTGGAGTGCCCAACCCTTTGTCGTCATCCCATGTTTTCTTTATAAAGCGAGAAGTACCAAAGTCTGTGATTTTCACACAACAAGCTGAATCTTCGAAGAGTGAATTGACAAGTAAATTGTCGGGTTTCAAATCCAAATGAACGATTTTATTTTCATGAAGAAACTCCATTCCCCTTGCTGTATCATACAAGATGCGTAATTTGAGTTTGTAAGACAATTTGATATAATCATCACTGTCGTTTCTAACATACTCTCCTAATGATCCCAAAAGGAAAAATTGCATGACCATTGATACTTGAGGAATATAAGTCACTGCGCCAATGTAATTCGCGACAAACGGATTACGCAATTTACTCATTATAGCACACTCATTGTTCACATCAAGTTTCAACTCTTCAACTTCCTCGGAAGTCAACTTTTCCCACTTGAACTGCTTTACTGCAACAGT